ACCCGCCACCATTCCCACTTGCCGGCTCCTTGGGAACGGGACTAGGCGTAACAGCCGGAGTCTGCGTGGGCGTAGCAAAAGGCGAACCACTCATCGGACTAGCAGCATTACTATTACCACTACCACCACCACCTCCCTGCGACATGCCCCTCTTCATACCCTCGAATCTCGATCGTAATTCTTCCAACTCCTGTCTCGCAACCGCCTCTGCCGTCTTTGCATTCACCAGCTCAAGCAGCAGCGCCTCGTTATCCGCCGGACTATTATTCTCCGTCGCGCTCAAAACACTCTGCGTAGCCAGACTACTCGAGCGCTTGGCAAACGTCTGATGCGGAGGAGGAGCAGAGTACTGTTGGTGGCGTTCAGATTTCTGGCTATTCGTTCGTCCAAGGCGCAACTCTCGCAGGCCATTTGTCGTCGTTGTGGATATGGAATCAGAGGTTGTGGAGCGAGATAGCGTGGGTGGCGTGTCTGGCGCGTTACCGTGGTCCGCTGATGTCCAACTCGCCGCCGCACTCGCCTTGCGTGCATTCTGTCGTAGTTCCTGGACGTTCTTCTCGAGCCGCTGGTTCTGGTTGTAGGAATCTGCTAATCTGTGTCGTGTATCTCGTAGCGCGTCACGCGCAATCTGCAGCTCGGCGTCGCGGTCGGATAAGTCACGGGCGAGCGCGTTGGCGCGCAGCGTTTCGTTGGCGAGCTGTTCTTTCGTACGTGTCAAGGAGTCTCGCAGAAGAGCTTTTGTTTCGAACATGGACGAGGCGCGGTGGTGGGCTTGGTGGTGGGGGAAGCGGGTTTCTAGTGTTTCTACTATTTCCACAGCTTCTTCCGATAGTTCGGGGGCATCTCCAGGCGGAGTGAGATTCGGTGGAGATGTGATTGTTGTTCGTCGGCGCGACGCGCGGGTTGATGGCGCTGCGAGTGTTGTAGTCTTCTTTCGGACTTTGTCGACAACGGTTCGGACTATCCTGTGGTCTTCCTTGCGGTCTTCGCGTTGCTTTTGCAATGCCGTTTCGAGTTCGCTATTTTGGCGTTGGAGTTGGCTCACGGACATGAGCAGTTGCTCAATCTGATAATGCAGGTCCCGGTCTTTCGCCGAAGCGCCCATGGCCATGGAACCGTGTCCCGACTTCATCGACAGCGCATCTCCATTCGAGGCGCGCGAAATATCCGTCATGGCTGTACTTTGTGTCGCAGCCGAAGCATCAGATTCGGCAGTTGAGTTGAGTGTTGAGGCAAGACTCTGTTTGGACGCGGAGCGCCTGAGGAAGCTAACCGGTCGTGAAGGCGCGGAGAGACCCGGGCTGAGTGAAACCGACTTGGTCGAAGAGTTGGACGGACCCCACAAGCGTCCCAGGAACGACGTGGCAGATTTCTGGACTTGCTGCTTGGACGAATCCTTCTCCTGAGCTTCCTTGTACTGTTGCTCCAACCCTTGCAACCGCTCGCGCGTCACGTCATTTGTGAAACCAACGAAATCTCCGACCAACTCATCCGCCGACCCCGCATTCCGCCCATATGGGTCCCAGAGTTGCCGCCCCAAAAGCAATTGCATCACGTCTTCGAACTCTGTGAGGGACAGCAGCTTTTGTTCGTTGCGCTTCATTAGCGCGAGCGCGACGCGCATGATGGTCTCGGATGCGCCTTCGGCGAATAGCACATCGTAGATGCGGAACAACATGGGCAATGGGCATGTGACTGCGAAGAAAGACAGGAACCATTGCGACAGGTAGGCGGACTGCACATCTAGCTCATCAAGATGCTGGGCTAGTTGTGGCATGTGGGAACGGAGCAAGTTCTGGAACTGGAAGATGCGCAGGTGGAGGCCAGACAGGTCTGGCAGAAAACAAGAGCGCAGATCATAGTCTTCCATGAGTCTAGTTTGGTTAGCTGACGTCGCTGTATGCAGGGCAATGCAACCTACCTCACAAGCACGCAAAAGGCCTCCTTGTCGCCCATCTGCATAAGCAGGGGGCCGACAAGGAAACCAAGACCCTGACAGTAGCCAATCTTGTGGTCATACAGACTGAAGCATTTGAGCACGCGACCGAGCATCTTTTGCCCCTCGCCTTCAGGGTCCTTGAACATCTCGACGCCTGGGAAACTTCTGCCCAGGTCCTTGTTGATGATGTTCTCGTACGGGCTCGACTCTCCGCATAGGGCGTCGTATTGGTCCTCGATGAGCTTTTCTCGCGAACCAGCTGCACTCTGCCAGACGACGCCCCGCAGTGGCGCTGGAATACCCCCTCGAATCTTGTTCAGCGAGAGGGTGGGCAGTCGCTGGACGGTTTGTGGGTAGTCGCGCACGAGGGCAGCCCAGAACTCGAGTTCGGTCATGGGCGGTGGCGAGGGCAGCTGTGAGAAGCGCATGTTGGAGGTGTCGTCGGCCACGAGGCGCTTGAGCTGGTTGAAGGAGGGCGGCCGGGACTGGCTGCGGGCGCGGGCGACCTTCATGTTGGATTTGGAGTTTGATAGTATGGCGTCGTTCTCCTGCTCCAGTCGTGCGAGGAGCAGGGCCATAGCCTAGATATGTTAGCAGATGGCGCGTGGCATAGGGGTGTGGTGCCTGCATACCTCCTCCTCGCCCTCTGGCTCCTGTTCTTCTTTTTTCTCTAGCTCGGCCCAGTCAACCTCCTCGCTTTTTCCCGAGCCATTGCTAGTTCGTCGTCCCCTGGACTCTCCCGCGGTCTTTGGTGATACTGGCGCGTCGGTGTCACGGACTGAGATGGTAGGGCTGGTTGGGGCGGGTGTCTCGATGCTGGCTTGGCTGGCACGTCGCCCAAAGGCATTGCGGATTTCTGTTGAGTTTGTTCGTGACGACGCTCTCCGCTCCTCTACTATAATTTCTGGCCGCATCACCGATTGCCTCGCGCCTTCCTCTTCCTCTGGGGTCGTTCCGTCTGTTTCTGAGAGTGGGACCGTCACCATCGAGTCGGTCGGCAGTGGCGAGCTGTCGACGTGTGTTCGCGGCTGGCGCTCCTCCTTGACCTCCATGGTGATGCTGCCGCTGGACATGTTCTGTCCTGACTGCAACTTGGTGACAGTGTCTTGACAAGAATTCGATGACGGAGCGGAAATTTGCGTCCCCGCCGTAGAGCACGACAGAACGCTTCCTTTGCTCGGGCGCTCGGTTCCGACGCTTGAGGTGCTGATGTAGAGCGTGTTTCACTCGGGTGGAAATTAGTCTCTGGCGCCGGACTTGAATCTGAATCGTGCACGCTGTGACCGTCGAGGTATTACTCTCCAGGCTGCATTCATGCAAAAGCAACAGAGTCGACAACAGCGCAGACAGGACAAGACAGCACGCGCGAAAAGAGAGCGACGAGCACGCAAAAGAGGGAATGATTTCCTTGCTCACGGCCTCGAAAGGAGGAGCATCAAGGAGGCCCTGGACTAGGCCCGCATGTCCGCTAGCTCTATCCGTCAGGGTCCACATTCGCCATTCCAACTTAATTAAGACTGGGCCAGCTGCTGCCCCTGGCCCCGCATCCCACCTACTCACCGTCAACCACATCCGCCTTTCCTATGGATCGAGCTCTTCATGCGACTGATTGCGCCAGGTCCGCGCTGATGTCACCGTCCCTCCACTGGCGAGACCTTTACCTCTTCATGCGCCCTCATATGCACACCACCAACGCGCGACGCGAGCACGGCAGTCGCGCTAAATTTCGGCCCGTCAACCAATCACCCCCGCTGACACCGCCGCCCATGCTACCTCCCACACCAGTCCGTCCGCATCGAGCCAGCATGCACTTCGCGTGCCCTCTTGAGTCGGCGCAGCTCCTACGTCCTGCCTTGGCATCGCTTAACCGGGGCGGGTTGTCATAGTACCTCAACGACTCAGGGATTACCAAAGACTACCCGACTGCCCCTGCAGACCGCCTCTTCTACAAGGCTTGCGGCACAGTTGCTCCACATGAACCGCCCATCTTTTCCCTGCTTCGCACTGATCACGATGTTCGCGTCTAGTCTAGATTTTAATGTTTGGCGATCTGTGACTTGCTCGCATGCGCTATCTGCCGTTATCTTACTCCCGAGTGCTAGCCGACAGTCTTGTTCAACATCTTCTCTACCGCAAGAGTATTCCATCCAGAAACTATACCGTGGCTACAGAGCACTTTCAGATCGCATGCAGCGTGACAAGGTAATGTATTAACAAGATGCAAAGTGTACACCTATGCCTAGGACGCTTATCTAAATCTATCGCGCATAAGCTCTCTTGGAGGTATGCTCAAGCTCGAGAGCAGGCGACAGCATCTCTACAGCTATTCGAGAGCCGGAAGACGGAAGCAATCGGTGCCCACGGAGGCTGTGGTGGTTCTATTCTCGTCGCAGTCAGGCATACTTTGACTGTTCGCTTCCATCTACCCTTGGTTTGTTCGCCATCGTGCGGTCATCCAATTTGAGGAACACACGACCAGAAACACATGCCAACAGGAGAATCGTAGACCAACTCCCCGACGACGAAGACGACAGCTGCATCGACCCAAACGGAAACTTCAAATTGTCTAGAAACATGAATACACATCAAGTAGGTAACCCATGGGCCAACAGCAACGACGACGAGAGTGACGAAGATGGCAGTCTATTTGCAAAGTTCTATCAAACATGCTTCGAGTGCTCCAAGAAGATACTCTCGCGTTCAATGGAAGAACTACAAGCGAAATATGGTGAGGTCGGTGAATGGGGGTTCAGCAGATAATGGACATGCAGTAACATGAAGACCGATTCAAAGATCTGATAGGTGATGAGATACGGCAAGAATGTTTACATGCAGCGGTGGCTAGTCAGCAGTTTTCGTAGGAGTTGTAAGTGTAATTGGTGAGTCGAGTCTTCTTGATGACATCTCTGATGATGGGAGGTCAGCATACTAGTCTCCTTACGCATAGCAGCTTCTGCCTTCTGCGTATATCCGCTGTTCTAGAGATCTGATTGTAGGATCGTGTTAGATACCATTTCAAATAGTAGAAGTGAAAGTCACCCGATATTGTATCTTTGCGGGACCTTCTTCTGAACAAGACGCTGATGAATCAGAAACGCACCGTGGATAACAGTGCACGAGATAGGGGGTTCACTGAAAAGCTGGATCACGCAGAAGTTTTTCCCTGTCCGCTAGATACTCCTCATTCGGATATTTTGGACGTTGTCGCTGCGCTTTGGCCACCACAGTGAGCACTTAGTTCAAATCTATTAGAGTTCAATACCCCACCTATACTCGACTACACCACCGCACCGGCAATTGTTGTAGCATTATGATCGCTCTGACTTGATCATATTCGACAACCAAAGGCGCTCGCAGAGGCATCACGCACGGCACGATTATGTCAAGTGCACTCTCTCCAGGAAATGACCGACCTCACATCGCCACTGCTCAAGATGGTTTCAGTCAAACGGCGAGCAGCCTGTGGAGCACAGATGAATGCCTCTTCATCCACTTGCAAGCCGAACTGGCACTCGCCGTGGTGAGCCTCTCGATCGCGTCGGCATTTCCACTAAGCGGCTCGATCACCTACCAGAACTTTTGTCAGTTCTTCGAAGAGGTAGCGAAAGGTTCTCCAGAAGGAGTATCGGAATGTACCACTAGTATCATTCCAAAGAGCGAAATTGACTACTGCTCGAAAGAGGAAGAACTGGTGGCGTCAGTGTGGTGGAAGACACAGAACCTGGTGATAAAGGCGCGTCACGCAGGTGGTTCTAAGCAACTGAAGTGGTGGCTAGTTACACCAGGAGTCTTCGATGAGTACCGGGACATCCGTAGCATGATCAGCTATAATACAGAGGTCGAGAACTCGAAGGTTCACCCGACGATCTGGGCTTTCCTCAACCGTGTCGTCCGCGAGAAGTTCCTGTATTCATGCACTGCCAAGACTACAAGTGCAAGCACCGACAAGAGTGGCATCGCTTCTGGAGTCGTCGCTAACTACATTGCGGCTGACGGCCTTGCGATATATCCAACCCAGGTTATTGATAGGGGGCCCTTGGATGACCCTTCGGATGTCGAAGGAGGCGAAGAGGGAGAAGAGACGGAGGATGATTTGGACGAATACTACGACGAAGAAGAAAAAAACGGAGAGGAAGAAGAAGGGCAACCAACCAAAACGCGCTTCAAGTCAACCAGCAAGTTCAAGAGAGGTAGCGACCATTCTGCAAATCGCGCCCAAAACAACTTTTGGAACGATGAAGAGCGACAATATCTGGTGGATAGATGTAATGCGTCGATAACCAAACATGGCCTGGTCGCTTGGCTTGACGACTTTACACAAGTCGCCAGTGAAGTCTGCAACCAGATCAACGCACATCGGTCTCAACACCCGGAAAGGTATGATGGTGGTTGTCCTCGGGGTATCGATTCGGTCCGCTCCCAGGCGATCAGGATGAGTTGCATCAAGTATTGGCACGTAAAGGCCAAAGATTGCAAGGCGAAAATAGAGAAGGGTGAGACTGTCGAGCCTGAGATGCTGAACCTAGTGGACCCGATCAAGTTCGCGGATGAAAGCCCCTGAAGGCCAAAGAAAAAGCAGTAAGGGTATGCGGCTGCAGCTTGAAGGAGGATGAGTTACAATGAAAGTTATGTGTCGGCCACTGACGAACAGTGGCATTTGGTCTACTGGTCTATCTCGTGCTGCTAGCCCTAGATAGAACCATTGCAGCTATCATAATAGTGTAGATGTTCTGACCGTGCTTACTGTGAACGTAATCGAGACACGCGTAGCCCACGATATGCATGCCTACCACTGTGTCTGCATTGCTCTTCAAGAAGATGCACAATGCGTAGTGTTCGACATAACGATCATGAGCGTGTTGATGCGAAGTGATGTTGATGCGGCTGCCGGAGAGGAGAGAGCTAGCCCACGAGGTGGTGTTGATGTTTACAGCCCGCGTAACGTCATCAACGCATCGAATTTCTCGCATTATTGAGCGGAAACTTTGGCAATCTTTCCAACTCCATTTTGATGATCAGACGTCACAATAGCGGCTGAACTTACTTCACTAGCTCGCATGTTTCTTAGCTGGTCGACATGCCAAGTATACACGAACACCTTTGCGCAATACTCGATATGCCACACGTAACGACAAATGGTACATCTCCGCGCTCAGCACAACAGAGAGGTTACCCTAGGCAGCGCAAGATTCGCGGCTTGATCGTTAGGCTCCTATACGTCCAAGAATCCTTAGTTAAGACCTCTGGCTTGCTAAAATATTCTCGCGATTGGGTCCTGACAGTTGCCGCCACGCTACTCAAGCTTCTAGGCTGAGTTGTGCATCCTGACTCGAAGAGTAGGCAAACTGAATAATGCGAGGACACTTCCTACTTTGTAACAACCATCATTACTACACCTCCCGCTATACAGGAGCCTCATGGGTAGATAGAAAGAGAGGGAACATCACATCGCTACAACAGTCATTGTTTTTATAACAGTGTAACTGGGATGAGCCCTATTGTTTTCCTACACTAGTGCTAGATCGGCGAGGCCCACTGCCCGATCTTGTTAACTCTTCTTCTCTGCTTCCCCAATTCAAACACTGCTCTTAACCGGCTTCGAATAGATTGACAGCTTGGTATGTCCTCCACATCTTTTTTGATCATCACCTATGCAAAGACTGCTACACTGAGTCTCAGCGATCTCCTTTGTTGGGTTTGCGAATGTGTCCCCACACAAGCAATAACTGCCATAGTTTATACCAAAGTGTTTGTATGCCTTGCACCTGACCGCGCATTTCTCCACCGTAATATTTGGTATCACTTCTAAGACAGCATCAAGAACATGGGGGTTGGCATCGGTGAAGCAACCCTGGTAATGAAAAGTGTTTTGGTATGTACTGATTCGGTCAAGCAAATCTTGTTGGCTCTGGAGGCTCTTTTGCTGGTCGTCTGTGAGACCTTTGACCTGGGCCATCAGAAGGTCTTTGTCGGCCTGGCATGCAGCATTGTCGACAATTTGGCTGCTACCTCCACTGGTTGCGGAGGAGAAGGGATCGAGAGGGTGCTCAAACTTGATACCGTTGGTACAAGTACAAGAACAGTTGTGTTTGTCAGATGCGTCGTTACAGACGACTGACGGCTTCGCACCTGCATGGCGTTAATGATGCTAAGAGGTACTTTCATCTTGATGTACATACCGTTATCGCACTCGTAAGAGCTTCCTGAAAGGTCGAGCGAGCTGAGGACTTGTTGTGGCGCGTAGGCAAGGGTGTTTGCGGCCAAACCGAGGACGAGGATGCTCGAAGATCTCATTGTGTGTATTGTTGGGTACGTAAGATGAGTAGTTGTGTGTTCGAGGTTGGCACAACAAAACGTGTTACAAAGCTGGGTTCTTATACCGTTGGCCTTTTCTCTAGTTCTTAGGTCCCATACTCTATCACTTCATGCGACATGCAGCCCGCTCATCCGGATAGGCTAAAGCGCTTCCATTCGCAAGCAAATACATCCGGCATGAGACCGGAGATCCGAAATTTACTTTAAGTTCTTTGGGAGACCTTCCTTTTGATAGTCTTGCATTCTGGCGCATCCTTCTATGAAGCCCTACCTTCGCTCATTACCTGACCAGCTTCCTAATCCACACGTTAGTTCATCACTTATACATGACCCTACATAAAGTAGTGATTCAAATTTAGCTTGGAAGGATTGCTCTTGAAAAAAGATCATTCAACATTAAAAGCAAGAAAGTGACTCTATTACTCACATGCGCTGTGTCTAAAGAGAGTATTCCCAGCAGAAGCCTGTTGCAATGACGGAGAATGCATTAGGATAGTTTTCTTAAGAGTTGATCATCACGCAAATATACGAGTACAGGCATTGGGCATTCCCAACATCTGTTCATCAGATTGCTTTTTGGCTCCAATCCACACAAGCTGACCAATGACACGACTGCATCGGCAGCGGACCGTTCCACTACGTTGTACACGTGCGGGCTATCCCGAGAAACTCCACAAAGACTAGTGGTAGCTTAAGCTTTGAAATGTCTGGTTCTAGTTCAATGACTGAGTCTCAATTCTCCAACGCCGTTCGGCGATGCTTTTTCTGATTCAGCGTGACCTTACTCGGTACGTGCCTCACTGTGAGAACAGCTCATCATGCACATGATGGACAACACAACGGATTTCCAATGGATGGAGGGGGCCCGGGAAATCCTTCAAGTCAACAATCAGAAGCTCTGCCATTTATAGCAGTCCAGGTCTGGTTCATAATTTCTTCAAGTTCATAATTTCTTCAAGTTCATAATCCATAGTCTACAGAAACAAACACGATGAAATCCCTCATCTTCCTCACGAGTCTTTTGTTCTGCCGCACTAGCAGCGCGCAATCCCTATCGAGCATACCTCTAGATGCATTGCTTACATGCCAGAATGGTATGTCTCTCACCTCTAGGTAGATGAACAACCACAGTTACTAACACATTCTCCTAGGGTATGCTCCCTCACTTACATGCGCCGAACCGCTGCCGGTCGACGACGACTGCACGTGTACGTGTCGCGATGGGGCAGTGTACAACCAAACTCGTCCTGATCTCTTGGGATCAGTCCCTACAACTCCTGGCACGGCAATTGGAAGTCAGATCGTTGGTACACCGTGTACTGAGGAGATTATTCAACCCTGGACAAAACTTGTGTTGCCTCACAAGGCACACACGTTGGAGCCTACAGAAATCGTCTCCGGTATTGTCGACATCGCTGAGGATAGTGTATTCCTGGTAGCCGATTCCCAGCAGAGATGCCAGCACTTTGAGGTGTACATCGACGACCAACTTGCAGGAGAGACGTTTGGAGATGGTCCGCTTGATAACAGCTGGTGCGGGGAAGTTGGAGAGGAATGTATGGAGAAACATGGTGGAAGCCATGGCTATTTCAAGCTTTCTAAAGGTAATCACTCTGAGGAAGAATCGTGTTATTTGAACTCAGGCTAACGACCGATGCTTTCTAGGACAACACAAGATTGGTCTTCGATGGGCAAAGGTCACAGATGCTTGCAAGCATTGGTCTGAAGGAGTTGGAGCCTTCCAAATCTACAAGCCTTGTTAGATAATCCTGTAGTGCTAAATCCTTGGGTTGTGGTGCGGCGGAAAGAGAAATAACGCTTAGCTTTAAAGCATTCGTTTCACCCTCTAGACCTAGAACTACGTAATGGTCGAAAAGCAAAGTGTACAAGAAGCGATAATTCAATTATACATGACGTACGCAATCAATAGATTCCGCATTCTATGAAGAGACTACAATAGACTAGCCTAGAACACTTTGGTTCTACTCGTGTATAATACTGTTAGGCCTACTTAACAATATAGATGGGCTGGAGAACAGTTTTAACATCTTCTGAAATGGAATGTTTGACCGGAAAAAACAACCTCACAAAAAATATGTAGAGCAAGTTGTAAGACTCCACTGTCGCGCCGGATACATTGCCTGCAGAGAGGCAGGCTTCTACACGTGTCAGTTGATGGGTTACCAGTTGGATTCCCTAGTGTGAACGGAACTCAGGAAGTGAATGAGAAGTTCGAGTATAGAGCCATGTTGGAACCGGGTACAATGTCATACACTGATCGTTGACTGACTCCAATCGTTGCGTCAACAGAGACAGTACCTCTTTAGTGATATTTCGGATCTCCTCCATCCGGATCGTGTAGTGATAGCGTACCCAGGTCGATAGCGAGCTGATCTAGCATGGAGACTAGCAGTGAAGAAACTCGGCAGACCCAGGAAGACATAGCAAGATTGGCGCATTTGCATTCAGAAACGGCAAATGCATCACTAAAAGAAAGTAACATACTAGTCTCGACTGCTCGAGAAGGGCCGAAGCGCCACCGTAGTGCCCGAATGACCAAATACAAGGACTTGCTTTTCCATGAACATCATCAGTGTATGCAATACCCTAGATCAGATGAACACTTTAAAAGGATAATCATAGAAGACATTGTGATAATTCAAATCTTGTCTTCAACTTTCTTTTCATCTTTCTTCTCATCTTGGCCTCATCGTCCCGTATTCACACACAATGAAAGCTGCAAGCATATTCTTTGTTTCCGCCCTGTGCACGCAGGTGTATGGCTTGGATAAGCAACAACTCCTCGGCTCGTTCGACCTTTCCGGGAGCTCTTACCAATGCGAGAACGGTAATTTAATCATATCATCTTCTCACCCAACATAACTAACATTATGTTCTAGGTGTGAAGCCTTCGATTGAATGCGTCGATCCAGCGTCAAACAAATACACCTGCTCATGCAATTGCACCAACGGCGTTATCATCAGTCAGCCGCTCACTTCGTTTACTCAGGCCGGTGGAAGCTGCTGTTCTTCTTTGGACGACTGCCAGGCAGAGATGGACAAATATGTCAAGGCCGAGCAAGAGTTGAAAACTCAGCTCAACGAGGAACGAGAAAGACACGCTAAGCGCGAGGAAGAATTTTCGGCAGCGCTGATCACCTGGAAGAGGACACCTTTCAAATATAAGGGCTGCTGGAAGGATACTTCAAGTCGAGTACTCAGAGGGAGCGGGCGAATCCACGATCTTTCAATGACGCGTCAGAAGTGCGAAACCCACTGCCAGAACTCCACACATTATGCCGTTCAGGCTGGCACTGAGTGCTGGTGTGGAAATGAAATAGCCGAAGCGACAGAGAAGCTTCAGGAGTCAGACTGTGACTACAAGTGCATGGGCGACCAGAGTCAGATATGCGGAGGCTCTTGGAAAATGTCTCTCTTTTCAAAAGAAATGTGAGTAATATCCTGGCTGAAAGGAGTTACAATGATGCCATGGGGTGTTAATTGGACGTACGTTTATCGATGTTGTCAGATTGTCTTTGTCTTTTCTAAATAGCCATTTTCATAGCGTAATAATGAGATTTTTTACTGTACCATGAATTTTCTGACGCCTTTAACTCCTGCAGATCCTTATTGTTCTCTGTGATGTATGCCGATAATCATGCTACGTGATAGTCGTCACATCCAGAATCCGCACGCATTTGGTAAGTATACCGAAAGACACTGTACTGCCCAGACGTTTCGAGATGATCCAGGTTATTTGACAGATTAGACGTGTGCAGCTGCATAGCGAGACGCGCATTGCGCTGTGGTGTTGCAAGCAGAAAGAGCAGATGTTTCAGGTTCCATTACCCTTAGATCAAGGTCTTCCCGAACAGTCATCACGCTTCTTTTCTGAGTCTCTCGTTTCGCTCAATGAGTTTTCGAGGCTGTTTGATGCCGAAAGGCCGTACAAGTACTTGATAGAGTAGATGGCCGCAGACTCTAGCAGGCAGAAGACGAATAAGACATAATCTTCAAAGCCAACTGCACAAGATTCCTGTATTCACAATACCTGCAAGAATGTCGTAGACACGGCGATGGATGATGGGAGAAGTTTAGCATCCGAACATCAAAGCACTCAGCTAATCCACGTTTGGCTCAACAGGGTTGGCATCCCATAAGGTGGTCTGGTTGAACCTTTCATGAGCGCAGTGTTCGCAGAATTTTTAGAGAACCAGGAAGACGTTATGAGCCTGAGAAGGCGTACCGGAATGCACTCAAAAGAATGACGAGTCAACAAATGAAAGCGTCAACCGCGGCTCCACATGTGAATTTGCTGAACAACAAGAACCCCTATTTTTGCGATCACTATTTGGCTTTCACCATTTCGAGTTGCGTTTTCGTCGTGTGTAACTTCGCAAGCTCGCAAACTCATTCATGCTTGTGGAGGCTGACACACCGATTTATGGGGAAGAAAGCAAGTAAATGATTGGTTCTTGTATTCAACACAGCTGATATTAGTCGGGAGCGGCTGAATTCGCTTACGTAGCTGCGTCTGCCAAATCAGAAGTGCAGCTCTACGCCACCCCCTCAAGACCCAGCGATAGCTTATTTACAACCAATCCTGTCAGCTGAGGTATTGAGATAACGCTAGACACCCCCATCTCCGCAGCCCTTCATTCGAAAGTTCCGTTCAATAACCTTCGATCATGCGTCTTCTACGATTGGATCGTGAAAAGTCCACATGGATTCTCGAAGACTTCCCGGGACGAGTGACTCCCTTCTACGCTATTCTCTTACATACTTGGGGTCGCGAAGAGGATGAGGTGAAGTTCGAAAATATCCAAAGCGGACTGCGAAGAAGATACGATACCAGCAAGCCGGGGTACGAAAAGCTCCGCTTTTGTCAAGAGAAAGTGGAGAAGGACGGCCTTGTATACTTCTGGATAGACACTTGCTGCATCAAAAAGTCGGACAGCTCCGAATTGCAACGATCGCTAGCATCCATGTTTTACTGGTATCAGAGGGCTGCCAGATGCTATGTGTACCTCTGCGATGTATCCATCTACGAATCCACTGAACATACCGATTCCGAATGGGAACAAGCGTTCTCACGGAGCAGATGGTTCAAGCGTGGCTGGACGCTTCAGGAACTGATCGCGCCAAAATCAGTTTTCTTCTTTTCCAAGGAGAAAAGCTTCCTAGGCGATAAGAAGGAACTGGCATCTACGATCAGCACCGTTACTCGCATTCCCCGTCCAGCTCTCGAAGGAGTGGAACTGTCGCGCTATAGATGGGACGAGCGGATGTCTTGGACATTTGGCCGCGTTACGACAGTCCCAGAAGATTCTGCTTACTGTTTGATCGGTATCTTCGATGTGGAGCTAAACATGTTGTACGCAGAGGGCGACTACCACAAGAGGCAGGGTGCAGCCATGAGAAGGCTTCAACGAGCCATCCAAGTGGAGGATACGGAATCTGAACGAGCACAAGACATCATACGCATTGGTGGCGCATCTTGGAGTGACCTGGTCACATTGAGCGAGAAGGATCTGCGACAGATGGACCTCGACCTTGAAGCATATCAGGAGTGGCTGCTTTTCGAATTTCCAAAGCAACACAATGATGGATTGACAAACCTTACCAACATTTCGCAGACTGCAGGCAAACGGATGAAGGACTTGCTAGCAAAGCACGGGGTCCGTTACCAAGATCTGACAGATCTTGGGGCTAACGTAAAATCTTGGGAGAAGCCGTGGGCCGTTTACAAGGACGAGAGGGCCACTGCTCAAGCTCGAGTGCAGGCGCTGGTACAAAATCGGTGGTACTGGACAAAGAGGAATGAGGACGTGTTTACAGGCATCACTGCAGCTAGAACGTTTGAAGATCTGATGATTTGGAGGGGAAGGTGGAAAATTTAACCTTGTCAATATTAGAAAGATGGGTTGAACGCTTCCTTGTCGATTGTTCCGAGTGTATCACCAACTGGCTAGCTGCTTCGCTCGATCAAATCCACCCCGTAGTTGCCTCTCTGGCTTGACCACCTTGCCTTGCAACACCGTGTATTTGATAATGTTCTCACAGTCCTCAGGCTTCACCCGCGCCAGCCATATGCATTGCGCAGCCTCGCCATTGCCTTCTGCCTCCTGTTCTTTGTTGGCATCCAACAAGACCTCTTGACCATTGTCATCCTCGAGTTTCAGCTCCTCGAGTCGTTTCTCCGCGCCATTGCTGTGTCCGTTCACCTTCTCAGGCCGTGAGACGACCGAAGAATGCCGGTACACCATGACATTTGCCGAGAACTTGTGACCCCCAACGTGACTTATAAAGTATATTCCTACACCGCCCGGCCGCTCATCGTGCAAGTCGCGGTAAAGTCCCATTGGTCGCAGCAGCCGCTCAAACTCTTTCCGTAGTAAAGGTGCCGACTGGCCGCAACGCGCGTCTCGCGTTTTCTGACTGCACATCAAGATCAGGTATTTGTGGGGACATGGTCGGGCTTTGAGCTGCGAGGTGGCGGGTAGCGACGGTGGTATCGAGGAGGGGGTAGGTTCGGCGGAAGAAGTCTCTTCCGGGGATTTAGGTGGTGGTAACGCCGAAGCCTTGTGGGAGCGCAACGGCATGTTGTTCGTCGGTCCGGGGTTGACAAAGCCGGTGATGAGCTCTGGTATGTTCGCTGGCGTGACATTGTCTATGAACTGCCACGATGGTAGCAGTAGCACCATTGAACTGTGATCTGAGTGGTCTGGGACGGGCATGTTCGAGGCGGACAGCATGAGTTTCTATGCACAGTCAGCGATAACACTTGATATAGCCGCAAGACGTGCGACTAGGCAATGTCTCCCACTCACCCCGTTGCTAGGCTTCGCATCCCCTCTGTCTACCGCCTCCATAATGCTGCCCTTTTCATCTGCAACATCGCGTACCCAATCCGTCTTGCCAGTCGCAACGATAAGATGCGTACTCCATCCTTTCACGTGCCCGTACAGTTCCTCCGTCTCGTCAATCTCGAACTTTCGCGGGTATTTGACACTGCAACTGGCGCAGTCGTGCAGACAATCGTCTCCATCTACCGCGGGGTCGGTGGTCGGGAACAACTCCTCCGTCTTCTTGGCTTTGGTGAACTCGTCGCTGTCCTTGTTCACTGTAGGAACTTCAGACGACGACAATGCCGACGTCAGTTTGTAGGAGAGGTTTCGCAACATTGCAGGGACTCGGTATGCGTTTATCGGCCTGTGGGGCGTCTTGGAAGGTGCCATGGCAACTTTATATCAGATGTGGAGATTAGATCGCCAAGGCGCGGAATGTGGGCGCGGTGATGACGCCGTTGCTTAGTAGTCGTTGACGGTACCTGGAATGGATGCAAAGTCGCCCGTTGTCGCCCGCTGTAGCCTAAACTGAACGACAACGATATCGAGAAGCTGTTCTTATTACTCGCTCACTAAGACGCTGACCGCTCCTTATATTGCTTTTGGTGTTCCGGTGAATTGTATCGGCCCTCGGAGCTCGCACCATCAGATAACGCGACAGATGCTCGGATTTACCGTTATACGAGGCCGGACTTCCTCACTTTCTCCGACTCTTCCAAAGAGCAACCTCTACTCGGCTCCACCTACGTAAGCACCGCTCACACCTCCCCTACGCTAGTCGCGTATGGATAGAACTTCTTTCCCAGCGAACCGTTGCCTTGTCGCCGTGGCTTCTGCCTGATACGCGTCTCAACAACACGTACGCGAAGACGCGTCAGTCGCGCAGTATGTGGCTCAAAATGCTCAACGGGGCGCCATTGCGCGGATACCTAAACTTCGATGATGATACGCTCCTGCCAGTCGAGGAGTGTCGTCTTTTTGATGCTGCAAGCAGTACACTCTCATCTACTAATGACTCGACAGCAGTCATCAAATGGCGTGGTATTTCGTTCGAAGACTCCCGACTTCGAACCGGATGGTCACAGCCTATCCTTCCAGATTGTAGCCCAGGTCGCGAAACATCAGATCTTTCGCTCCCCAACGTGAAGGAATTCGTTTCGTTTCTACCAGAAGACACAACCAGTCTGGAGTCCAAGATCGCCTTCGAAGATGCCTCATTGGCCACGAATAGCTTCCTTGAGCAGTCGCTCATGTTCCACGATACGTTGTTATCGTCTCAAGTCTTACCGGATGACATGACTGATAAGACTATCAGCTCCTCATCATTCCTGACTACTTCCTTCGGAACTACGGCATCTGAGTTCAGTAGCCCGAGCAAGGTCGGTGAGCATACTGTGAACATCCAGGTTCCACCCAAGATGGCCATCACACCCCTTGGGTCACTTCCCAGTGCACAGCGCTTGCGAGCGATCTACCCGCAAACGCCTACGCCGAATTTCCTATGTGCTGTGACAGCAACTCCCGAACAGAAAGAAGTCTTTGTGCGGAAAGGTGGATACAAAATGAAGCTATGGGAGATCATTGTCGCGGACGATACACGCTCGAACTTCAAGGTCACATTCTGGCTACGTCCACCTCGAGAGTCAGACAACGAGCAAGATCGTGTTCAAAACTTGCTCCTTCAAACACTCAAGAGCATCAAAGTTGGCGACATTCTTCTTCTCCGGAACATTGCGCTGACGTCCTTCGGCGACAACGTTTTTGGCCAATCTCTGAACCCAACTATCGCACGTGCACGAACAAGCATCGACGTCTTGACAAAAGGTGGCGCCGGTTCATCTGCTCAGCTAGGTGAACTACCCGCGCCAGTAGCTGACAGCTTCAAAAGGGTCAAGAGATGGGCAAAGATGCATATCGCTTCTGATAGTGCAGGCTCAAGGAAGAGAAAAGGAAGCGCCGCAAAGCAAGGAAAATATGCGAAACGGACTCATCGAAGTTTTGATGTCGATGATTCGATGCCTCCCGATACTATGGAAAGTGTATAAAGTGCATTCCCCACAACTTCACGATGAGACCAGATTTGCCGGTTAGCAATCACCACGTGCTGATAACAATTGTCGCATGTTTCATGTCCATCCGTCACTCCCGATTTTGGCAGGTGCCTGAATTTCGGCTGCTCGTCAATTCGCTCTTCGTGGTTGTCGCACCATGCCGCGGTGGCCTGTGCTGCAGCCCTGCCATCTTAGACAATCAACATCGCACACCTTCTCCACGTCACAGCCACAATCAGTATACGGCTCCGAGGGGAGACGATTGGCTCGTAGCAAAGTTTGGATACACACTCGCTCGATAGAGATGGAGTGCCCTTACCATCTGCTTCATCCATCTCCACACATCTTGGGCTATGTGTTTGTTATGATCACATTGACCGAGAAGCGCAGTGATGATGGAGTTTTGCAGTTCAGAACTTACAGTTGAAGCAATCCTACAATAACTCTACTTGGTGTTCTGGCTGTCTGTCATTCGCGCTCCACCGTCCTTGGCATTTTCATGCGTAGAAACCAAACATGTTTCGAACATCACCTTACTTGCAAGGATACACCAGGAAACAGTGGTGCATGTGTCGCGACAAATGCATATTGAGAAGGTGTGGATAGTCCTACGCATGAAGTACCTGTGGTACAGCCCGGAACGTCACGCACACGGAGCGGGGCAGGCAGTGGGTTGTGCGAATAGCCGTTCATCTTACTGGCATCTTATATACCTGATCATGTCGCTGTTCAGTTGCACACCACAGCATCGCTCGTCCAGTCTTTCTTTCAGTCCTAGTGACATTCAGTCTTTTCCCCAGCAACTTGTTGCATCTTCATTCTTTCAGATCTTGACGATCTCTTCCTTTCGTTACCGGCTGTGCCATCATGCATTCATTCTTTTCTACACTCACTGGTCTTGCTTCCTTGCTCTCGTTACTCGGAAATGTACAAGCTTTATCCAACTCAACGAACGGCCCCTCGTGCGGAGTCGCCAAGGCAGACGACAGCTCCTACTTCAGTGTCGTTGGAGTCCAGGGAACGGGTGTGCACCCGCGACAGGAGCTCCGCGAGCTTGAGAAAGACACGGAACTATGGAACATCTTTATCCAGGCGTTTGCTCGCTTCCAGGCTATGGACCAGAGTCAAAAGACCTCTTTCTACCAGGTTGCAGGTATGCTATTCCCGCTGCTACTAGAGAGCTCCACTGACACCTGCAAGGGATACACGGAGTGCCCTTCAAACAATGGGACGGCGTAAATGGAACAGCTGGCCAAGAGATGATGGGCTACTGCCCTCATACGTCTAGCATGTTTGGTCCCTGGCACCGACCGTATCTTGCGCTGTTCGAGCAGGTTCTCCATGATCGCGCTGTCGACGTTGCCAATGAGTATCCTATCGGCGAGGCCCGTAACAAGGCCTTAGACATCGCCAAACGCGTGCGTCTTCCATACTGGGATTGGGCAATGGATCCGCCGAACGCCCAGGAAGGCGTCGTACCTGAAAGTGTGCGTTGCCGAACGCAAACTGTCACTTTCCCCAATGGCACTGTAGCGGACATCCCGAACCCGCTATATCGATACGATTTCCATCCTTTGAAGTACGATGACTTTGCTCCTTTGAGCGAATTCGAGTTCAAGTACTGGAACCACACTATTCGGTACCCACTTGATCCGCATGCTGCCAATGCTACTAGCCGTAACAGCGATGTCAACGCGCGAGTCGGCAAACAGCAACCCAACCTTCGCGATATGCTTTACAAGTTGTTGACGACCTACCAGCCGTTCAGTCAAGTAAGCAACAAGGCGAATGGCGGCAAGATTGGGAATTTCGAGACACTTCACGATGGTCTGCACAACGTCTTCGGATTGGGTCATATGGGTATTGTCGAGGTTTCGGCGTTTGACCCTATCTTCTGGTTTCATCATTGTAACATTGATCGAATCATAACCATGTATCAAGCCCGTTATCCTGATACTTGGATTGAAGACGCCGTACAACATTCAGGCACGTTCGCCGTCCCTCGGGGTAGTGTTCTCGGGACTGCTTCGCCACTGGCACCATTCCATATGAACGCTCTCGGCGATATGTGGACTGCCACCACTTCGCGGAACTGGACTTCCTTTGGGTACACCTACCCTGAGGTTGCCAACAACCCTAGCAACGCTACACTTACATCTTCCATCAACCACTTGTACAAGGCTCAGACTCAGGGCTTGAGCGACAAGAACTTGACAGTCCCAGCTCCAGGCGGTGGCACGAACAACCGTACGGCACAGGCTATCGACTGGCAATGTGAAGTCAATATGCCAACCGATATCAAGATATCGTACTCCGTTCGCGCCTTCCTTGGTGAACCAAGTTCCAACCCGATTGACTGGCCAACGGATTCCAACTATGTTGGTCAGCTCGCATCCATGTCTTCTCCACGGATGAGTTCCTCGGTCATCGTCACAGGTAACATTGGCCTGACCGAGAAGCTTGCGCAAAAGCATGCTTCCGGCGAGCTCAAGAGCCTGGACAAAGAAACTGTGCAAGCCTACCTGAAGGAGAAGTTCAGCTGGCGCATTCAGGCTCTGGACTTCAGCGAGATCCCACGTAACAAGCCACCGGCTGGCTTGAACGTCACCGTCTTCAACGTGCCAGTCAGCATTCCAGAGTCCGACACCGAAGTGCCTACCTGGAACGGCGATGTCGAATACAACGACGACATCGAAGGCAACCCGCCTGTATACGATGGACCTGGTCCTGACGGCACTAACTCGACTCTCCCTGCTGACAAGGCGAGTGGATCGTACAATGTTGGCACCGGCGAGTTCGAGTGGAAGAAAGCACCGGATGTTGCGTCAGTGCCGGCGGATCCCAGGACTGAAACTAGGCTCGTGGAGTCTGTCATCACGCAGTATGTGACACTTGGTGCTTCTGCTACCCAGACGTCCACGCCGATGTCGACGGCTGTTCAGGTTTCTAGTAAGGAGATCGTGTCAGAGGTGCCTGTGTCTGCTGCGCCAACTGTGTCGGAGCAAGCGCCTGAGCCGACTGCGCCTGCTGACCGGAGGACTACGGTTGTGACTTCTGTGATCATGGAGTATGTCACTGTGTAGGCGGTGAGGATATCAGCTTGATCTTGATCTAGTTGTCGTTGGCTACATTCCAATCCTTTTTCCTTGGTCTTCCTGTATAAGGCTCATCTCACGCTGGTGCGCACTTGCACTAACACACTCATTTCATGTTCATGTATATACACCATCACATTCGCTCTATGTCGCTGTACATACATCATAACGCTTTACGCATCACGCTCATTTTGCTACGAACGCAGAAAGAATCAACTTTTTTGTTGCTATCCTCTTTTGTGTGCGTGTTGTTTGTTAGCATCATGTCCGATGCCTTTTCCGCTTGGCTTGTCTCCGTTTAGGCTCATCTACCTATCTTACACCGAAAGAGAATGAGAAACAAAGGAAAGGAGTTCTTGCACCTGCTCATACTCACAGTTTCCAGCAAATGGATCCTTGCGTGTCTTTCTCTGCAGATCGTATGGTCTCGACTCAACCTGCCCACCATGCCAGCCTTTAGTCCACTACTAAAACACACAAAAGCGTAAGCCTAACGGTATCAATTCATGCATCCCACATGGGGAGATGGCAGGTATGTTGAAAGCCTAAGCTGCCTGTCACAGTTCGTTATTATTACTGCTAGATACCACCATACACCCGACGTGTTTTGAACGCACATGCATCCGCGACAACATGAGATTCGCAAGCAGAAAGACTCATGCGGTATCGAGCGACTCAGACAGACTGAATGAGCCAGTAAGTAGATGCTGCATCGCTTTCTTCTGCTGCGGTTGCGGGCATGCAAAGACAACAGCCTCTTAAGGTCTGCTTGCGACGACCCAAGTTTGCGACCCTATCACGGTCGCCAGTGCAAAGATATAAGGCACTGCAACGCATCTCCCCCAATAGGAAGAGACTTCCAAGCGGCTTTCAGTATCCATGATGCGTCAATTATGTTGCTTCGAGACCGATGAGATCGCAAAGGTGACTACCTAGGTACCCAACGTGCTTAGCGCACCTGACTTATTGCTAACAACGCAAACACCTTATTTGTCATATGTATCGAGGGATGATGCCATGCAAGTCTCGGGCCATCTCTATACTTATATCATGTACTATCGAAGTATGATGTTGTTGAGCGCGTGAAATGTCAACGTTGATGGGACGTAAACACCACCTGCCGCCACCACTGCCTCCGCCCCACCCGATTCCTGAGCGACAGGTAAAGAACGAAGTATCGCACGCACTTCATCCCCCCCTTCTGAATTCACGCAGTGCAATGTTCGCGTTAATAAGAATGGTAGCATCACTTTTGAGTTCAAGTAGCATCTTAGGCTCATAGTAGGAACAAATACATACTGCGCACAGCAAACTGCTTACCTCGGTAGGTACTATCGCTTTGCATAATGATGAACTTTCGCATCGATTGTGCCACACCCGCGCATTTTCGTGGGTTATACTGGTCAGCCATAAGGCCAAACTGGTCCTATGCTGGACTTCCAAGACCTTTCGAGACCGAGTGGAAAGAGCTGGACGGCACAAAAGGTACCTTGGCAGTACTTGTTCAATGCAGGAAGAATTCTGTTCAATCATTCTCCATAGAGTGCATTAGAAAAGAGAAGACAGGACATTGTATTTTAATATTGTTTTTGGAGGTAAGTGTGTAAACAATGTTAGAAGCATTTGTATACGGCCCGGACCAGAAGGGGGTTTTAGACGCGTAGATGTCGCTATATGAAAGTTGAACCGCGCGCAGAAATTGCATTAGCTTATTAGCACTGCATAGACGCTCTTTTGAAATTACTATAATACTATTCTAGCGCAATAAAGCGACCTCTAATTGACTAAAACACTCCTCCGCGCGCTGTTGTATTGTAACCTGTCTAACAGAGTCACCGCAACCGCCCGAACCGTACCCATGTAAGACGAAGTGCTACTAATATGCACCAAAGCATGCCATGAGTCACAGTAGTCAGACCAGTCCATGCTTTCCGCTGGCCACACGCCAGACACATGCCCAAGCATCGATCCCTCCGATAATCGCGCAACTGCAGCCACTGGATACTATGTTCACACTGGGCACGGCGAGAAAGACCGCGGTCTGATCGAGCCAGTAAGAGCAGACTATATTTGCCTCCTGATTGCTAGGAGCTGCTACTCGCAGCTCTTCCCCTGCCTATGGGAGCTCAAGACGGCGGAATGCTCAGTGCACCACATCAAGACTAGGAACTCATATCGATCCTACAACAGCATGTTTCCCAGAGTAGTTTGACCTACTAGCTATTTCGTCTATATCGAAACAGTCTGGCACAGCCCACCCGCATAGTACCATGTTGACCAACTAGCTTTGAGACGACCTGCGTCGCACATACGTCCATGATTACATCCACAAGATCATGGACGCTCTGTATCCAAAGCACATCGAGCATGGTCAAGCTCGTATTGCTCACTCCCATTTCCCTGCCAACGCTCTGGTGCTACTAGACTGGATGATTGACCGGTTTGATGGACTGTGGACCTCTCCCTTGCTTCTCCAGAACCTTGGAGCGAAAGCAGGCCAGGACAAATCGAGAAAAAGATAACCCCAACAACACACAGGTATTGAGTAAACAATACGGGAATAACTTACAGCAGCCATGGTCTAAACGATGTCCAATGCGGCGTATGTCCTGGCCAGCGCATGGAGCCATTTCATAGCAATCGTCAGATCAATGCATAACTCTGCGCTTGCTCAGCCCGTAGCCCCAGTAGGACACGCTATGACCAAGACTAGGCAGCCACCTCACGAAACACTTGGAGCTTTGGCCACCGCTGCATAGCCTTACAGATTGACCAGGGTGGCGTAAAGGATTCAGGCTGACGTTTGAACCACAGACTATGCAGCTATGGTTGCTCGAAATCCAAACCTTCCTGGTAAACAAGGCCGCGGCTGGGCCCACTAAGTTTCTACATATCTGCATGTTGCGATTGAGCGGCATGCTGAACATGGGGTGTATATATGCGCGTCTTTCCTCAAGGAGCCGATCAGCGGGCTGAAAGCCCGCAGTGTCACGCCGTAGAGACTGTGCGTCCAAGGCACCTTCAGCCCTTCCGCTTTCCCCGTCCGCGGCGCCAGGGGATCTCGGGACGCAGAATCCTTCACATTCTGATTGGATAGAACCAAAGCTGTTGAGTCACACTCGAGCCATCAATCCAAGGGTAATGAAATCATTTTGGAGCCTCCCTCTGGTTTGGAAACTCATAGCATGCTGTAGACATCGCTTGGCACAATGCCGGTACAACCGTTTGCCACGGCGTTTGATCATGAAAATCAATCGGAAAGCATGCGAACCAATCATAGATGCAAAGTCGGACGGCGTTATGAAAGTACCAAGAGGTACCGTTCCAATTTTCTTCACACTGAATGATGCATCGGGCGCCGGCGGGTCGATTGCGGCGTCACCTTGCAATCGCCAGAAAGTCCATGTTCAGAAACGTTATGTGATTGTAACCTAGAATCTTCCTACTCCACATGTTCAATTTGACCAAACTCCTCTATCGAATGTACCAATGTGAAAAAGAGAGAACTCAAGGAAGATAGCTCATTATAGGCCACCGTCATTGGCTTCCTCATTCTGTACCAGGTTTGAAGGCGGCAGCTAAGGAAAAGGAACTTCGCGATGCAGGAAGCAGTTTCCCTTCTCGGTTCGCTGGCCATCGAACAAAGAATTTCAAGTCTCTACCGATTATCTCGATCTGGAGGAGCACCTCTACGCGGATCTTCAGGTCTTGCGTAGACAACCCTTTCTCTTTGTGGGCTTTGACATGATGCTCTTTGAGATCGGTCACATCAAAGACAACCTTGCCTAGCTGCGTAGTCCTTCCTAGAAGAAGTGTATGAGCATCGTGCTATATTGTAGCGATAAAATCTTCACTAACCTTTGTTGTGTTTGGATGTGCGCTGCCAGTAGTCCTCCGTGCAACTATCCGAAATGAAGAGGAGTTCTTGTCCTTTCCAGTACCTTGTGTCCTCTGAGAATAGATGCCGGACCACAGCTTCGACTCGGTGTACGCGCGGGATCACATCGTGGCCCTGAGAAAAGAAGTCAGTCTACGTGACAGCCGACTTGTGCAGAGCTCATGCGTACTTTTTTGAGGATCCACAGAATCGTGTTCTTGATGACATATTCCCCTTCTCCATCTTTCTGTGCCTTCTGTTTGGTGATGCATGGATCTGTGGAGTCTTCTTCCCAATTGATGTGGCGATAGATCCCAATACTCTGAGTCGGGATACGTTCCGGTCCAAGCTGTTTGTTTTGGGCTCGCATGATAGCACCCATAGCTATCGCAGAAGCTCCTTTGTTTCTGGTAGTATGAATTAGCGATAACAGCGTCAATGAAATAAGAGTGTTCCTGGTGCGCAACATACGCGAGAGCGAACTTCATGTCAATCAGGGAGCCATTTCTGTGGTTGAGTGAATTCAGCCATATTCGGAGGTACTCTCTCAAGGCTGGAGAGTCTCCGAATCCACCAATTACGACAATGGAATCAACCACAATGTTTTTCGTAGAGGCGGATGATATCTGTTCCTCCATAAGATCTCGGATGATCTCTAATGAAGGTTTGAAAATGTTCCACATGTCGTCGCTTGGTGGATCAGCGGAGAGACTTTTGTAACAGGATATTTAAACCACTTACTAGTCCAATACGTAACGCCCATCCAATAGGCGTCGGTTATTGTGTGATGCTCGGAGACCCATGAGTGGGAATCTGAAGCGCTGGGATCTGTTACGCCACTGGAAGGATCTTTTGTGTTCGTTTTCAAATTTTGGCATGATGTAATCGTCGACAATGGATTCGATAGTCACCGTTGCGGCGAGGTATTCTTGATCGCGAAGATCGGATAGCGCAAACGCTCGCATTCGCTCATTAAGATCGCTTGATCCACACATGGCCCCTAAGATATAGTCAGTTTCCGCTTCCCCTTCGTGGTTTTGAGGATTGATCTACCGGAAGGAGGGTTTATCTCTTTTTCGAGGCGCAAGGGTTCAACTTCCGTTGTTCGATATAGGCCAAGGTCTGTTGTGCCCCCGCCGCTGTCGACAAGAAGAAACACTCCCAAACGCTGACCATGTTAGCATGTTTGTCCTTTAAAATAGAACGCATTCACATACTTTGATAACGCCATCGCGCTGATTAGATTCAAGGGCGTATGAAGCTCCTGCCTCAGCTTCGTTCACCATGAATAGGTTGACTGTTGAACCACGTTGATCTCGGATCAAACCAAATCCAGATTCTTGCATTGCTGATTCAATGCATTTGCTCATCAACGCATTCGCCATGGTGCTCCAGCAGACTGGTACAGAGAACGTAAGTTCAACTAGACTTATGTGTTAGCAGGAACGATAGAAAACTGCCAGGCCGCACTGTCAAATACCAGATTTATCATCGATGAAGCTATCAGCCATCTCCAGAGTTTGCTTGATGCGGTGGAAATAATATATCAATATGTGTCGTATGATATCATGCTCGGATTCTATCAAGCAATGAGCTTTAAGTTTCTGTACTTCCTTCGCAACATCACCCTTAGCATCCCGAGTCCAGGCACAACCCGTATCGTCAAGAAGCAACTTCATTCGCCTTACGTGAGCAACAATTCTGTCATTGGGTTTCAATTCGTCCTGCCAGCTTTGTGCTTTGTAACCGTGCAGCCTGGAAGCAAGGCTATAGACACTTTCCGTTGGAACTTGCCTGTAGTCGGATTGTTGACAAGAATCTCCATCCCACTGGTCAATGGTGTGAATAGTCGGGTCACCCTTTCTAGCAAACGCAACGCTAGTATATGTCGTGCCGAAATCGAGCGCAATACGGTAGTCGGGTTCAGTAGGTCGGTCAGTGACCATGACTGATGGCTGAGTAGCTTCGGATGTCTGACGTGTAATGTTGTGAGCGGCTTTCATCCTTTTAACGGAGTCTCGCAGAATGGTGTTATCAGCGCCAGAGTCTGGCATGTTGGATACTTGCGGAACCAAGCATGGGTGGGAGGTGCGTCGCTTCTTGGGCCGTCTTATGTTGAGTGTGACAAAGTTCTCGTTGACTGGACGTCTAATGATTCTTCCCTTTGATGATTTGACATCCGACATGACTTCAGCCATCGCGTCTCAGAAGTGATGGAAAGCAGGTCGTGTTCATGAGAGGAAGAAGTAGATAAGCCCGTCAACTCTGTGGGAAGGTACGCTAAGAAATATTGTGTCTAAAGTACCGCTATACCTAATTAAAGTATCAGCTGCACCTAGGAACTGGGTGGTGTCCTCGGACCTAAAATATTTGCAAGATTGGCACGCGTATCATAGCAGCGTCTGCATCATTGGCGTCTGGCACGTCACTAGCTCAATACGATACGCCAATCGAGCTTGGACCGATATGTATGACTGGTGTTATGCATCTCTTCTCGGTTCTCAAATTTATCCTTGTTATCATCGAAGCAGTTGTCTTGGGACAACGCATGATGCAAGTTAGTCCTCAATGTTTCAGAAATTCGTATCGCAGCAGCTCTTTTGGTTCTGTGATGAAGCTGCATATCGGATTATGTGGCTTGGATCGTTGTGGCGTAGTTGAATTCGCCTGAAACAAGGCAACCGACAAGCACCCCGGCCGATCAAGGGCTAACATTGGTCAACATTGCTACATTGTCAGGGGCAACGTTTCCGAAATAATTTGCGAAAACTCCAAATGAGAGCGTTGAAATTATTACACCGTTTAGGCTTATCACTTCCGTTATGTGCCTGGCCTTCGGTCAGGCACTCGTCCTTCTCTTCTGTGTTGCCAAGAACACCCAAGTGTTTTCTTCCTTCTGGCTGCTTTCTCAGGGCCCAATCCCCATTCCCCATGGAACTCCGTTCATCGTCCTGAATTCCTGTTACATATCACATTGTATCGTCGTGATGAAGAAATACTCTCGATGGACGGACGACGAAACAGTGGTGGTGTTGAATCACATTGATTGGTGCCTTGCCAACAAACAGGATTACTGGCAGACGATACACAGCAAGTTCAACGAGGAGACCGGTCGAGTGCCCGATGAGTCGCAGATTGTGACCCGTCTCAAGGCTATCTGTAAACAGCAGACCCCGAGAATCCATTACAAGCATTTGATAGCCCACGGTACTGTGGTACTGGAGGACGCCACGATAGCCGGGCCCATCTTAGAGGCCATGAAATACGGTAGAGAGAATCTGAGCCTCGACGTCTTGGAGAAACGTAGAAAAGAGATTCCACTATCGCAGGCCGGCTTATCGCAGGCAAGTACATCTAAAGATGTATTGAGAATGTTTCCTAACGTTAAGCAGCGCAGCAAACGGCAGACAAAGAAGAAGCGTCGATTGGATAATCACCGACATTCGTTGCATGATAGACCTTCTGGCTCAAGAGAGAACAGTGGTCTCATCATCCATCACAGCCAGGTCGATCGAAAACGAAAACGTGCAGACAGCGTTCCTCACAATGACATCGCGTCCTCTCTAGACCTTCCCAACCCCGAGACTGTGACATTGGGGATGACGACAGAATCAGACCTACCAGCGCAACTCGGAAGTCCGGAATCGGGAAATACTGTATCGCACCTACACAAACGGCTGGAGGCCCTTGAAGGGGAAGTCAAGTCCATGTCCGAACTGGGACACAACACAGAACAAGCATTGAAGATGGCTATCCAATGCATAACTTGGGTCTTTCGGGAGCAAATTGGACCTAAGAACAAGATACCTGAAGAGATCTTCTCAACAATGCAGCTTGTTGAGAGAACCATCAAACAGAATCCGAGCGATGCTTTAGGTAGGCTTATCAAGGACTTGCAGCAAGCGAACGTCGTTCGCCAGCGATATCAAGAAACCGTCAGAGATCTGATTGGGTCACGCGACTACGCGAAAAAGGTAGGATTTCCACCACTGCCTCTCCCATCTGAGCTCGCTGAAGATTGGCGTCGCATTCGATCACCACTGAAGGAAACCATGGTGGGTACTGGAGCACATGTTTCGCGTATAAAATTGGCTATGACTGGCTCTTTCTCGAACACACATCTGGATGATCTTGCCAAATGCAGGGAGGGGGGAGCATACGAAGCACAACCGTGGATATGTACACGTCAATTGTATCTGGACAATCCGACCGCAGCGCAGCATCTACTGGCAGTTGTCTTGTGCCAGTTGCTGTTCTGCGGGACTGAGACCATGTGCGAAGTGACGCCTGCAAGTCGCGCGTTCCAAATCTATAGAACTGTGACAGGTACGTTATGACACGTGATGGCATATCATATCTACAACTGACCTTTTGCTTCCAGAAGACAGAGAAGAGATAAGGCGTATCGACACAATTGCCTTCCAGCTTTTCACCAACCAGCCTTCCTTCGTGACCGAGGTCCTTCCAGATCGTATCCAGAAAATGCGAGAATGCCTTGAAGCCTGCGCTAGAGAATTCACCACTGGTGTTAGCTGCAACTCTCCATTTCGTCATCTCGATTTCATGTCGGTTGAAGCGGTCAAACATGCCCTCAGCCTAAAACGAGCACTGATGTTGAGCGTTTTCGAATATGAAATCCATTTCGCTATTCCTGGAATGGACTTCGATCCAGTTTGGATGGATGCAGAGGATGAAAATGGTGTCAGCTTGGACCCGCTAACATGTGCTAAAATGAAAGTATCAATTTGCGTGTTCCCTGGACTTGTGCAGGCACCAACGAAGAAGCTGCCTGGAGACGCCGACATCTCTGCAGCACTATTGCAGGCGAAGAGCTTCTTTCCTCCGCCTCTAAAGGCATGCCCATCTCTGGAACATGACATAATCGTCGCGAAGGCTATTGTGCTGGTGCACGACGGGAACATCGACGCTACCTAGACTGGGCACATATATGAAAGACTTTGACGGGCGAGGAGGGTAGGGAATGCTTTGTTATGTGTGCGTTGTTTGGGAGTATATGGAGTTTATTGTTTGGGTAATAGTACTTGCCGTACTGATGAATTCAAAGTTTCGATACCTTTTGCTTGTACCAAGTCCCCTTTGCTTGATTATCTTGTGGTCGAGATAGGTATCTCAAGAGCCCAGATGTAAACGGGAAAGGCGCGATGGAAAGGTTCCGTTGTGCTCGAAACTTTAACAGAGTTGCAGATCGCTCCAGGCGACGAAGCTGTGGCATTGAATAGCCTGAATGTTTCTTAGCGCGCGTTATCGTAGCAGGCTGTTTCAGACTTCTCAACAAGGTTGTGCATCAAACTGTGTTCAAGCACTATCTACTGGCAATCGACTCACCATTGTTAAGCCAAGGGGTTGCTTCTATGAGCGAACTGAGGCTGAAGGGTATGAGGCATCCTTTGGCATCAAGTGTCCGAATGATATCTTCTAGGAGGGTTTGTGTCATCAGTACGCTAGGTAGGCGCTTCCACCAAAGCGTTAGACCTGTCTGCTTCGATTGATCTCACACTTGATAGCTACACCGGATGCCAGCCTTTCTTACTAATATTGAATCCCCTTGGAGAGGTCAGATAATTTACATGGTGAGGAGTCTCGAGAACGATATGCTTGGGCGTGTGTCTCTGCGCTGAGTAGGTGACTCTGCAACTACTACTTGGGTATGCTTGTGGCCAGTACCCTGGCACAGACCGAGGCCATAGTGTCTTGTGTACCTACGAACACGAACAACCGGGACTACATCAGTCGCGCAGACGTAGCGGCGCAGCTACGGAGGCATGGACCTTACTGCCTGTGCGCGCCATGGGTCACGAGTCTGAGCCGGATACTAAGGCCTCCATTGTAATTACTAACACTGTTCCTCTGTTGGTGTGCGGGCTTTTCGCTACCAATAAGTCTTCTCTCGGCGCTCCTGTTTTTATAGATTCGCGTCGTTGTCCTGTGCGCGACTCGGTCTGCGACCGCTACTCGTTGGTGGCAAGGATGGGTGGTGAAGATAACGATGGTTCAGAGGGCGATGACAGGTACATCTATACTGGCTGAACTATTTTAGGGGGCGTCTACCGCGAGTTGGCTGATTGCGGGGTTGTAATTGCGATTCTAGGAGTAGCTTGTCGAGGGCTGAGGCAGCTGATTCGAGCGCATAGCATCGTGAACACGATGTGTTGCGACTGTACAACCTGGAACGGTTTCACTCTCCTATCGCTTCAAGAGGCGTCAATCAGACAGTTGATATCATTACGTAGCTGTAGACAAGCAAGCGAAGACTAACATTGCTGGAATTGGCGGCCTGTTATGTATTCCCGTTAGCAGGCGTCTAGGTGTCTTCGAAAACGCAGGAAAAGGCACCGCTCATCCGCCTCACACATTTCGAGAATGCTCGATGGAATTGTGCTATCGTGTCCCTAACAAACAAAGGGATGGAAGCTGTGCAAGATGCCCATGTTCGTTGTGTGTGCATACAGCTCCGGACAGAACACGCCCTCATGCCAACACGTGGTGAGGTTGAGCTTCACCAGCCGGTGGTTCGACCAATCAGCTGTTACGTCACCCCCAGCATACCGCCTCTGATGGAATGGCAGACGGAAGACATCCTTGAAGCCTTGCGCGTCTAACGAACATGGCTGTTACTTGCTTGCGCTTTATCCTGCCCTACAAACAATCGATTACCGTCGTGGTGGGGTCCACGAGAGCCGCACAATCAGCTGGTGTCTATCTCTCGTTGCCGCAGGGCTAGGTACCGTCAACACCTCCTACCGCACTGCCACTCCTACAAACGAATGCAAGCCTTGCAATCTATGTTCGCTCCATCACAGGTGTACAAAGAATCAAATTGTTGGCTTCTACAATTTTGTCTGCTTCACATCTGGTCGGATCCTCTTGTATGCTAGCTTGCTTTAACACGCTTGGGTGAAGGCACATCTGCAGAAGTCCAACGAAATAGTCCAGCCAGCAAAGACGAAAGCTCTCTCTCAGACTTACTATACATGGCCAGAATGTTGCTTCCTCTCCTCAAGATGCTGCTTCCCTTGCTCTTCCTGATCTAATGGTTTGTCTTCGATAAACCAAGAAATGATGAATCCAACCACAGCAGTAGCGGTTACCATCCACAAGACCCCGGAAATAGATTTCCTGTAAGCTTCGATGAGCCTACCCAATACATCCGCCGACATCTCAACATGTCTCAAGATTGTCACAAAGCCAACCGCCTCTCTCACATCATGGAGCGCAGCTAGCTGGCCAGGTAGAGGCTGCAAGCTTGCGATGTTGTCGGCGAAGATTGAGTTGAAGATGGTTGACGATATAGCCAGTCCTATGAGACCACCAAAGAGGCGGAAAGAACACAAGATGCCGGCTGCGAAACCCATGTCGTCGACAGGCACACTGGCTTGCAGAGGAAGGTTAAGCACAGACCAAAAAGGGCCGATACCAATACCAAGAAGCACTTGGAATGACTCCATCTCTGCTAATGTGGAGGAGCGATCCAAAAGTGTAAGGACGCCCGCACCCACAGCCATAAAGATCCAGCTGATAATTATCACGATCTTGTACTTGCGCATGATCTCGACTGCGACTGCAGACGCAACTGCTGTCGCAATAGCTAGAAAGCAGACTGGTAAAGTCAAGACAGCTGCTGGTAATGGCCCCTTAAGATATACGGCTTGGAAGAACAACGGGATATATAGAGTGATGCTGTAGTTTACAACGCCATGCAGAGAGGCTGCAAGCAATGTGAGGGACGCGGTGCGGTCGTTGAACATCCGGTATGGTAGAACTGGCTCAACCGGCGTTTTTTCGTAACGGAGAAATGCGATCAACACAATCAACCCTAGTATAAGAGGAAGAAAGGTTTTGTATGAAGACCATGGAAACATGCCAGCAGCCCATGCAATCGGCGAGGCAAACAACGTGCAGCCGATAGAGAACAGGACGATTCCAATCCAATCCAAACGATGTAGCTTCACACGTAGTGGCTGGTCAATTGTCTTCAGCCTCATGAAGATAATCGCCAATATCAGTCCAATGGCGGATAATGGTAGGTTGATCCAACCAATCCACCTCCATGTTATATCTTGACTGAACACACCACCAAGAACAGGCCCAAGGACAGTGCCTGCCAACATGGGTATCGAGAAGTATCCGAGGTACATTGGGCGTTCTTTCAGCGTCGTGATATCAGCCAGGATGATCTCGTTGAGGACGTCTAAGCCTCCAGCACCAAAGCCCTGCAGTGTTCGGCCTGCGATTAGCACAGCCATGCTTTGACTTAAGCCGAAAATAATGGACCCGGCGATGAAGAACATGTACGAGATGTACAAGGGGATCTTGCGACCCATGACGTTGGAGACACTGGTGTAGAGTGGTTGGACGATGACTACCGCCAGTAAGAAGGATATGCTGGCCCAGAAGCCTTCCAGGGTTGACCCTTCGAGCTCATGAACTATGGACTACGTTGATATCAGTACTTCAGCAGTATACCACCTCGACAAAGGATCTTACAGGAATTGCGACACCAAGTACCGTGGCATCAAGAGCACAGATGAAACCCATGATCAAAAGGGAGAGGAACGACATATGAAATGCCAGTGATTTCCCACGTCGCGGCTCTTGAGGCGTCGATACATAACTGTCGACTTGGTTGCGTTTGTCGCCGCTGTGATGGCTTCTCGTAACAGGTTGTGGACCATCAGACGTCACACATACTTGTTTTCGAATTTCGAGATTCACCATGTTGGGTTCTTTTGGTATGAGCGTGATAGGACGTCTGCAGTGGTAGTAGAAGCACACAACTTTTCCTTAACGGCGACCCTCGCAACTACCGACTGTATCTCAGCGATGCACCACGGTAAGTCACGACTATTCTTGGGCGGATATTGCTCATCCGTCACAGTGGGTCAATCTTGCGATAGGAAGTGTTACCGGACGAGGATAATGGCTTCGCTACACATCAATAGGTGATGTAGCGCGGGCTGATGCTGCGAAGACATTGCAAGGATAGAGACCAGCATTGAACCAGGCAGCGGTCTTTACGAAGCGCTCATACCAGGGTGTATCACACCATGCGAGTAGCTATTGAAGTCACCAAATGGGCTGAACTCCGATAGATACTAAACTAATGCTGATTTTGATCGTCCCTCACTGCATATGTGGGTCAGTTTGGCCCCCACCATCTCCGCCGATCATTTCTGAAATGTCGCTTGACAAGGTATGTTACTTCTCGCAGTATCGAACTCAAATCATTTATTGATGCATGATACGGCTAGGCGGCATAGTGGCTTACATGGATTATCCGATCAGGATGCGGAGCTCAGGCTCCGCTGTGCCGCAATCTAGCACTCCGATTGGCAGCCTGACTTTGGCTGACAGTGGTCGCACTATGGCAGCGGCCATACCCGTTGTACACCTTGGGGCGCGCGTGTTCCCCGGTTGCCCACAGAATACTTGACCTTGGCTGGTCTGTCTGCCTTGCGAGATGGTTGTGCAAACCCACAAGTATGATGGATAATATGTCCGATTGGTCAAAACGTTGGCGAATCGCATGGAGAAATTTACCCGCACCTAATGTACCCGCCTAGGGATAACATGAACCGGTGAACGATCACGACCCGATGTCTTCCAACCACCGTTGAAGGTCGCTCATCAAGCGCTCACCAAGCTCCGTATCAACCACGCAGTCTTGCCAACTACATGTGACACACATTTCTCCACCCTTGACTGTCATGATCGACACCGAGAACGCAGCTGAAGGTGTCTCTGCACTCAAGATGAGTTCGGCTCGGCGGAGTGACCAGGCCTTCTCTCCTCCATCGCTAACGGTACTTTCTCCGTCGATGACACCAAGGTTGGTAACTAGCCAAGACAGATACCTCATCCTGAGCATCTCGCTTTGCTGTTGGCTGTTCCAGTCGGGGCATAGCTTCATAATACCTATCAGATCGTTGCGTGTGCCAGACTCTAATCTTGCCTTGATCTCTTTCCGGACTCTCGCCGAGACGGACCAAACTATATTCATCGCATCTGGAGGCAATTTTGATACAGTAGAGGTGGCTGGGATTTGAGAGCGGATTGAATCGACCAGGTCGGTGCCGAACTCGTGTTCAACGACTGATACGTAGTTACACATGAGCTTTTTGGGTTGTACCAAAGGGTACTGCTTAGTGTTGGATGGTAGAATGTGTCGCAGGTCGTACGGTGTTCTGCTTGCAAAGCCACTGGCGTCATGGAGCGCAGTTGAAAGTGAGACTAGACAAAGGGCCTGGAGAAGACCTGTGAGAGTGGTGTGGTGCTGACGGCAGGCATCTACTAGCTTCGTGACACATTGACTACCGATTGCGAAGTTGCAATACTGAGTCCGGTAAGGGGATGCTTGGATTGGAGCCCAGCGTGCATGCATTTTGCCCGGCGGGAAGATCCATTCTGGTTTCAGGCTTTTCCAGACTTCCCATAGCATGAAGCCTAGTGATACAGGCCACGAAGACAACATTTCCGGATTCGGCGGTAGCCTATCCGTCGGATCGGGTAGATTGAGAATCCACTTATCCGACTCCTTAGAAACTTTGATCATTGGCTCCTTGTCATTTCTAGAAGCTTCGCTGAGTTGATTCAGCAAGTTTTGATGGAATATTCTGCCACTTGAGCCATCGTGATGTGGGTGGTTCCAGACGTAGAGCACCTCCATTGATTCGGCCCCAGCCTGATGTAAGACGATCACCCGCCAACCCGGCCGAGTCGATAAGTCTTCAAATCTCATGTCAAGCTGATCCTGCACGATCTTGAGGTACTGTTGCCGTGGTGCGGCGGACTCTTTTACATCAATCCACTGAATGTGGTTGCGAAGATCGAGATGATTCAGACGAACGAAGGTGGGGTTCTTCGAATGCTCCCCGGTGATTCCGACCTGTAGATGAGGCTGAGAGATCACAACTCGTGCAACGGAATCGACGAATCGAGCTTGGAGGTCTACGAATGATTCTGGGCGGGCAAGGATTGGTGGCGGGAAGTAGCGGCAGACGACAATGGTGCCGCGGTACTGGTCGAGTGTGTGCATCGCCAGCTGATAAGCTTCACTGCTACGTGTGAACACTCACGCTCCAGTGAAATCTTGGTGTATTGTTGCACTTACTGGCATCCCATCCCGCGAATCACGGCGCCCGCTTTGCCATTAGTTGAGGCCATGATTGTAGTCCGTTCGCATGTGCCACGGGTACCGAATGATTACCTGAAGGAAGATGAGGAACTGCGATAGTGGTAGAAGCAGATATACAATCACCTGTAGCGCTTCTGCCCTTGGTATGGTAGATGACTACTGGTGGTCTATATACGCAGCGCTGGAGGAGCCACGCCACACCGAGCTAGTCGGCTTAGCGCGTCCGCACGGACTGTTGGACGCTGCAGACTTAAATTGACATCGCACATGCGACCTTGCTCACTCTCCTTGCATAACCATCAGATCCGTGCGCTTTGCATCACTCTACGATATTTCCATTGGCTTGTATATACGTACTTCCTTCTATGAAGAGCTTAGACAGTCTGCAGCTGCCTGTTCTGAGCAACCCCTTTCGTTACACGTACATGTACCATCTCTGGCTCCCGAACATCGTCGCTCCTGCTTCTAGAATCATCAACGCTGCTTGTCGACAACAGATCTTGCGTATTCAGTTCGCTCTCAACCTCAAACACGCTGCGACGCTGTCGAGACTTCGGCTTGTACATCACCTGCCATTTCTTTGGCCCGGATGAGCCATTCTGTCTGCTGCCGCTCGACAATGAGCGGAAGAACGATGATACGGCATCAGGTACTGGTACAGCTTTGGCGATCCGAGGGAACGCAGGTATCCCCATGATAAGGAAACCGGTTGTGACCTCCCAGATTGTCCATAAAGCGACGCCAGTCATCTGATAAGTAACATCGTCGGAGTGGAGTAAGTTGACGAAGTATACTGTACGCACCACACCCATGGTCCATGCCCTAAATAACGCGTGGTTAGTCTCGTAATCACGGTGGTATTGAAGGAGCTTACGAACCCGAGACCTACGACAAAAAGCAAGGATAGGCCTACTTTTTGGTCGCGCGACATGTTCAGATGCCAGATCACCCATTGCGGAATAGCGAGGATGACTGTATCCGAGATGAAGTTCAGAACACTGGTTGCAAGATTCTGTCCTAATACGTCGACAGAGCACGTGCCACCTTCAAACCAGGGATTCCAGATCTTCTCACGCGGCCAGCAGCGGAACACTTCAGTGAAGGTCGTGATGGTGTAGTAAAGTACATTGGTCCAGATCAATACATGGAGGGTCCAGTAGAAGGCGTTGCGCGTTCCTGTTGGGACGAATATGCGAAGCCAGTTAGCCAAGATGGCGACTTTTATGCACATGGCGACTGGTCCATAGTAAACAGCACCCAAATGCGAGCCCTTGAAGACATCAGTACGATGTGCGGACGACACTGGAAATGCAAGCCTATCAAAGGGTACTCACATGGAGGAAGTCAATGAGTGTCTTGTTGTCCACGTTCCATTGATGAACCCATACACCTGGCCATCTGCAGAGGTTCCAGGTCATGTATTGGTTTCCGGCGAACACGCCCTACGAATCGGTTAGCATACACTCATCGTCTGTTCTTGCTGACTCAATGAACCAAATTCTATTACTTACCAATGCTGCAACCATCAAGAAGTCTTCGATGACGAACTTCTTAGCCATGGAGCTACTCACCAACCGTGCTGCGACGGCGATGAATGCTATCGCAGAGGTTGCGATGACGATACCATACCCAAGGTTGTGGCTTCCACCAGGGTTGGCAAAGTCGGGCACCACACCAGGTGGCGCATCTAGGGCAGGCTCCAATAAAATAGCATCAAAAGTCGCGTTTCCCATCTTTTGAATGGCAATACTGTAGGTCTTGGCGGAGTATGTTTTGCACGACGTCCAGGCAGGAAAACAAGGAAAAACGCATGGATCATAGACATTGGAAAAGTCTATGTTTGTATGGGAAATTGAATGCGGATAATGAGGAGTTGCGAGCCGGTACAAGGTGAGATCACAAGAGTGCTGCAGATAGTCGGGTAGTACAATGGCTGTATGCGCCACTAGGCCAATGTGCCTATTGGCGCCTCCCGGCATGGGATTGGGCGCAAGTGCTTATCATGCATGCACAGCTGACAGACTTGGCATACAGTCAATATGAACACTCCATCACCTGGTCGCTGAAGGGGCTGTGTTCCTGCAGACCCTGGTATCGAGCTTTGGATACCCTGTACTGCTACCCCACAACAAAGCAACCAGGCTGACATCAAGCAGGGGTGGTAATTCCGACGGCGCCTACCGACAATCCTTCCCGCAGTCGTTGCGACTGGAAAACTGTCAACGATCATGCAAAGGAGCTCAGTTATTTCCCCAGGTCGTACCTTTCCTTGATGTCATGCTAAAAATACACACTGTTTCCTCCCTTGAAATACTGACAAAAGTAACACTGCATACTTTTAGATTAGGTTTCAACTTTTGTGAAACTTCTTGATCAAACCATCCTTGTTCGTACTTGCGACGGCAGACGCACAGCCTACTGCTTACACGACGCGCGATCTAGCAATACGTCGGATCTTGACCACAGCCAACTTTCCTGCATACTGGACGAGGCACTGGAAATGGTTACCACTACCCCAACGAGAGGCAAGCAGCTTTTCAACCCAGATCGATCAATCACGAAGCAAATAAAGGCTCAGCAAATCCAGCCAAATTCGACGAAAAACCTTCCGGCCTTCTACCGCAATGTCGAAGAAGCGCTTGACAAGCGCCGCGCAACTCAAAGTCTGTTCTCCATAGTTCATAGTAACTGGCAGACCAAAGATGCTGTCGATTTCTGCTCGAACGATTACCTCAGTTGGAACACTACCGGTCTGATTCGTAAGGCCTTCCTCGAAGAATTGAGCCGCTACCCGGACTTCAGCGTCGCCGCGGGTGGTTCAAGAGTCATGGAAGGAAATTATCCCTATATTGAAGAGACAGAGCTAGAGATTGCAAAGGACCATAATGCTGAGCAGGGTTTGATTGTGAACTCAGCTTTCGATGCGAATGTCATGGTTTGGTCTGCACTTCCAAGACCTGGCGATGTGATCGTATACGATAGTTTGGTTCATGCATCCACCCATGATGGGATGGATCGAAGCCTTGCCATTCAGAGAACCGAATTTCAACACAACAACATCGCCGCATTCCGGAATATCTTGACCTCTATCCTGGATACTCAACCGCTGATCAAACAAGGTCGGCGCTCTATACTCGTAGCAGTTGAATCAGTGTATAGCATGGAGGGCGACGTCTGCCCCTTACTGGAGCTTGTTGAGATAGCCGATGAAATCTCAGAAGGCCTTGGCAATATTCAATTCGTAGTGGATGAGACGCACAGCGCCGGGCTCATAGGACCAAATGGCACAGGTCTAGTGTGCGAACTGGGTCTGGAAGCCGACGTTGCGGTGCGACTGCATACGTATTCAAAAGCAATGGGATCCTGTGGAGGTAGGTAATGCTTTCATGACTTTGGTTACAGCTAACGCAATCAACGTAGGAATCATACTCAGCAATGACATCGTGAAGTCTGCCTTGATCAACTTTGCGCGCCCCACAGTCTACTCTGCAGCACCGCCATTTCCGTTCGTCGCAGCAATTCGAGCTGGACATAGGCTACTCGGTACCCCAGAGGCAGTTAAGGCAAGTACAGCATGACATGTCTTTGTGACGGAAGCATTAATGACAGAAAATAGGGGCAAGAGAACGTTCAATCCATCGCTTGCACTTTCTTCGAGACATTGACGTCGCATCGACTTTGGCCAGTAGCGCGAAAAAAAGGCCTACTCGACGTGCCGTTAGCCAGTGACTGGGAAGAACGCCCATTTCTTACACACATCGTTACTATCTGGACTCGTCAGGAATATATTTACTGGATTTACATGCATCTCCTTTCAGCTTCATTGTTCGTCCTTCCTGTCAAGCATCCGGTTGTGCCCAGTGGTCAAAGTCGACTTAGAGTCACATTTCACGCTGAGAATACCACTACGCAGGTGATAAACCTGGTGGAACAAATCTATGTATGGGTGGAGGAAGTCATGGCTATTGAAGATGGAAGTTCGGGAGAGAAGGTCACTGGAGCAGCCAAACAAGTGTATGCATGGATGGAGGTAGAGGGATTGAGTGGCTTCGGGATGGTTTAGATTCTGCTAGGGTATTATTTTGCCATATCAAAGTTGACCTATATTTGGAGATCTGACTGGTTCTTTGGTGTATCGAGAGCAATATCTTCATGTCGGAACGGATCACTCTTCTCCATAATCACCAGCTAGTTGTAGCTTAGTTTCGCTAGTTCGAAGTTTGGCAGATGTTACTATCAGGTGGCACGACTTTCTACTTTTGTAAACTCACAGCCACCAGTGGCATGCAATATGCATGGGGGTGGTGGTACCCTGGCAGCGCTTACTAGATCGATGCATACCAGGGTATGGAGCCGGCTGTTCGCCCCAGCGGAGACCCTAGCGCTGATGTGGGTATCCTTGAGTAGTGCACATGCCCATTGTAGAACACTAACCGATGATTCAAGACTAAGACCTCCGCACTCTAGGTTTGTCGGAGCTTGAACCTGGCCCTCAATTGCGCGTCAGCGGACAGTGCGCCAACCGCCCACGGCCCGTGGTTACTTTATCTCGGACCCGGCTAGCAGACTCATCAGAAACCTCGCAAACATGTTATTCGTTCAATGGAAAACATAAGCCGCATTAGTCTCGTCTTATGATATTGTGGAGACTTGCGGGGCTGTTGATACTTGAGCCTAAAGTACTACACCCATATCGCTGCAGACCCGCTCCAGAAATACGCCTCACCGGACGACTATCTCCCGAATAAAATGGTCGCTTTGGAGGCAATATACGTTCGAATGCCGACGCTACTGACACTACAGGGTAAGCTCAAGCCGACATTGATATTTTGGGCAAACGCTGAGCAACGGGGGCTGAAAGATATACATGCACGCCATTGTGTCGGTTCGAAGTTCTAGCAGTAACAGAATATGTGATATCATGTCTTACCGCTGATGTTGCCTAGTCTGGTGGAATTGACGGCGGCAAAGACGATTCATACGTCAATCGAAGTAGAGACTTCCAGGCAATAATCCGACTCACAAATACGAACATCTTTTGTAGACATATCCGATAGTTTCTCGTTGTCGAATACATATCGACTTAACAGCAACATAATTATATCGCCAAATTGGAAGACCCAATCAGTCTAGCACTCAGTCATACCTCATTTGCCCCATATCAGATCTCCAAGCTCAATAAACCTCAAGTCACCTATCCGCCATGGAACCCATCGCTATCGTTGGACTTGCATTCAAGCTCCCCCAGGATATAGAGGATGAAGCAAGCTTCTGGCGCATACTCGAGCAAGGTCAAAGTGTGATGACAGAATGGCCTAAGTCGAGAGTCGATGTCAACGCGTTTGCAAGATCACCTGAGGCTGCACTCAACACCGTAGGTTCAGACCAAGGAATGTAAGACGCGCGGCTCTAACACAATCATACACAGTTGACCTCGACCCGAGGACATTTTCTAAAACAAAATCTGGCCAGTTTCGATGCTCCGTTCTTCTCCATATCCTCGAAAGAGGCATCGGCGATGGATCCACAGCAACGCATGCTGTTGGAAACATCTTACCATGCACTAGAAAACGGTACGTTACTGTTTATCTAATCTTACTACGCATGCTCTCGGGTGTGTTCTGACAGGCTCAGCGGGAATACCACTAAGTCGCATTGCTGGAACCGAAACAGGCGTGTTTGTTGGCACGATGGAAAGCGATTATCATAGGACGATCTCTAAAGATCCAGATGACGCACCAATGACTACGGCGACCGGTATATCAGTATCCATCATGGCCAACAGGTTAAGTTGGTACTTCGATCTGAAGGGCCCTTCCATGCAACTGAATACGGCTTGTTCCTCAAGCATGATTGCAGTAGATCTTGGCTGCCAGTCGATCCGATCAGGTCAAAGTTCTACGGTAAAGACTTCTCAACCCAGTCTGCACTGTGATGCCATACTAATACCCCATTAGGTGCTTGTCGCAGGATCAAGTCTGATGTTGGACCCCGAATACTCATTATATCTGAGTAACATGAACATGCTGTCGCCTGATGGTATTTGCCACAGCTTTGACGATCGCGCGAACGGCTACAGCAGAGGCGAGGGTGTCATAGTCATGATCCTCAAAAAGCTTTCCACGGCAATCTCAGATGGGGATAACATACGTGCTATCATTCGAGGCACAGGATCGAACCAAGACGGTCGAACACCAGGGATCACCCAACCAAGTTCGGTGTCGCAAGAGAACCTTATTCGACATACGTACCGGACTTGCAATCTTGGATTCGAATCAACACGCTACATAGAAGCTCACGGTCAGTCCCTGTAATGTCCGTAGACTTCGGTATGGCCTTCTAACTGAGAGTCTAGGTACCGGAACACAAATCGGAGATGCCATGGAGATGAGAGCTCTTGGTGCTGTCTTCAGAACAGCTCGCTCGCCCAGAGCCCCTCTTTTTGTGTCAGTCAACCCCCCAGATATAAGTGCGCATCTACTTACAATTATGAAGTGGGTCTGTCAAGACCAATATTGGACACCTTGAGGGTGGAAGTGGACTGGCCGGGATTGCCAAATCCATCCTCATTCTTGAGAAAGGTTTCATACCACCGAACGCGCTGTTTGAGAGGCTGAATACGAAGGTCAATGCTAAACGAAATAATATCCAGGTAATGGCAGTTCTACACTTTGAGTCTACTTGGTACTGACAGCTTCAAGGTCCCAGCGTCTTGTACTCGTTGGCCAGGTGAAGGCTTGCGTCGAATTTCCGTCAACTCGTTTGGCTTCGGTGGCTCGAATGCTCACGCTATTCTCGACGATGCGTATCATACACTTGAAACGCTCAGTTTGCGAGACAGTCTCCGTAGCATCGAAACACCGAACATTGCGCTGCCAGCAACGTCGAACGGACGCCGCCAGAACGATGTGAAAGTGATGGGATCAGTATCGGAAGAGAAAGTCGACGGACCAACTTCTGGTATCGATGATGCTGCGAGAGCCAATGGCGTGACCTCATCATCTACTGATGTCGTGGCTTTGACGACTACCAATGGGCTGTCAGCAGTCCTTAGTGAAACGGAAACTCAATTGACTCAGGGCTCGGAGAAGAAGACCGACGACAATACTGTGTCACACGGCATATCTCCAAACCACCGCCAGATTCTAACCTTCACTGCCCGCGACGAAGCGGCCTTGAAGCGAATCCATCAGCAATACGCAGAATACTATGATCGCAGCATAGCTGGAGCGCCCAGGATGCTGGACGATCTCGCTTACACTCTCGCAGCGCGTCGAAATACAATGTCCATGCGATCATTCATAGTCGCTGGTTTGGACTCATCGTCTTCGAGTTTAGGTCTGCCAAATCTGAAATGCGTACGATCATCAGGGGAGCCACAGCTTTGCTTCGTATTCACAGGCCAAGGCGCCCAGTATGCGAAGATGGGGCTCGAACTTATTGACTATCCGGTGTTCAAGGACGTTCTGACTCAGGCCGATCACATTTTCCAAAGCATCGGGGCTGAATGGTCTTTATTCGGTATGATGTCTTGCCTCGACTCTCTACACACAATACGCACATAGCTGACCAATGATATCAGATGAGATGAAAAGCGGAGAGAGAATCAATTTTCCGCAGTTCAGTCAGCCCCTATGCACCGCTCTTCAGATAGCCCTTGTTGAGTTGTTGAGGAGCTTCCACATTGCTCCGGTGGCTGTTGTTGGCCACTCATCCGGTGAGATTGCGGCTGCATACACTATTGGTGCATTGTCTCTCGAGTCCGCCTGCAGAATTTCCTATCACAGAGGTAGACTGAGTGGACAGTTGGCTGCGCAGTTGGCAGCTTCCATGAAGACTGGAGCCATGATGTCTGCCAACCTTCAAGAAGGCCAAGTTCGTGCGTACGTCGACAAGTATCTTTCGGACGCGAACATCCGGGTGGCCTGCGTTAACAGTCCTTCGAACGTGACTTTAGCGGGGCCTGAAGCAGACGTTGATGCACTGAAACGTCATCTTGATGATGACCACATATTTGCACAGAAGCTGAACACTGGAATCGCATATCACACTGTGGTTATGAATGAGATGGCCCAGGAATACGTCTCGTGCCTGAACGATCTCGTTGAGTCGACACCTGGATCATGTGCTACTCTGATGGTGTCTTCAGTCACAGGACAAAGGATTACCGCGACAGACTTGTGTACGGCACAATACTGGGCCGACAACCTTACTTCGCCAGTGCGCTTCCTCGATGCGCTGCAGTATCTCGCAATAGCTGCACCGAAGCTAGATGGCATCAGAGCGATATCCGACTACATCGAGGTCGGCCCCCACGGAGCACTACGGCGACCCATCAAGGAGACATTAAGCCAGGTGCCGAATTACAGGACCTTCGCATATGCATCCGTCTTGTCGAAGCTTGTGTCACCTGTAAAGACCACAATGGAAGTAGCCGGTCATCTCTTTACCCGTGGCTACCCTGTCTCCATCACTGCAGTCAATCGATACACTGCTAGCTCAAACTTGCCTATGCTACTCTCGGATACACCAAAGTATCCGTTCGATCGTACTCAACAGCATTGGTTCGAAAGCCGATTAAGCCGTGACTGGCGTCTGCGTGGTGCTGCTCCAAGAAGTGTACTTGGCATACGTGTGACCGACTGGAATTCACTTGAACCGCGATGGCGCAAGATGCTCTCTACCCAAGAGACGCCTTGGATTGCGGAACACGTCGTGTCTGGCGTCATAGTGTTTCCGGCGGCTGGTATGATCGTCATGGCATTGGAAGCTATAAAACAAACAGTACAGTCGCACCAGACACTGTCCGGGTTTCTGGTCAAGGAAGCGACATTTGCGACTCCAATATTTGTCAGCACGGAACGAAAGACCGAAGTCGTGACACAGCTGCGTCCGATTAAGGCAGCTTACGAGCGAGAGGCCCTGCGATTCGATGTCGTAATATTTTCGATCGACGACAATGGAAGATGGACGGAGTGTTTCAAGGCTACCATTCATGCGCAGCCTAAGACGGGTGCCACATCCGAAGTTGACGGAGGACTTGAAGCACGTGAAACAGCGGAAGCCTGCGTCAGCCGCTACAAGGAAGCAAAGCTTTCGTGTACCAAGCGCATCAGTTCGCAAGACTTTTACGAATGGCTAGACAGACAGGGTCTCTCGTATGGCGAAGCATTCGCTCTTTCAAAAGACATCTTCTGGGACGGGAGTGAGCTCTGTGTATCGCGCGTTGACAACTCTGAAGAGCCCTATGAGGGTGTGGTGCACCCGACTGTACTCGACAACTGCCTGCAGCTGTGTTGCACAGCGCCTTCAGGAGGAATGACCAAGAAGCTTTCAACATTCATCCCAAGTAGTATGCGCGACCTCTGGGTTTCCGCAACGGGATGGCAGCATCCAGAAACCAATTCGATCCGGATCATGACCCAGGCGAAACCGAACATACAGATGACCGGGCTCAACTGTTCTATGATGGCTTTCAGTGATCCTGGACAACTGCTCTGCAACGGTAAACACCTTGGCATGTCGGCCGTCGCCAGCAAGACCTCCGCAGACGATGGTCAAAAGCGATTGGTGCATAGTATCGATTGGAAGCCGCAGCTATCTCTGCTCACCAAGCAACAACTTTCTGAACACTGCAAGTCAGACAACAAAGATGACGAAATCTCGGAGATAGAATACTGCATCTCGTTGGAAGATGCTATCCGCGCACGACTCCAACGCATTCTTCCCCAACTCCAAGGTTTGGTAGAACCAGGGACACCGACTCACCTCAAGCGGTTCGTGATGTGGATCGAGCGACAACTTCGGCAAACGCCAGGTAAAGCTGCGGATGAAGTTAGCGATGCACAGCTCGGCTTGAGGCTTGAACGCCTTCGAGAGAGCAGACCATCGTGGAGACTGTGTCTTGAAGTGCTCGAAAACTTGCCTTCGATCATCAGCGGCGAGACTGATGCACTCGATCTACTCTTCACAACACCTGTAGCTCACGACTTGTACGATGCTTTCTTCCACCGCACATGCAATGAGAAGCTATACAACTTTCTTGAACTGACCGTCCATCAAAACCCTAATCAGAAGATTCTTGAAGTTGGAGCGGGAACAGGTGGCATGACGAACCAGATCCTGACGATGCTACACCAGATCGAACAACGTACTGGTGGCACTTCTTTCCGCGAGTACGTCTACACTGATGTCTCACCCGCCTACTTCGAAGGGGCTCGTGAACGCTTTGCAAACTACGCGAGTCGGATGACCTTCAAGACCATCGATCTCGAAAGCGACATCAGTGCGAACATCGAGCCTGGATCGTGCGACATGATTTTTGCGGGCAGTGTGTTGCATGCCACCAAAAACCTGGCCAAAACTATGCGCAATCTTCGGCGTGCACTGAAACCCGGTGGCCAGCTCGTCTTCCTGGAAATTACACAAGCTCCAGAATGCTTCCCTATGAGCTTTGGTTTCGGTGTGCTTCCAGGGTGGTGGTGTGCCGAAGAAACGTCCCGCGAATGGTGCCCGACGCTCACCCAGGTGCAGTGGGATGTTCTGCTGAAAGAGACTGGGTTTACTGGCAACGAGTTGCTTGTCAAGGATTATGAGGACCCAAGGGCGAACTATGTGACCATCATCACTTCTACAGCCGAGAAGACATCGAAAGCAGTGATTGAGGTCTCAAGGGTGTTAGTGGTCATCAATGATCATGACGAGCAGCAAAAGAATCTGGCTCGAGCGGTGTGGACTGCGATATCCGCTTCCTTCACTTGTGAAGTGATCCTTTTTACGCTTTCGCACATCGCTGAAGCGGAAATCGGTCCATCGAACTGCATCCTATTCCTCGCAGATATGCAAGGATCAATCTTGGCCGAGCCATCGAGAGATGAGTTCCGACTGGTTCAGACCTGGTTGCAACAGTCGAAACACTTGCTCTGGGTGACTGCAGCACTCACATCTCAGCAATTTTCGCCGTGTACCAGTATCAAGGACGGTTTGCTTAGAGTGATACGAGCTGAGAACAACAGCAAGAAGATCATTTCCCTCACTCTGGAGCACGACGCTTCCGACATCCAAATTTGCCAGCGGTGCATCGTACAAGTCTTTCGCTCAGCATTTGAGGACGTGTCCCCCGAGCTAGAGTACACGGTTCGAGATGGAAAGATCATGACTGGACGTCTGGTGTTCGAAGCTGATCTTAATAGAGATGTAGTTTCTTGCATGTCACCGATCACGAGACACGAAGCATGGCTTCCAGGGCCACCTCTAAAACTACACGTTGCGTCACGAGGGTCTCTTGAATCGTTATGTTTCATCGAAGACGAGTACTCCAGCGAGCTTGGCCCAACGGAGATTGAAATTGAGACCCAAGCCTGGGCAGTGGGCTTCCGCGATGTATTTGGTGCACTTGGCCGACTGGACGAAAACGAATTCGGGACAGATTGCGCTGGCACGGTCAGAAGGGTTGGTCCTAAGTGTACTCAGCTACGTCCTGGCGATCGCGTAAGTACGTCAATGTTTGGCTGTATGCGCACATATGTGTACTGCGACGAGGGAGATGCCATCAAGGTTCCGGACACGCTCTCCTTGGAGGAGGCTTGTGGAGTCATCAACCCAGTAATGACGGCGTGGCACTCTCTCGTGGATGTAGCGCGCCTTCAGAAGGGTGAGAAGATACTCATCCATGCCGCGTCCGGCGGTACAGGACAGGTCGCGATCCAAGTTGCCCAAATGCTCGGTGCTGAAGTCTACGCTACTGTGGGTTATGATCATAAGAAAGAGTTGCTTATCAAGGAATATGGTGTTCCAGCTGCCAACATCCTCTATTCCAGAGATCTGAGCTTTGCTCAAGGCATCATGCGAGTCACCAATGGATATGGGGTAGATGTGGTGCTAAACTCACTAGTTGGCGAAGGTCAGAAATCGTCATGGGAATGTGTCGCCCCGTATGGAAGATTCGTTGAAATAGGCAAGGCCGACATCTACGCAAACTCTCCGTTGCCAATGGCTAGTTTCGCAAAAAACAGAACTTTCTCCGCAGTAGACCTTCGCGACCTTGCTTTCCACCGGCCAGAAGCGTCAAGAGCGCTCTTCCACAAGACAATGAACTTAGTCCAGGCGAAGGCAATCGTCTGCCCAACACCATTGAACAAATTTCCAGTACCGGCGATCGAAGACGCCTTTCGGTACATGCAAACCGGTAGAAGCACGGGACGTGTTATTGTCACGCTGGACCATGGTGACGTCGTACCGGCAAGTCATGGATACCTTTCTAGCATTTAAGTTCTGGCTGACGCGTAGTAGAAAGATCTCATACATCGCCCTACCTGGAAGTTCGATCCCGAAGCTGCGTATCTGGTCGTCGGAGGTCTGGGGGGCGTGGGACGTTCTATCCTCCGCTGGATGATATCGAGAGGCGCAAAACAGATGATTGTGCCATCCAGATCCGGACCTCGTGGCGAAGCTGCCTTTAAGACTGTGATCGACGCAATCAAATCGGGTGTCACCATTCTAACGCCAAGCTGTGACGTTTCCGATATGGCGTCACTCAAACTGATGCTAGATCAGTGTGCACCAGTCGTAGGTCCAATTCGTGGGTGCATAAATGCGGCCATGGTTATACAAGATTCGATTTTCGACAACATGACGCATGCTCAATGGAAAAAGACCATCGATTCGAAAGTCAAGTCGTCGTGGAATCTTCATGCTCTACTCCCGAATGACCTAGACATCTTCATCCTGCTCTCATCTGCAGCTGGCGTTCTTGGCAACGCCGGGCAATCCAACTACGCAGCAGGCTGCACATTCCAAGACGCACTATCTTCGTTTCGGAAGTCCCAGGGACGAAAGGCAGTGTCGATTGACCTCGGTCTGATGAGCACGGTTGGCTTCGTGGCGGAAAATGAAGGCGTCAAGAAAACCCTGGAGCGGTATGAAGGTTTGAGAGCAATCGACGAAGCAGAGTTCCTCGCGCTGATGGATATCCTTTGCGACCCTGAGCACCCGCCAAATCTTTCAACCGTCAATGGCCAAGTAACCATGGGTATCACCACGCCGGCGGATCTCGCTCTTGACAACGGCACTATGCCAATGGAGCATATGCACCAATCCCTCTTCGCCTACTTCGTTCAGACAGAAGCCATGGCGAGCAGCTCCATGCAAGCAAACGGTGTGAACTCGGCAGCCCTGTTTCGACAAGCCGAAAGTGTGGAGGAGATGGATCGCGTCGTCGTCGACTCCTTGGTAAGGAAGATAGCACGTGCGCTGTCCATGTCTCTGGAAGGCGTAGATACAGACAAGGCTCTACATTTGTACGGGGTCGATTCGCTCGTTGCGGTGGAGATTCGTAATTGGATCACGAAGGAGTTCATGGCGGATGTGCCGGTGTTCGAGTTGATGAGCGGGAAGTCAATTCTGGCTATCGCGCAGCTGGTGACTAAGAACAGCCAAATCAGGAAGACGGTAGCCAAAGCATAAGCTTTGTCGAGTTCCAGGTCGCTAGAGCAGATCCGTACCTGTGCCAGAACAAACTACCGCACTACATTTTGATCAGGCGAGCTTCGTCTTCCATCCACTATGATCACCGTACTCATCGCTTAAGCCAACTATAGCTTCACTTTGCCGTACTTTATTTGGCCTACGAGCTGACCACGGTATGCTCTCGCTCGGGGCGGGAGGAAAGAGGTCATCGGGCGGCAGGACCGGTGGATTCGACGGTTTTTGAGGCACTCAGGGAGTCGGGAGAGGCGGGCGGTGTGGAGATAATATTCTCAATAGAGTAAGCGAGACGAGCGCCGTCGATTGCGCGCGATTCGACGATGATCCGACGTCATTGTGTGTGGTAGTTTCGCGTTATAGGTAGTTGTATACGCGCGACCAACCCCACGCGCTGCGGGTAGAGCGCGGGAGTGGGGCATTAATCACGACTACTGCGACCGGGCGGCTCGAGACCTCTCACGCAACAACCATCGCCGTAAAACGCTCCGCGAGAACCAAAATCTCGTGTTTAGCAATGCTGAACGCCTGAGATCTGCTAGGCAGCGGTCATTGTTCTTGTACTTTCATGAACAACAGGATCGTGAATGCTAAAATAACCCGCGCGCACTCCTTCCACATCGCCATATCTAGAGTTCGTGAACAGTCACCTTGCGCGCAATCATCTCGACCTCGTCGTAGAAGAGAAGCTACAGTTCACGTAGCTCGTCAATCGAGTATAGGTTTCCATGGTGACTTGACAAAGCAATAATCGTTCAACGCACCGGCGACAAACCATTCGACAAGAATGGAAATGCAAGTGCAAATGGTATCGAATCCCTACAACGAAAAACACCCACCCCCGCCAATAGGTGGTGAAAGCCAAAGTTGACTCGAATAGCCACGCAACCTCATCTGACGCTCTCACTACCTTGAGAGAAAAACTCAATATGTCTTCAGAGCAGAGTACTTCTTCCTACTACAATGAAGCGTGTTAGAGCTTTCTACACAGAGATATAGAGTCTGGAAGACTACAACGCTATTAATCTTTGTGAACTCTCTTGTTGGAAGATAATGTAAGCTGTAAGAAATAGCTTATCATTTCTGTATCTGTCTAATCTTTTCTCTGTGTGGGGCAAATGCTGTTGTCACTAATGCTAGTAGGGCTTCATACTGCTGGGTCGTGCATTGCATCTCCAATTCGTCCTCCAGGCGGTAGTATGTGAGTTCTTCTTTGCGGAAGCCAAGCTTTATGATACGCAGTCCAGTACACCACTAGGAACCCCAAATGGCTTGCGGGTCGTGCGGCCCTCCTTATATACGTAGAGTACTGACCTTGCTTGCACAACTCCGACCATAGCCCAACCTCGTGCGCTATCGTTCTCCATGTCGAAGTGTTTCGCTTCTCCTTGTTTACTGTATTTGTGAATGTTGACGCGCTTTAGATAAGGTTCGACTCGGTCTCGATCTTCTGTCCTGACCCGGAGGATTTTAACCTCTCGGGTCCAGGGGTCATGGCGGTCAGGATGCCGCAACTTCAGATGGTCGGCGCGGATCTTCGTTTCTGTGACCCGGTATTCGATCTCGAATGTCGTTCCTGCTGCGTCGTTCACGATGTGGCCAGCAGTCAGTGTGTAAAGGTCGTTGCCGGATCGTATGAATGCTCCAACGGTGCCGCTCCCCCGTATTACGCCACTATGATCAATTATCCTGTCTCCAGATTGGATTGCTTCGTCTGGTTCGATCGCATCGGGAATAAATCCGTCGAACAAAGGGTCGCCGATGACGATGTACGATATCTTTAGCCATGAAGGCAGCGGTATGGGGGTGACTGTTGTTGATGACGATATCCGAAGCTGTGGTACTGCCTTCTGCATCTTGAACGTGAAGGACGTAAACCTATTAGATTTGTGGGCAACAATGGTAATTATATATATGTGTTTCTAATGCCCTACCCGTGTATGAACAAGATTTGCACAAGTCATTGGTCGACTTGGCGCCATATAGTGTTTCTTCGCTGTTCCTCATCAGGGAACATCAAATTACCCGAAAAGACTATGGTAGCAGCCTGGTCTACCGCTAATTCTGTTTGTTGATTGGACTTTATCGTGAAATCCCATATTGTCAGGAGTTGTCTAAGATCTCCAACTCTCAGGTTGCGTTGTGTGCGGGCAACTGGCGCCGGATCTGTTCTTCTTGGCCGCTTGGATTCTCGATCGAAGGAAAGAGCAGGGCGTTCGTCAGCCGGGCTTGGTGTGCGGTAGTGCTTAGAATTCATGCGGAGATATCTGGAAGTAAAAACGGTGTCTGTGGATGGTATCGATGGTCGCACACTGTGATGAAATGGTATAACGTGTTGAAGAGTCGAAGTGATGGATTGATGATCTGACCGGGATCAGCAACGCGGTGACCAGCACGGCGCCCCAGAGGAAGGTGGTGATCCCCAGCCGATCCAGTCAAATCGGCTGAGGGACTCGCGAACCGCCTTCCACAATCCCAGAGACCTCTCAGATATGTCTGACATGTGAGTAAAAGAATGTGTATGTGTGTAGGTATGGGGTTAAAGGTTCTGAAGAAGAAAAGGCGAGAATTTTGACTACATAGGCATCACGCTAGTGGGCATGGAAAGCACCAATAACAACATGAGATGGCTTTTTCTTGACAACGTGTACGCCGAACCAGGACTTAGATGTCGAGGCACGGACTACACGCTTAAGCGATGAGCAATCACGTTGTGTGGGCATGTTGGTATCACTAGGGTGACTACAACAATGGCGATTTGACTGGAGCAGAGAAATCTCGATCACTGCCAGCTATCAAAAATACGTCACCTTTGCGCGCAACTTGAACCCTATAGCTTCCACTGCCTGCGATCATACTGCTTCGGCCAAATCCCCGATTTGCCTGGCGCAAGAATTCCATTAGGATCAACTGCGTTCTTGATCGTCTCATTAAATCGCCTGAAGACGTTGTTATTGAACGAGTATGTGTCCATGATCTGATCCATAGCTGCAAGATGTGTTCGGTACTCTCCCCACCCTTGCTTGGCACAATCATCAATCAGCGTCTTGATCAGCCATACAACCTTCTTCTTTTGTTCATCGTCTTCGCGATTGAAGACGATACATACGATATGATGCATTTCGCGCATACCAATCGTGAACGTACCGATGAAGTCAAGGCCAGCTTCATGGCACCGCGCTTTGGTGAGAGCGAATTGCCTAGTCGCGTCATCGCCATTCACTCTAGAAATTGGCGAGAAGAAGAGATGCGAGCCATTTGGTAACCAATCCAACCATTTCAGCTCATCGTAAGTGGGAATTCCTTGCATAGTTTTGTGGCGCGTATGCAAGATTGAGTTTGCCTCCTTTCGGTCTTCCGGGAAGTAGAATTTTGCTCCTGGTATGGCCGAGAAAGACTCTTTAACAACAGCCCACATCGCGTCACGGATTGGCTGGGGTCCGTAAAGCGCACCGTAGAAGTTCCATCGACCAAGGTCAAGCTTCTTAGCTATAGCGTCTAGTTCCGCGTCTGTAAGAGGCTTGTTGATGTCTGAAGTGTAATCGGATTTATGACCCAAAACAGCGGCATCCAAAAGAATATGCCGGATCGTAGGTACATTCTGGAGAACCATATTCAATCGCAGCGGTCGTATGATGTCAACAGCTTGCTTCAAGTCGTCCTCACGAGGAATCGTGATGAGATATGACTGATAACCACCCGGGTTCGGCATGAGCCACATGCCCATCTTCGTAGCGATACCTAGATTGGATTGAGTGAATATTCCATCAACGTAAGGACCGAAGCCGTAGTTAAACAACTGCGCCGAGTCGTTCCAAGGTTGGTCTTGGGGAGGAACGCCGCCCTTCTCGTGAGGATGAGGTAGCGCACCCATACCAGTACGAATGACCTCGCCACTCGGTAAGACTAGCTCTATACCGCAATGCATCATGAAGTGATCTAACGATGAAATCAGATGGGGGCTGACAAGCTTTCATGGTAGTACCTACCACCGTAAGGCGTGTAGCCGACACCTCTCTCCATAGTATTCCCCAGAACCGAACCACCACCGAGATCAGGCACGTCAAGCCAAAGCTTGTCACGAAGGTTATTCTCGACGAGGTAGGTATGAAAATCGTGAAATGTGACCCCTAAACGAACGTCAACATTGTGAACAGAACTAAGATCAGATGTGACTAATAACCTGGCTCGACCAGAGCGTACGCGCCCTCGACATTGACTTCTAATATCTTGTTCATATTTTTACCCATATTAACGACTACGCTACCAGATACACGTGGAGCGGCGCCTCCGTAGCCCGAGTTTCTCCCGATACTGATAGGCCATAGTGGTACAAGGTACTTGTTCGCAGCCTTGACGATAGTCTGCACATCGGCGACGTTGCGGGGGGCGACGACAGCTGAAGCGAGGAAGAAATCTTGCTTCAAGATGTGATGAGGGTCATGCGTGTAGTTTGGCTTCATGTAATTGCCGTCGTTGATCTGAGACGCGGAGGATATGACCTCAATGTTCTCGCCGCCAACATCTCGACAAGCTGTTATGAAGTTGTTAAAGGCATGGTTGCTGACGTTGGGTGGCAGCACAAGTGGCTTTGCGATAGCGACCATAACGATGATGTAAACTAATTTTGTCGTAATACTTTGAACAATACGGACAAGAAGCAATAAGTCGTTCAAAAGGACAGTCGCTACAGGGAGCATCAGACCTTCTTATAGTCCCTCGTGGTATCCGTTGTTGCAAGGGCTAGTGGCACATCCGTTACGGAGACTGTCAATGTGCCAGTTGCGTGCGGGGAATTAGCAATAGTATGATGTCATTCAAGAGACAGCCGTATACCTGTTTGATTGCAACTGGAATATGTCTGGAGATGGGAGACGGTAATGTCGTGATAGTATCCCCTGTGGGAAAAAGCCGTTGTTGCCTCTGGCTGTGGGAATTTCCCGACGCTAACTCCTAGCCGTATGCGGGGTAACCGCATTCGCGTGACTGCATTCAGGGTCTGTTTAGGTTCCATTCATGCATAACTCGCGAGCGAGTGGACCATCTACGAGGATGGCATTTCGCCGCCGGAAAGCCACTATGACGTAAGAAACGACGTATGTCGATTTCGCAAGGCCGAGCAATAGGCGTGGTTGCGCTCTACAGCCCATCAGAATATGGCATCGCCTTGCCAACATCTGAACAAGAGTCCTCACTCTACTCAAGATAACTGTGCGTGTCATTTCCCATGTTCATTTCAATCTTCTGTCCAGGGAGTTTCGTATACTTCGATCGCGCTATCTTCCCCCATTGGCTGCTTTGAGCAGCCTTGCTTTCAGCAGCGTTTCATCGAATTTGAGAGGACACTCAGGAAACTACGGCTCCTATAACTATCTACTGCAAGAGACAAACTTAACGGAAATCACTACTAGATTCATACGAGAATGACTTTCTTTAAGTCCTTTTCCTGCACACCTGCAACAGCTTCGCCCTGCATGATGCCGTGAACGTACGCCTCGCCAACCAATCTGTACTCCTCACCCGACGATGCGGACCGACGCAAGATTAAAGGAACGTCAGCACCAGGCAAGATCCATACCTCATCTCCAGCTTCCAATACTGTAGGACCCATCCCCAGATCACCCCTTTCTGTTACAAATAATAGCCTCCCCATGGCTCTCACTAAGATTTGGAAACCAACATCATCTCTGGTCCCGGCATTATCCATCTTGTCCATTAGCTCGTCATAGAACTCTTGGACGATCAAAATCTCCTTCGTCTTGTCTCCACTATGAGCCAGCCGATACTCAAAGTCGACAAACTCGGGAGGAAAAATGATGCTATCGGTCTCTGTGTGTCGCCCAATCATGCGTTGAAAGGCAGTATACGTCACCCCCACTTGCTGCCTGGCTTGTTCAAAATCCATACGCTCGCTCAAGTCTTCTGGAATCGCGTTTGACAATCCCTGAGGCTTAGCCAGAGATTCTGGCATATACTCAGCGTGTAGTAAGCGAAATGCCGCGGTAACCTGCCAGTCGAGCACAGTTCTGTCAAGCAGCTCCAAGAAGGAGTTGCCACACTCCATGGATGTAGGTGTCGTTTCTTCGAAAATGTCTAGGAGTACCGTCCTCCAGAGGGTCTCAAAAGGTGTCTGTCCTTCCGGCGCATTCACCTTTTGCAAAAGCAAAGACATCTCTGAGATCGCTGTCCAGCTGAACTGAACACCAATGCTGGTGACTTTGCCCAGCTCGAGCCCTCTCAATTGAAGCTTACTCTTAGAAAAATATACTGGGTCAATCCACCCAAGCCCTTTAGATGTCGCGAAGGATTTATGTTCGTTAATTAACCTTTCTGGATTCTGAACAGTGAAGTCTGGAACCCAAGATGGCAGCTCCAGTGTCGGTGCCCCATCAATGGGATACTTCTTCAACGAAAAGATCTTCAAATTATGTGACGAATCAAGAAGATGTCGCGTAACCTCGATGAAGACTTCCACAACATCCAGCTCATAATTCACCGTCAGAGGACGTGTCCGTTGTTCTGATGAGAGACTAACGAATGCATAAACCTTGTCACGGGCATCACCAGACTCTGTGTAACGATACCACTGCAGTAGTCTCGACAAGCTTGGCCGCTTCGGACTCGATCCGTCCTTGGCTAACCCGTCGATTGTTCCCAGCGAAATCCTGACATCTTGGAGAATAATCCCGAATGCGCTATCCAGCAAATTTGTCTTTCTCGGTCGATAGAGCTTGAGAGAACTCCTGGCTGAGGTCAAAGTCGAGCTATAGTCAGTCACCATCCGGTAGTTTTGAATGAGTGGCTCTGCTATGCGCCTCAACTGCTCGAACCACCTTGATCGTTGCAAGATCTCGAACGAGCTAAGGATTGTTTCAACATTAGCAAGCTGTCTTCCACACATGAACCACGGTTCTCGAGCAAGTACGATCTCCTGAACTATCCAAGCCCTTTTGAACCAGGCGCGGTTGAACAAGAGAAATACGCCAATCCAGGATGTATAATCCAGCTTGGGTATCCCTAACTTGCGATATGTTTCATCGCATAAGATGTCAAAGTTCCTCAACTCTTTTGGATCTCTCTTCTTCCCTTGACATAGCTGTGCAATAGTGATGAGATCATAGAATGCCTGAGCAGATAGTCGGTCACCACCGCCAAGCCATGCAAATACAAGGCGCGCTTGATGGTAGATACGACTCATCATCATGACTTGACTACTTTTCTCTTCTAGGTCGTTCTGATTGATACACAAGGCATCGATCCAGAAGAGACCTGAGCTTTGAGGTGCATCGGCGAACCTGGGGTCTTTTTGGTGCGCCAAGTGACTACGAAGCCCTAACAGAGCCGCGTACAGATTTGAGCTGACTGAGACCGCCTTCCCATCCACTTCGATATCGAAGGCACGTGCTGCCCAAGCCTCTTGCGATGATATGTCTTGAGTGCTGAGATAGAGGGTGCAAGGATCACCCCATGTGTACGAGAGGGCGTCGTATAACACGTCGTCGTTGAGATCTACGACAACAAGTGAACATCTCACCGGTGGACGGAATGTTTCGAAATCAGAGTAGCTCTCTTCAGAGTTGTCCTCTAGCCCTGGATGTATCTTAAGAAGCCGAATAGACGTAGTATTTGGAAGGCCTCGGTAATCGAGATTCTTACAGTCCCTCGGCTCCATTCTCTCGCAGCCTTCCGGTGGTCTTATGATCGGAAAGCGTGACCGACGTTGAGGTAACTTCAGATGATTCTCTTGTTTCATGCCCCCAACGTGTGAGAAGAGTCCTGATATTGTTTCTTCACTGTCCCAACGTGGATTGCGACTATTGCCTGGCATCTGGGGTGCCATAGTTCGTGTAGCCAATGGCGTGTGCGATGCTCAAGTTGCAAGAAGAAACGACGGTGACCGAGCTGTCGATGTGAGACGATGCGAGAATTTATTAGGGATCAAGCGGCGGCCTGATGGTCTCACGTACTAGCTGTCAGCTTGTGGTGACGTGTCTTCTGTCGCTTTGCGATGATCGTGGCGTTTCTCTGTCGCATGTTTCTGGCCCCCAATGATTTGTGACCGACCAATGAGAGTTCTGACTTGTACTCCAGCCTAGAAATTCACATGATTTGGTATGCTGATTGATTGCAAATAAAGTATGTAAATCAATACGCGTGCGCTCGTGTCCTAGAAGGAAAGATGTGACCAGAATCGTCGCAAGTGGCTGCAACTAGGCGTGGCAGAAGTCTGACCAGTCAGCGAGTGACCAAGCTCAGGAAGGGCTGCATGCAGTGCGGGGCTGCTAGCTATTCACCTGGATAGGGAAACTAAGGACACGACGATCGGTAGTCACTTGAACAAATACAATACTGCGACCTCGAACAAATCGCAAGAGGAGGTCAGTTCTTGATGTTCAACGGCCTTGCGAAAGAGAAAAGGCAAAGGCGATGACTGCGCTATCACCTCGTTGCGGGGAAGAGGCCGCGCTTGCTGTCACATCAAAGTGGCGCACACGTGCAGGACCACCACGAGCAGACGAAGCATTGATTCTCTTGTCTCTGTGCAAGTCTTCCATGATCAAGCTAAGTCAACATACTTAATTCTCAAAGCAACCCTGCCCTCAGCACCTTATTCCCAAATTCCAAAAGATAGTAATCTGCATACACCAACCCATGATCCGCGTATTTCTTGTGCGCATGCTCATTCCAGTTCGTTGTGCTGTTCCTCAGTATACACTCGAAACCTGTTTCTTTGATTTTCAGCTCCGACGCTGCTGCACCACCGTTAACGCCATTCCCGTTCACCATAGCCTTGACGGGTGCTTCAAAGGACGCTAGATCGGAGTCGTACGACATATCTAGGGTCTGAGAAACGATCTGGAGTGCGATATCGAGGAAGTTTGTGTCACTGTTGGCGGACAGTTGAGACGCAGCGGTGGATGAGAGGGATTGGAGTGATTGGTGAATGATGAGCAGGCCGTTGGCTGTTATGACGCCTGCGGATGCGTCGCGTAATGGCTCCGTATGATTATCTTGTGGCGCGTCGAAATCCCAGCATGGTACCATGGGGTGGTGCCACTTGCCTTCGCCTTCTTTTAACCTCCCTAGAAAGTACTCTGCGCATTTGATCGCAGTTTCGAGATATTTCACGTCTTTCGTCCATGAGTACGTCTGCGCGAATCCCATGATCGCCCAGGCCTGGCCTCGACTCCATGTCGAATCGTCTTTCCAGCCTTGGTTCGTCATCTTGGCTTGTGGTCGACCGGTACGTGGATCGAAGTTTACGAGGTGGTAGGAAGAAAAGTCTGGGCGTAGAATCTCGTGGATGATGGAGTCGGCGTGTTGAGTTGCGATGTCGATTAGCGATTGGTCATTCTTGATGTGGCCGACGAAGTACAGGAGGTCGAGATCTGTGACGTGTGAGTGAGCAAGATGCAATATAGAAATGGGCCGAGGTGATGACTTACTGCACATGCTATCTATAATGACGAGGAAGTTTGTTGACATGTCTGTGATTGAATAACGATCGTTGATCGCAACATCCCAACTTCTGATTGCCTTCACGCGATCGTCATATCGCGATGCGAGCGCATACGCGGCGTTGACAACAGACTGTAAACTCTCCTTGTTGCCAGTCAATTCCCAGTCTTTCTGCAAGGCGGGTTGGACAATAAAGCCCATATCGTGGGTGTCTGTGCGACTCGACATCTGATTGATAGCAACGCCATAGTGCCGTCCTAGCTTCAACAGCTGGTCTTGCAATTGTGATCGGATATGTTCCGGAACATTAATGGCTTGTGGATATCGTATGGAGCGTTCGAGAAGCGCGTATATGCAACCTGGAAAGAATCCGCATGTCCAGAAGTCTGCTTCTCGCTCTTCGTATCGTCCTGCGTCCGGGCCTACTTGAGGTACGGTGTGGGGATATGATTGTAAGGGTGCCTGAGTTCGTCAGATATAGCACTTGATATAGGTGCACCTTTTGAAGTGGAGGAGTTGTATCACACCTCTTGTTTCAAACCTCGTTGTGCAACTTGAACGACCTTCGCCAACACACTCTCTGAGTATATTTGGCTGAGGTTGACATCTTTGACTCTAGATACACTTAGTACCAACCTATAACGTTCACATGAGCCTTCGCTTACGTTGCGACCTTCGAAGGCATCTTGATATCCTGTACAGCGCCTCCCATCTTGTGTTCGCGATTATAACTTTTGAATGACGTATGCTGTATACAAGATTGTGTTCGTGTACGATGCGGCTCTACAGAACGTTCGATCGCGGTTGAGCAGAAGAAGGAGCTTGGAAGCAAAGCGAAGAACAGCCAAGATGGTGCTTCTTGCGAAAAAGCCTACATCGGGCGACGCGTGAGCTGTCGCGCGTATTGGTGTGGGGCCATTATCGATACCGGGTTATCTCGCGACGAAAGTTCAAATGTCGGGGTGTAGGCTAAATGTGGGATCTGCATTGTACCGATGCCCGCTACCCGGCCGTTTGCACAAGCCCAGGGCGATGCCCGCTACAAGCACGTCATTCTTTTCTTGACTCTCGTGTCTTGCTTGCGCTCGTGATTGCACACTCTTGGACGTGTGGACGGCCTTCCAAAAGAGGTATCTTTTCCTGCCACCGTCGTGTTTCTCAAGCCTTGGGAGCGTCGTAAAGTCTAGTGTGGGCTCGGCTTTCCACTAATTCCCCCGCGCCGTAGTATCTTCGAAGTCTGGGGTAATAGTAGAGTTGCTAAGAGATAGATGCGGAACTACTATGGCCGTCAATATCGAAGAAGCACGCTAGAACGTAGACGATCAGTTTTAGACCAGTCGGCATAAAGACACTGGCATCCGTAGCACGAAACAGATTCAGCAATACTTCACTCTACACACCTTCAAGATGCGGTTCGCAGACGCAACTCTAGGGCTCCTGCTGGTATCCCCTGCTGCTGCTGCGCCGTCGTCGGCGTTGAAGCGTGCAGCTTCGACCCTCCCATTGTCAACCAAGGGACGAGACATCATTGATGCGAACGGCAATGTCTTCCATTTCATGTCAACGAATTGGCCTGGTCATCAAGAGATCATGATCCCTGAAGGTCTCCAACACTCTTCAGTAGAGGATATTGTTTCCTGGTTCCCCAAGCTTGGCCTCAACTCAGTCCGCATGCCGTTCGCCATCGAGATGGTGGACGATTATCTCGAGAACAGCCCAGATCAAACTCTCGAGAAGAGTGTCCTGAACGCAATTCCTGGAACCAATGGAACGGATGTATTGAACTCGATTTTGGAGAAGAATCCGCAGTTCACCAAGAACACAACCCGCCTGCAAGTGTGGAACGCCGTTGGCAAGGAATTGTCGCGCCAAGGCGTGATCATCCACTTGGACAACCACGTATCGAAGGCATTCTGGTGTTGCGGCGACGACGACGGTAACGGTTGGTTCGGCGAGAAGGATTTCGACGTGGAGAAGTGGAAGCGAGGCTTAGCCTTCATGACTAAGTTTGTAAGTAATGGACAACACCTAGATCAAGGAGCAGACGCTGACGAACCTAGGGAAAGGAAAACTGGTCGACTTTCGCGTCGGTGGGATTGCGCAACGAACTGCGAGCTGCCAAGGTGGCTGAGCCTGTCGATTGGTATACGTGGTACATCCACATGACTGCCGCTGCCGATGCCGTTCATGAAGCGGATCCCGATGCTCTGATCTTCTTTTCTGGTCTCTCGTATGATACGTACATTGACCCGATCCCTCTGGGTAAGACACTCAACGGTACCGCCGGTACGTCGACCGCCAACAAGACCGCCAAGTTCGTCCCGGACAGCTTTGCTTGGAAGGACAAAATCGTTCTGGAGATCCACAAATACGATTTTGAAGCCACCCAAGACGATTGCGCAACCTTCAAGAGGAAGTGGTATCAAAAGGGTTTCCAAGCAGTCAACCCTGACGACCCAGTGACCAAATACACCTTCCCGATGGTCATTTCAGAATGGGGTTTCATCCACAATGGAACTTACTGGAACCAGACCACCTACGCGAAATGCTTGGTGGAGATGGTGAAGGAATACCAGGTTAGTTGGCAGCATTGGGAATTGTCGGGTAGCTTCTATCTCCAGACGCGTCCGAACAGAACGCCCAATACGCTTATTGGAGCTGATGAGGCTTGGGGCCTGTTGAACTATGATTGGACCGCCATTCGCTCGCCCATTACCTTGGAGAACAGCTTGTACAAGATGATTGAAGCGCTGAAGTGATGGACGACCATAGCATGTAGCATATAGCGGAAGGCTTGTGGAAGCAATAAGATGACACCAAAGCTCCTACAATTTGTTGCGTGAATGTTGTATTGGATGACGTTCTTCGCGTAACGACAGGTGCGATCTGACGGTTGTACATTCGTTATTAACAGCGTTTTGCGATACCAACGGGTTGCTGTAAGATGGATCGGCTCTCTAGACCTGTATAATGTTCTTCCGTCGACTCAAGGTGGAGAAGGGACAGTATTATCATGAAATGACGCGTGCCAGAAGTTGTGTGAGACGGTGTTCGCGTATGTGACGCGTGAAGGCACGCCATCCCCTGAGGTCAGTGCGCTCGTTCATGACGTCACACTTCTGTCTCTCAGCACGCATGCATCTGCACATATCGCCTGGAGAAACTTGGAGATATGATATCAACAAACGCGATGCATGTTGGGAGTTTCTCCGAGGATTACTATTCATTTTTTAGGCGAACAATGGGCCGAAACTGCGTGTCTGTGGCGGCAAGAGACACGCCTTGGCACGACTCATGGACCATCATGCATGTTCCCAGGACCAAGATTTGAGCCTATTCCATCACCCCACAGTCTCCCCATGCTCTTGGTTATCTCTCTATCGCCAGATATATCTCGGTCAACGGAGTATTTCCCCCTTCAGCACTCGTTCGTGGAGCTTGCCCCAGAAATGCCCGCCCCCGCACTCGACCATCCGTATCCAGCAATAACCCGATGCCCGTGAAGGATCCGTCCAGTCGCTTACCAGCCTTGATATTGAGCCATGCGGGAGCTACATATTCACCTATTCTTCGGCCTACGACTTGTTAGTGTTATAAGCACGAGGATCCCAACTCTGCTATACGCATCCGAGGTCGTGCCGTCAACACTTTGATCTGACGAGCGCAAGTCAACATGGCCAGCACGCAGCCCAACGACGAGACTGCTGGCGTCGCCAACAGGACTGGCGAGTTCGATACTAACGTTATCGCGCCCGCTGAAGCTCCAAAGAGGTCGCCATGGAAAGCGTGGATGTACCTCTGGGAATGGTATCCTAAGCACTATCCCGAGGAGGAGAGGAAGCTGCTGAGAAAGATGGATGCTTGTCTTTTGACATTCTGTTCATTCATGTGTAAGGCGCTCCAGTGACACCGCGAAATCTCTAATATTGACGCCACTAGTTTTCCTCAAATGGCTCGACTCTTCCAACATCAAGAACGCCTACGTATCGGGCATGAAAGAAGAGCTCAGCCTCTATGGAAACGAGTACTCACTTTTCGATACCTTCTACAATGTCGGATACCTCGTCTTCCAAGTTCCGTCCCTACTCTTGCTATCCCGACCGAAGATTGCCAAGTACTATCTGCCGACCATGGAAGTGCTTTGGTCAATCGTCACCTTCTGCCAAAGTCAGATGCGCAGCCGAAACGACATCTATGGTACCCGGTTCTTGCTGGGTCTGCTCGAGACACCAGTGGCATCTGGCACGACCTATGTGCTTGGCTCCTGGTACCGGCCTGAAGAAGTCTTCAAACGTACAGGAGTCTGGTATGTGTCTAACAACATCGCTGTGATGTTTGGTGGTTACCTACAAGCTGCTGCGTACAAAAATCTCAACGGGTGAGTCACTTTTTCAGTGGGCAGTCAACAGTCGCTAATACAGTTAAGTGTCGGTGGTATGTCAGGTTGGCGTTGGCTGTTCATAATCGATGGAGTAATTTCTCTACCCATTGCACTTGCAGGCTTTCTCATCTTCCCCGGTCTACCAAGCAGCGCAAAACCATGGTGGCTTACACCCAAAGAGCATGCACTAGCTCGATCGCGCATGGCCAATGCCGGTGTTGCACCTAGCAAAGAGCTTAGCTGGACTGTTGCAAAGCGCACATTCATGCGATGGGAGTTTTATATGGGTGTACTATGCTATACCTTGTAAGCCTTAACCCATCTTATCTGTTACGATGTACTAACATTCCTATAGCTTCCTTTCGTCTTCTTACCCTCACGGTCAAATGGCTATCTGGCTTAAAGATCTTGCTGCCAAGTACCCAGGTGCATACACCGTTCCACAAATCAACACTATCCCCACTGGCGCTCAGGGTGTCTCTGTCTTCGCCGCGCTTCTCGCCACATCCCTGTGCATGGTCTACCCGCTCTGGTCCATCTTCTCTATCGTCCAAACAATCTACATCGTCGCCAACATCTCTCTCCTCATCTGGAACATACCCAAAGGCTACCATTTTGCCTGCTACTACCTGCTCGGAGTCTCCGCCGCTGTTACGCCCATTCTCATGCCGTTCATCAACATGGCGCTGCGCGACGATGCTGAGGCGCGTGCTGTCACTGTCGGTGCTATGTTGACAGCTGGCTGGGCTGTCTTCTCGTTCTACCCTATCACAGTATTCCCCATTGTCGAGGGCCCAAAGTGGACCAAAGGGTACGCGGTAAATATTTGCTTCATTGTTGGATGTTGGGCTACTTTCTTGATCATGCAATATCTGTATAAGAAGAGCGAGAACAAGAAACAAAGTATGATGGTTCGGGAAGTAGCGAAAGATCAGGAAGACTTGGCGGGTCTGGATATCAAGGAGGCATCGGAAGTCGAGCATGCAGAGGTCAGGAAGTGATGCGCACTGACGATTACGATGTAAACGTGGAGTTTTGACAGCAAAGTACAATATCCATGATGTAATCTATCAACCCGTCACCATGGTACGTACCTGACAATACGTAGTGAGCTTTTTGGCTTTGCACAAACTTGCATCGCGCAGGTGCCGAAACCAACCGCGCGATCCGGCACTAAGGTGTAGCGTGTAGATCCCCCGCATTCCATACCCGCCGCTCGAGGTGCCGTTTAAGAAAGCCTTCAAAAGCACAATTAGCGCTATTACTCTCCTGCAGGACACGCTCATAGCCCTGCCTCGTGGATATGCAGAGCCAGAAAGCATCTTTTGTCTGCATCTTTTGCTCACGTAAATTTACCAGAAGGTGCGCTCCTCCGTCATGAGCCGACCGCTTACTGACTATGAACGCAGCGATGCATTGAAACGTCACTGGAATTCGTGCAGTGTTCGAAGAGCTCACAGTTATCCCATTCCGACGGTTAAGGCGAGAGCGCGGGGACGTAAAACGCGGGCCTGCGACTTATGCTGTCAGTTGAAGAAAGCTTGTAACCTTTCCCAACCATGCGCGTTATGTGCTTCACGAAACCAAGTCTGCGAGTATAGCCGACCGCAAAAGCTAAGCCGTGATTTGACAGCAGAGCTTCAGTCCAACATAAACGAGGTGGATGCTTACAGCACGGAGACCAACGATACGGTGGAATGTGGCGTGGATGAAGACCTAGTCATACCTCGCCGGGATGTTGATACTGGATTCGATATGCGTATATATGAATCGGTATTTCAGACTTTAGATGACACCGTCGATCACCCGGAGACCACCATTGCCAATTCTGACAATGACATAGAATTAATGCTGCCGCCTTCTCTGCGCAATCCAGGTCGTCGCATGCAACTCACCTCCTGGAATAACCCCGATTCACTGTTAATCGAGCACAACGCCATTGCACCGTTTTGCCGGCGTCCAACACAACTTGATATCAACGTGTTGATCGAGTTCCCCTTTCTTGACAACTTTACTAAGGCGACTGGCTTCGTCAGCTCATTTGGCTGTGGCACAAAGCAGCAAAGACTCTCCATCACACTGGACCCAATCAGGGCGAACCCGAGCGAGAACGCCTCGCCTAGGGAAGAAAAAGTGCTAAACCCGGCTACGCACTGGGTTGAGATCGCCCGAAACATGCTGGTTCAAGGGACTAAGGACACAGCTGATCCAGGTGTGTCACTGTACGTGACGCATAGGATAGTTGATCAAATTCGAGAGACAGCGATAAAACAATATCACCGCGGTTCTGCTGACATCCACTGGTCAACTTCCGTAGAAGCCCTTTGTTACGAGTTCTTCAATCCGAAGAACCTAGACAAGTGTTTAGCGCTCTTTTGGTCTTGCTGGTATCCGAACTGGCCCACGATACATGCACCAACTTTCAAGAGGGTAGAGAAATCACCGTCACTCATTGCTGTAATGGCTCTTGTTGGTGCTTGTTTGTCGGCAGAAGATCACGATCATGCCTCAGCTCAACTTTGGTTTGATTTGGTCGAAGACCTCGTCTACAGTGATGCCGCTTTTGACGATCAGAACATTTCGAACACGTGGAAGGAGTCGACAAATACCGATCGTCGAAGCGCACACTTGCAGACTCTCCAAGCCGCCTATTGTGTTTGCCTGTATCAGACTTGGGAGGGAAGTAAGCGGAGTAAAAGACGCGTTCTGCGGCAAAGGTTTAATGATCTCGTTTATGTGAGTGACCGCTATCACAAGAAGATTTTATACTGATGGTCATAAAGCTAGCACGAGATATAGGACTAGATCAAGCCTCACTCAGGTCGATCGATACGTCTGACCCAGCTGGTTTTGACTGGGAGGAATACGCTCTTCGAGAGTCGCTCATTCGGTATTGGTCGACCTCGCACTCGAGTTCCAACGCTGACTTGATCCGATAGCATCTGTTCGTATATCTGCAACATCGACGCCAGTTACGCCCTATTTTTCTGCCATGTACCTCGTACCACTTTGTCCGAACTGGTCATGGAGATTTCGTCCCCAGAATCTTGCTTTCAAGCTTCTTCAAAAGAAGAGTGCTTTATTGAACTTAAGGTCTGGCGTGAAAGGATGGGCATCGATGCGACCAACATGAACGTCTTGAGTGCCGTTATTGCGCTTTGCGATAACGCGATCATGAGAACGCCAGCGATGCGTCGCACTTTTGCTCATCTTAGTGTCCTCAGCATGTTCACCATCGTCCACGCGCTATATCTACAGGTATATAGCCTGGCAAACTTCTCAATGACTGCGCCAGATACAACAAGAATGACCTCAGTCGAGAACGCATTGCGGAACTGGCAGCAATCATGGCCGTCGCATACGCGAGATATGGAGTTGTTCGATCTATTGGAAAAGGCAAGTGATTTGTCGACGATGTGGCAGCGGATTGGCTTTATGAGATATGCGCCTGAGTACTGGCTGATAGCATATTCGACAGTAAAGAAGATGTACAAGCAGAACGATGGAATCTCTCAGATTTCAGAAACTGCCATCACTGTTGGAAATCACGACATGATCGAGGCACGAAGGCTGATCGCTGAGCTGAGAAGTGGAGCCATTGTTCCCATCGTGGACAGCTAAAAAATACAGCTGACTTTCCAACTACTTGCCATGTGCCCAAATTCCTTCTGTTATTAGTGACGACAGCCTATAAACTAGGTATTTCTCTGGAGAAGGCAGGTGATCCACCGAACAGTCGCTCGAGATGCAGTAAATGAAGGTCATTCGTCGTCGCGCCGGCCTCGAATACCGTAAGCATTGCCGGTATTGCCTCTACCCCTTAGTCGTCACAAGACTTTCCACATCGCTCTTGACGTCCTTGCGCCACTTCGATGAATATGTTTATGAATATCTCTAGCACAACTACGCAAGCCTTCTGTTATACCTTTGAACCCACCAGCCCGAATTTGAGATCCTGCGCCCATCTCGGCCAAAATCGAAGCAGCGAATCTCGCTGATGGTGCTTTGGGATACAGATCATGCCACTTTTGCCGTTCAAAACCTGGTCTAACACCACGTCTATCACTGGCTCTGGCGGGTCTTCTACGATGCCTAACTTCGCTAGTGTGCCATCCTTGTCTATCCCGGTCTTGTGCCATCCCGGGTGGATAGAGGTGTTACAGATAGATGAACCACCAGGATAACGTGTGAGACATTCAGCCCGAAGACCCTCAGTGAGGTACAAGGCACCGATCTTCGAGATACAGTAGTTGACCATGTTAGGGGGGACGACAAAGGATCCCATGGAGGCTATGGAAACGACATGGCCTTTCTCCTGTGCGAGCATAGCTGGAAGGAAAGCGCGTATGAGAACCATTTGTGATAAGAGGTTAACTCGAAACAGCTTCTCATCCTCAGCGTTGGTTGTCTGCTTGCCGTCAGCCTTCTCGATGTAAAGGTCGGGATTTATCGAACTCTGTCTTACCTCGAGCAATGTTTTGCCAATTCCATATCCAGCATTGTTTATCAGCACGCTGATCGTCCCGAAGTCCTTCTTGACTTGTTCGCACACAGTTTCAAGTGCAGATATGTCGCCAACGTCGCATTGGTAGAAGTGAACATCCGGCAGCGCCTCCAGATCTGCGGGTAGCGGCGACCTGTTTAACGCGATGATCCGCGCATGTTTGGACAACTCCATAGCCATTAGGTAACCAAAGCCGCTGCTTGCACCTGTGATAAGTATCACCTCTTTCTTCTCTGGCCCGAATTGCCAGTCAGCGCCTGATCTTTTTAATCTCCAGTTGTTCCATGCCAGATGGTTCAAAGCCTGGTTGATACGACGCAGGACACCCGCTGTAGTGAGTACTTTGAGAGCCGTGACTACTGCCGCAAGCCTAGCGATACTCTCAGGATCATTGGCAAAGAGAGACGAAGTGAATCCGAAAGGCGCGAGGAGCTGCGCTCGAAGCTGCGTACTACCACGAGTCAACAGGTACAGAAGTCCACCAGTTACGAGAGGCTCGCTGGCAGCTTGAGTTAGACCAGAGAGTATCGTTGACAATATCGTGGGAGGCTTGTTGACTCTGATCGATTGGGCAAGCGACATGGTTGCGGGAGATACAGGTGGTAAGATTCCTTATCGTTTTTGGAGTCGAAAGGGACCGAAAGATGGATTGGAGGATACTCAACCGTCCAGCTAACTTCTAAGCTTTATAGAATAGCTTTCATGCGCCGAAAGTCCAGGTTTCGAAGCAACCACGCTCTGAATGTTTATCATTGATGCATAGGCCTCCGCTAACATGTGGTATGAATACTAATCCTCAGTCTTGGGAGGTATCTTACATTTCATTCCACGCTTACCTCCTGCTTGTAGCATAGCGTCAAGACGCAGATGCCAATCGGATTCTTGTGGTTGTGATGTGGGTGCTACTTCTGTTGCACTCTTATCCACCTGCGTTTCAAACAGCAGAACTGAGTCTGTCTGTGCCATCGCGCACATGTCTTATGTGGGTTTTCGCCTTAATTGCGGTATTGAACCCACGGCGTTTACCTTGACCTAGACGAGCTCCAGCGAAACAAAACTAAAGCTATCCAATCATTCCGCTCCCCAGAGCACAAACCAATGATCGTTACCATACGAATGAGGCCTTCAACAGTCCCAAAAACACATTTCGTATTCTCTTTGTGAGCCATTGTTGCTTGTTCGTTTACGACGCGCGGATCGGCTGGGGATTAGCATATTTGTGGGGTCGTCGGCCATACTCTTGCGAACATGATGACAAACCACCCGACCTCTATAGACGATGCTTCCGTCGACTAACCTTCACGGCTGTGCACTAGCGTTCGAGGCCCAAACTTGGTCGCCGTCTTGCTTGTACGTCAATGGTTGACGAATAAAAGGATCGTCGGCATATGAATTTTTGTAGTATGCACTCAAGTCGCGGTGATGCTTGGGTGCGAGCGTCTTGCCACACAGCGTACTGTTTAGTGTTTTAGTTTTAGGTCTCTTCTCTCGAAGACCGCATAGTCGTTGCCCTCGCGCTGCTTACTGCCAAGTGTTGTTGCGTAGTCAAACATTTAGATTGGTATTCTTGGTGCTGCATGCCGCTAGGCGTTTCAAAAAGGCCGGCAGAGGTGCAAACGTGCCCATCAGGTATGGCAAGACATCGGGACATTGTCGGACGTGATATGTGGAGATGAATGTCTACCGAGCTAGCTAAGATGGGACGGGCCCACTATATATCCGCCATGCACCATGCTTGGCAGTCATACGACGGCGGAGCTTCGGAGGCCGCTTGGCCGAGAGACGGCCTGCAAGCAACTCGATAAACACTAATTTCCCTAACGTAGTTCACAAGCGAGTGACGCACCCAAGCGAGTGACGCACTTTTGCCAAGACCTCACTAAACTTCAATCAAGTCGTAATGCCTCAACGCAACAGCGTAAAAACAATCTTAAACGAAGCGGATATACAGCTTGCGATACAGGCTATCTAAAGAGACGCGTTACTAATAACGCGACGCGCTAGAGCTATCTATAGCGTCTCTGAAGCAACACTACAAAGGCGACTCGCTGGGACGCCTTAACAACGCGATTGCGCGCCCAACTTAATAGCTCTTCGAGGATCTGAAGAGATAGCGATTGTTAAACATGTTCTTAAGCTAGTAGAGCAAGGATATCCGCCTAGGCTCGCTGATATTAAAGAGATAGCTAGTTCTTTACTTAAGATCTGTAAGGGGCTACGCCGTACTAAGCGGACTGCTCTAGTCACATGACGTACGGCTTAGCGCTGACTAAGGCAGTAAGGCGCAAGGCCTACAAAAGGCAAGTCGTACGCGCAAGGAGAACCTTTCTTTTCTTATCTTTCTTCTTCTGTATATAGGACAAATGCAAACTCGTTAGTAGGCCTCTTTCCGCCCTTAACATAAGAAGAAAGATCACACATTCCTTACTCTTCCTTCTCGTACGTGACGAGTTGGAATTGAGAACGACACTTCTTCGTACAACTACTATGCAACCAGGCGATAGCTACGAAGCAATGGACTCAGCTGAGACCTACGAAGCGAGAGGAGCAGAGGCTCCCTCTCAACCACAGAGCAACTTGTACGAACATTCACAACAGGAGCTTATCGACATAATTAGCCTCCTAAGAGGGAACCTCAACCAAATGACAGCAGAACGACAATCGTACGAAGCGCTGCAACAGCAGGTGCAGATTCTAGCTCAAGCGGTGTCTCGTCAGGGCTTAAGCGTGCCAACTCCAAGTGGGGCATCGTCTCATGCCACGTCAGCACCTACACCGCCTTCGCCTTACCAAGACACCATACGTCGATACGAGAAACCAAGGCTGCCTGACGTAGAGGTGTTTGAGAAAGGCTCACACGAAGACTATACCCAATGGAAGACGCGCGTACAAGCGAAACTCTTTGCGGACCGACAAGCCTACCCTTCTGAAGAAGTCCAGGTACACTACATTATCACTCGTACGAAGGGTTGGGCCTTCACCGCCTTAAGAACATACGTTACGAGCATGATGGAGGGCTCTTCCCAACCATCCTTAGCGCGGCTTTGGGAACAGCTCGACGGGTTCTTTATAGACCCTACAATCCGTGAGAAAGCAATGCAATGGATCCGTACGACTAAACAGGGGAAGGGTGAGTTCATTCCCCACGTGCAAGCGTTTAACCTAAAGTTCTTGGAAGCGGGCTTAGGGAACGCGAGCAATATACAGAAGATTGACTATCTCAAGAACTCTCTTAACAAGAGACTGTTGCGTTACCAAGTAGGCTTTCAGCCTGTAAAAGACGAGTCGTACGAGGAATTCGTACACAGGATGCGTGTTACCTGGGAGAATCTTAAGGCTATAGACCAGCTCAGCTTTCGTACGCTGCCAGCGGCCTCCTCACACACTGCGCCTAGCAATGAGGATACCATGGATTGGACTCCTACCGTAGCGGCTTTCCAGCCTCGTACGAAGAGAGAATTCTGGGGAACACAGGCCCAGGTTCAAGAAAGAAGAGAGCGAGGAGACTGTTTAAGATGCGGGCACCAAGGCCACAAGGTTGCTCAGTGCCAGGTCAAGATTGGAAAACGACCCGCTCGTACGGAAGGGAAGGGAGCTGTAGTTGCCGCAGCAGCTCCTGCGAAGATGGATACCGACTCTGAGGAATCGGGAAAAGAAGAGCCCTAGCTCGAAGACGCCAGCTAGGGCCAAGCACAGCGAAGCCTCTTCAGGCCGTACGACCCCCTCGAAGAATCCTGTCCCAGCTAGCAGCAACCCCCCCCATGTCAATAGATGTTACAATAAATGGCTTTGAACACGCCACCGCCATGATTGACAATGGTTGCTGCACCTATGGGATTGTGACCGAGAAGCTCGTACGATCGAAAGGCTTACCGCGCATAGAGATACCCCAAATCCAGATTGATGGGGTGAACGAGCAGAGAAGCTCTGTTAACGCTATTACAGAGTTTGACTTAGACGTTAGAGGATTAAAACAACGCGCTGCGGCATACATTGTTTCTACAACGTACGATTATGACATGATTCTTGGAAAATCCTGGCTAGAACGAGTTGGTGGAATTATTAATTCCCGCCAACACACGTTGAGGCTGCCTCAGTACGGCATCACCGTACGCAGTACAGAGTCACAGAAGGGGAAGACAGACTTCTCCCTAATCTCTGCTGCAGCCTTCCAACTGCACGTACGACGAAACAGGCGAGAGAAGAATAAGGTGCAGATATTTGCAGCAAGCCTTCGCGACATCGAGAAAGCCCTTCAGATTAAGACCCCCTTAACAGCAGAGCAAATCCGCCAGCAACTCCCAGAATATTTACAGTCGTACGTACACCTCTTCCAACCAAAGGAGGGAGATGACCTTCCACCCTTACGAGGACCCGAGGTAGACCACCAACTAGAGCTAGAACAAGAGAATGGCAAAGATCCAAAGATCCCGTACGGGCCTCTCTACAGCATGTCGAGAGACGAACTGTTAGTACTACGGAAGACACTGCATGAGCTCCTAGACAAAGGGTTCATACGAGCAAGCAATTCTCCTGCAGCGTCACCAGTTTTATTCGTACGAAAGCCAGGCGGCGGGTTGCGATTCTGTGTTGACTACAGAGCGTTGAACGCTATTACTAAGAAGGACCGTTATCCACTGCCTCTTATTAAAGAAACCCTGCACCAGATTGGACGGGCGAAGTGGTACACTAAGCTTGACGTAACAGCTGCCTTCCACAAGATAAGAATCACAGAGGGGCAGGAGTGGATGACAGCCTTCCGGACAAGATTTGGCTCGTACGAATGGCTGGTAACCCCCTTTGGCCTTGCAAATGCTCCAAGCACGTTCCAGCGCTACGTGAACTGGGTTCTGAGAGACTTTCTGGATGAATTCGCCTCAGCGTACCTTGACGACATTATCATCTTTACAGATGGACCACTATCCCAGCACCACAGCCACGTACGGGCAGTGTTAGACCGACTTAAGGCAGCTGGACTGCAATTAGAGCTAAAGAAGTGCGAATTTGACGTGCAGCGTACGAAGTACTTAGGATTTATTGTAGAAGCAGGGAAGGGCGTGTCTATGGACCAAGAGAAGGTTCAGGCTATTCAAGACTGGAATGCGCCTACTACAGTTAAAGGCGTACGAGGATTCCTAGGATTTGCGAACTTCTACAGGAAGTTTATTCCCCACTTCGCACGACTGTCTGAACCACTAGTCCAACTTACACGCAAAGACGCTAAGTTTGTATGGGGGACAGAGCAAGAGAGAAGTTTCCGTACGATTAAGGAAGCTTTTCTTTCTGACGAAGTCCTTGTACCCTTCGACCCAGAGCTGCCAACAGTCCTAGAATGCGACTCTTCTGGACACGCACTAGGAGGTACTCTTTCCCAAAGAGGCCTAGACGGTGTACTTCGTACGGTTGCCTACCTATCACGCAAGTTCCTTGCTCACGAATGCAACTACCCAATTCACGACAAGGAACTCCTAGCTGTAATCTGCTGTTTGAAGGAATGGGACGCCGAACTCCGAGGCGTACGAGAATTCGAGGTTATTACAGATCACAAGAACCTTGAATACTTTACTAAGAAGCAAAAGATGACAGAACGCCACGTACGATGGTCAGTCGAGTTATCAAGATTTGGGAATATGAAGATCAGGTACAGGCCAGGGAAGGAGAACGTACGGGCCGACGCCCTCTCCAGACGAGACCAAGACATGCCACAAGACGAGGATGACGACAGGATCGCAAGCAGAGAGTTTGTAATGCTAACCCCAGCTTACCAACAAGACGGCGTACGAGTTGCTGCATTACTCCCTCTAGTTACACCAATAGTCTCGGACACACTGCCTCAGCCACCAAATGAACAGGAGTTGATACAGAACCACTGGGCCACAGCAGTAACTAAGGACGACCTCTATCAGGAAGTGCTCCAGTCCGTACGGGAGGGGCAACGCTCATTGTCTACGACTAGAAAGATAGCTGTGTCCCTAGGAGACTGCGCAATCAACTCGGACGACCGCCTTACATGGAGAACACGTATCTGGGTACCCGAATCAGAACCACTTCGTACGGGCATAATCCAGATAGCCCACCTATCATTGCAAGCAGGCCACCCAGGTCGAGAAGAGACATACAGGATCGTAGCAAGAGAATGGTACTGGCCTAAGATGAGCGACGACATCAGACGCTTCGTACGGAACTGCGAGCTTTGCAGGAAAAGTACCCCGTGGAGAGACGGAAGACATGGTTACCTCCGCCCTCTGCCAGTCCCAAGTCGTACGTGGCAGCACTTGACGGTTGACTTTATTACAGGCCTCCCTCCTTCAGAAGGGAAGTCGAACCTAATGGTAGTAAAAGACCGCCTTAGCAAAGCCGCAATCTTGATACCTATGCAGAAGATAGAGAGCCAAGACGTAGCCTGGGCCTTCGTACGAGAAGTATACCGTCATCACAGCCTTCCTCTCTCTATCACGTCTGACAGAGGCCCCCAATTCGCAAGCGCTATGTGGGGAGATGTCTGTAGGTTGCTAGGCATAAGAAGAAACCTATCTACAGCCTACCACCCACAGACTGATGGCACGACTGAGAGAGCAAACAGCGATATTGAGGTAGTCGTACGGGTATTTTGCAACAATGACCAAGACAACTGGGCTACGCTATGCCCAATCCTCGAGCTAATGCTCAACTCCCGTACGAACACGTCCACTGGCGTCTCCCCCTTCTTCCTACAGCATGGTTACCACAACACGCCTTTCTCCCAACAAGAAGAACATGAACGTACGGACAGTAACGAGGCAGCTAAGAAGCCCACTCATGAGAAGGCTAAAGACATCGTCCAAACAATCACCTCCGCTGCAGAATGGGCAATCGCAGCTATGTCGTACGCACAACAAGAACAGGAAAGGCAGGCAAACAAGTCCAGGAAACCTGCCCCTACTTACAAGGTTGGAGATTGGGTTTGGCTCGACCTACGAGACGTACGCACTGCACGAGCCAGCAAGAAGCTGGACTGGAAGAGCGAAAAGTACCAAGTGTCACGCGTACGAGACCCATACTGGGTAGAATTAGCTGTCCCCTGGGAAACCAAGTCGTACCACGTCGACAAGATCAGACCAGCTGCTACTGATCCCCTACCCTCACAACAGACCAACGATTCAAATCCTGCAGCAGTCGTCGTACGAGATGAGAACGAACAAGAAGAACATCTTGAATGGCAGGTAGAGAGTATCACAAGTGAGAGAATACGTCAAGGAACTAAGCAATATTTCGTGAAATGGGTTGGATTTCAAGAAGCTACATGGGAACCAGAAGGAAATCTAGTTAACACCACAGCCCTACAGTCCTGGCAGACTCGTACACAAGCCGTACGGTCGCCCTCAGGCTCTCTTCAGAGAAGACAGAACCGCCAGCAGCGAAAACCTAGTCGTCCGCATCGACGAGCTCCTCCTCAGAAGAGGGAGCACGAATCGCCCGACCACCCGTACGAGGACGAGGACCAGGAAGAGCTCCTCCTCCTCCGCCATTAGGCGCTCCTTGACCGGCAAGACCACAGCGCGCACCATGCTCAGTCCAGACGCAGTTAGAGCAGGCGCCATTCCACTCTCCAGGAATAGAGACACAACCAGCAAAGGCAGTAAAAGGTTTAGTACCACGTACGGCGTGGGCGCAGTTGTTGTGGCAGCCAGCAGGGTTGAGGACACCACGGGAATGGATGACGAAAGCCTTGACGTACGAGTCGCGTCCGGTGAGGATTTGGCGAGCGTGGATAGTGCTACGAGCGACGACAGGGGAATACTCGATGTTGCCCGGACCCCAATAGGCGTCGTACGGTGAGTTCCCGGCAGGACGGAGAAAGAACTCAGCGACACGGCGGATAGGAGGCTGTTGAAAGGTTAGCAAGGTAAGAGAAGAGTTAAGACAAACGTACGGAGGCCATTGAGAGCGCACGACGTAGCTCATTAGCAACGTCCCTGTCAAGGATGTACCAGACAGAATAGTCGTTCATGTTGATACCACCTTGTACGTTGACAACCGCAACAGCAGCGTTAGGATAGTTGCGAGTGAGCAGGCGATGGGCAATGTTCTGGAGGTCAATCGCGGCGTTGGCGTACGTGCTGCCGGCATTGCCGCCAGTAGCGAAAGCAAGGTGGTTAGAACCATTAGCAGCCCAGACACCGCGAGCAGGAGCAGCCATTGTTGAGATATCGTATGAGAGGCCTTAACAAGGAGCAGAGAAGTTAGTGTAAGAAAAAAAAGTTTAAGAGAGGGATGCCAGCCTTATATACCTAGGAGAGGACGCCGAAATCCCCTCTCACCACAAGAAGCGGTCAAACGACGGTGACCAGATCCGTACAAGAATCCTCATTCACTGTTAGAGCGGTCAAACAACAACAAACACACACGTACGAAAGTTGGACTTACTGCAGACTCTGACGTCATGTTGCAAACACTCTCTTACAACAACGCGTCGCGTACGATTCTTAGGGGGGGGGTATTGTAAGGGGCTACGCCGTACTAAGCGGACTGCTCTAGTCACATGACGTACGGCTTAGCGCTGACTAAGGCAGTAAGGCGCAAGGCCTACAAAAGGCAAGTCGTACGCGCAAGGAGAACCTTTCTTTTCTTATCTTTCTTCTTCTGTATATAGGACAAATGCAAACTCGTTAGTAGGCCTCTTTCCGCCCTTAACAAGATCCGCAATTAGAAGCTAGTTAGCAAGAACTAGGCTGCAAACTTTGTAAATTGTCGTTCTAAGCTTAAAACTAAGTTTAATTAAAAGTACGACTATAGTAGAGCCCTCTGCGAAGATCCTAAGGTTATTTAAGGCTAGTTCCGCCTAGTATAGAATACAAAGGCGAAGTACAGCATCTAAGACAAAGACACGTACAACTTTAATAAGACTAGCTTTATAATAAGCGTAATATTAACTAGCTTAGTAGTTATAGCAGCAGACTGTTAAAGACAGCCTAAAACTATTTAGCAGGGCAACTAAGAGTAGGTTACAGCTATCTAAGGCATAGACGCGACAGAGTAGGTAATTCTACCCTTTATTATCTTCTAAGGCAAGCACTACCTCTCCGCCTAGTATAAAGAGGAAAACCTACCTTAAGACTAGGTAATTGCAGTCTCTAAAAATAGCTAGACAACAAACAAGCTTAGTATTAAGTAGTTAGAGCACTTTAACAGGCATACAAAGAAGAAAGTTATTAGCAGTTACTGCCTGCTAGTTCTTAACAGTCACAAGAGCTACAGCTTAATTAATTTCTACTAGCTCTGCGAAGAGAAGAAGATAATTACCCTCTATATACCTCTACACTCCTCGCACTTGCTGCAGCTACTTAACGTTAGCTGTTTTGCGCTACTAAAGAAGGCGTATAAGTGCTAAGCTAAGAAGCTAATGCGCAACAAGATTACCTATATTACTAAAACAGAGTTCTTGCTGTGCTTTATTGCTGCTTAAAACGTCTTAATTACAAAGAGCAATATCCTAGGAGGCTTCTAAGGCGCTAGCTTAGTTCTATTTAATCTAGACGCTGTTATATCAATACTTAACGTCTGCCTGCGTACTCTACTATTACCTACTATTAAGGACAGTCCCTAGCAGTCGCAAACCCTAAGCAATACCCTAGAGTTAAAGTCTTAAACAAAGCTAGTTCTTAAGAGGTTTTAGAGGCATGTAGACAGCTTACCTACTTTAATAGTTAAGGCGGTAAAAAGCCTCTCTAAAGGCGCAGAGATAATAGCGCATGCTTTAGTGTTGTCGCAAAAGCGTATTGCTAAGCTTAAAGCAGCTAACAAGGCCGCTACGCGACGTAAATTGTATAAAAGAAAGCAAGTACAGAAGGAGGGAACCCTTACAGTAGAGGAAGGTCTTCGACTTACAACTCTAAAGGAGTTTAGGGCGCGCAGCAATAGGAAGAAGGCGAAGAAGAGGGTGCGCGTTAAGGTAGGCGAACTGTCGCAAAGACGCTGTAGACGCTGCGGCGAGGCTAGTCACAACTCGCGCACATGCAAGCAAGATATAGTAGTAGATTCTGAGTAGAATAGTCTATTACGATTTCTGATTACAGTTCTATACGGTGCTGCACTATCGTGCGCAGTCGTGGTTTTAGTGAGGTCTTGGCAAAAGTGCGTCACTCGCTTGGGTGCGTCACTCGCTTGTGAACTACGTTAATCTACTTTGCTCTTTTACAACATCATGACTTTCGAAATACATACAATTACTGCGCTTGTCCCTTATCATCGTAACTACTCTACATTCTAGGTCTCATGTTAGTGATTGTCTACGCACTGTATAATACCACAACTCCCTACGCGCTTTTGGTACTACAGCGGCATTACGCGCCTCACGGCAGCGTTTAGATTGGCTCCAAGCCGTAGCGATAGGTCTCCTACTGAACGACTTCAACCCAACAAACGCACTACCTAATTACATGTTCTAAACAATTGACACCCATGTTCTCGCTATCATATGTACAGCGCCGCTAGAAACGTAAGAGAATTTCAGCTACCAGAAAGTTGCCGTCTGGTGGCTGTCGTCTGGGCGTCACAAGTGCCCCGCACTTTACCCTGCATACTCGATAGAAGCATGACGACAAGGCCACTTCCATATGTCCCCCACACGCTTGATACAGAATCGACATGGCATCCGAATATGCCGACATACCTCGATACCTCCGTTACAAAGACGGGGATGAAGGCTTGGACGACGATTGGGACTATGAGCTCGAAAGAGCTAACCAAATACTCCACACTCGGATCGTCAGAATGCATCGAGATAAACTCTGCAAAGACTGTGCTCGCTTCGACTGGTCGAGAACACACTTTTACACGCGCGACGTCCATTGGATATATGAGGAAGGTAGAAATGCGGGCCAAATAATCGGTGACAGATATCAGATGGATGACGGATATCAGTCAGTGTCCAGTTTCGACTTAGACTACCGCGATCTAGAAAACGTCCGAGATGACGTGGTCTGGTCTCAATTCGAAGTTGTAGCAGAGGCACGTCGAGAAGCAAAGTGGTTAGCGAAGGATCCTAGATTCCGCTGGCAACTCCGAAGGGACCAAATCCACCAATGCCAGCTCTGTAACGTATTGTGGGGTAAGGCAGAAAGAGCAGGAGAAGTATTACCCGAGTTGAACGACAGTAGCAATTCGGCGTTTCTCAGCATCCTGCTCAAGGGCGGTCCAGCGTTCAAAGATGGTGGAAAACATCGATGTATTGTCGTAAGTTTATGGTAATTGTATGTCTTGTGTTACCATCACTGATGAAAGGAACGGCAGGCTTGGCCTGAATTTGAGACGGATGCAGGGTCTGCAACCAACGGTATCAAGGTTTACCTATCGGCGCACGAACCTCCAGATCTAGAGACCTCAACTTCATGTTGCATTCGCCCTTTCATCAAAGAGATGCCTCATCAACTCAATGATTTACCACATTGTTGCTTGAAGAAGCGCCGGGTGGGCACAAACGTCAATTTCGATCTTGTGAGAGGATGGCTGAAGTGGTGTGATGAAACGCATGAACATACTACAAGCCCCATTCACTCGATATCGGCGCTAAAAGACCTTCGGTTCATCGATACTAAAAGGCGATGTATTATAGAACAAGACCAGCACGTACGCTATGCAGCACTCAGCTATACCTGGGGCCTAGAAGAACAGTATTGTTTGAAACGAGAGAGCGTAGAAGTCCTGAAACAACCCGGTTCACTGGATCGTACCAATGTGACAATTAGAAAGGTAATTATCGATGCGATCGAGGTGTGTCTGGAGGCAGATATCCCATATCTGTGGGTAGATGCACTCTGCATCATCCAGGACGACGAACACGGCAAGATGTCTCAGATCCGAAATATGGACTCTGTCTACTCGAACGCCTACATAACCATCGTTCAAGCAGCAGAAAAACAAACAAGTTCTGACCAAAGGCCGCTCGATCAAAACTTTAATCTGGGTCTGTCTGGAGTGTCCACACCATTTACTCCAGTCGAGCCAAGCTGTATTGTAGATGGAGTTTCGTACTTGGTCGATGACAACGACGTTTACAGAAGGATGGATGAAAACTTCTCAACCTCTAGGTGGTCGTCCCGTGGCTGGTGAGTGGAGACTTATCACCTCTATTTCAACGTAGTACTAAGTGCACTCGTCCTTCTTCTAGGACATTCCAAGAGCTCGCGCTTTCGCATCGAATCCCCCTGTTCATTTCCGAAGAAGTAGTCTTCTACTGTTCAAATGGTGTTGCGTGCGAGAGTATATCCCTTGGTGACGACTTTTATAGAACGCTTCCATCGATGCAGCAACCTAGTCTACATCAGGAGTCCAGTATTCAAATTTGCGGCTTCCTGCACAAACTGCCGCGCAAGGATACAACATTACTCGAGCTTATAGAGCAGTATGAAGAGAATTATCTTCAGCTACTCAGCTTCTATATCGGAAGAAGCTTGACTTACAATACTGATGTACTCAATGCGTTCTCTGGGATCATCAACGCACAGTCTGATTCACTAGGCTACTTTATAGCGGGATTGCCGCACCGTTTGTTTGCAAGAGCGTTATTCTTGTCGGTAGAGACCGAATACGGCCCACTAAGCCGGCGGAGCGGATTTCCTTCCTGGTCTTGGATTGGCTGGAAACCCGACTTCGGCTGTTCAAGGATTGTATTCGATGACGGTGGTCACAGCAATGCGCAGCGTCGTGGCTACTGGACGCTTGTGCAGATATATTTATGCACTGGACATAGAAATCCTGTCCTTCTTCTGGGCCAACTCGATATCAACAACGGCTTCGAGGGATACTGTACCCGCTCTATCGAGTTTTACAATCATCTCACATCTGCACCGTCTCTTCCCACCGAGCCTAGTGTCGAAGAAGCGCCGCTCTTCCACATCCCACGTGACGAGAGCTTACAAACATTACTCATATTCTGGACTCATGTTGCGCCCCTGAAATTGTCGTTCCCAACTGAATACGGTGTTCTCCCCGAGGTACATATCGATTGTCCTATGATCGGAGCAAGATTTAAGGAACAGGCGAGCGTGGAACTCGAAGTAGCTCTAGTCGCGATCACTCGTGGGATTTCTCACTATGAAGGCGTTAGATGTGAGGGTTGGCGGGAGCCCTGGCGGATTGCAGAGGAAAACAAACTTAGTGGCATCATCATCGAGCGTTGGCGAGGTCTAGCACGACGTGTCGGTGTTGTGCATGGTATTGGAATACCGCAGTGGGTAGCTGCAAACCCACAGAAGGAACTCCTGCTACTAGCATAGAACACCTGTCGCTTGTTGAACTGTTCTTGCTATTTGTGTCCGTAACGTAACAGGGAAAAGCAAGGGACATGGCGCAAACCTGACGTTCATGCTATCGGGTAGTTACATCCCCGCTGCCACCACTAACCTACCAGGATATTATCATGGGAAAATTTGCATTCCCCATCTAAGATAATGCAACATGAACCGGAAATCCGATGTTCGCTCAGGATGATGTACTTCTGTCGTGTTGGCGGCACCCTCCGCAGCCAATCAGCCCAGCCGCAACACCCAATCAGACCTACCAGTGCCCAGCCCTGTGGCTCCACTGCCCCGCATTCCGGATGCCGGATGCAAGCTAGCAACATGGCAGGACCCACTCAGCTCGCGCAGCCAGCCGTGCCTACATGTGCGTGCGAACATCGTGAGATGCTGCTTCTTGTCTTGCGTGGCGAGTCAAGTAAGCTAATCGTTGCCAAATCTCGTGCCGTGTCTGTCGTCACGCGCTTGCTGCCAGGATTTGGCCCTGATCAGCTGCAGCGGTTTCGTATAGCTTCTCAACGAATTGAGAGGCGGGATGGCCGCGGAAGTCACGATGCTTTGGAAGGAAGCCAAGGTGAAGGAAGGGGGAGGTACGCGTATGAGCTGTAATTACATCATGCCTGCTGTGCAACGTATACATGTCAGCTTGTGAACGCCCCGAATCTTGCTGCGAGACAATGATACCATTCTCTCTTTCTCTCTGTCCTCATTTCATCTTCTGTACGATTTGCATCATCAAACAAGAAAGCGACAACGACCATGGCGTCTCTTCGCTCCTCAAGGATGCTGCTTCGCCGATTCGTACGCCCAGCTCCGCCTGCGTTCCGCTTTCAGCCTTTCACAGCTCCGCTCCAACGCCGAACCCTCGCATCACACCAAGAAGCAACCTACCCCCAAGTTCCATACGAAAAGGCTGAGAGTGTCGGAGAAAAGAGATTCAGCCAGTTCGACCTCGACGGGAAAGTGTTCGTGGTTACAGGTGCAGCATGCCGTCCTCCTCCCTTGTGCAGAGCAAATATTACGCCTTTGTAGCCCGTGTTAACGAATAAACAGGTGGAGGTCGTGGACTAGGACTATGCATGGCTGAAGGGCTCGTAGAAGCTGGTGGCAAGGTGTACTGTCTTGACCGGCTGCCAGAGCCTCCCCAAGTGTTCCAAGAGGCCCAGACACGGCTCAAGAGCAATCACGGTGCCAGTCTAGAGTACCATAACGTGGATGTGACGCACGAGGAGGCGATGCGGAAGTGCATCGAGGATATTGCATCGAAGCATCAACGGCTCGATGGTCTTATTGCAGGTACGTGTCAGTCAATGCTGTTAGACGTAACATACTGATCATTTCACTCTACAGCCGCCGGCATCCAACAAGTAACGCCGGCTATCGAGTTCCAGAAGAAAGACATTCAAAAGATGCTAGACGTCAACTACACTGGCGTGTTCCTAGCAGCACGAGAATGCGCCCGCCAGATGATGCAATACAAGATCCAGGGATCGATCTGCCTTGTCGCAAGCATGAGCGGAACCATCGCCAACCGCGGTTTCATCGCACCTGTCTACAACTCGTCCAAGGCAGCCGTGGTACAGCTAGCACGGAACCTAGCCATGGAGTGGGGAAGGAAGAATCCAGACGGCTCAGGCGGTATCCGAGTCAATTCTTTGAGCCCCGGTCACATTGTTACACCGATGGTGCAGGCCAACTTCGACAAGGGCGAGGCAAACCGCGAGGAATGGGAGAATAACAGTATGCTGGGTCGGCTCAGCACTCCGGAAGAGTACAAGGCTGCGGGATTGTTTATGTTGAGCAAGGCAAGCAGCTACATGACTGGGCATGATCTGAAGCTGGATGGTGGTACTACCGCCTGGTAAAAGGGCTGTCAGGCGACGTGTAGTCTACCGTACGGTTCAAGCATTCTCAGCGACAAGTCTGGCGTCAAGGTTAACGAATTATGACGAGTATGATGTATTTGTTTCTTCCAATTCTGCTTGATATGACTTTGTGAAAGTGGTGATGCTTTCTGCCCTAGCAGTGTAAAAAGTGATGATGGAGAGCGCACGCTACGCTCCTGCCAATGGCCGCTCAGGGTCCGCACGCGCCTTCCCCACTCAACGCTAGCTTACAATCGGACCATCTGTCCTTCCGCGCATCCCTCGCGACAGCTGTACATTTCCCAAAGCCACGCAAGAGCGCGAAACAACTCGAGCCTGCAAGCGCTGCAGCTCTACAAACACGACTCTTTCACCATGGACCGGTTAGCACGTCTCCTCAGCTGCGTGCTGCTCGCCCTCCTCCCCCTCACAGCAGCCCTCAAATTCGATCTCCACCCCGTAGCAGCACACGACTCAGCCAAGTACGAGCGATGCATTAGGAACTTTGTCGCGAGGGAGCAATTGGTTGTTGTCACGGTGATTATGGACGGATATCGGGGGGATGGACAGAGGGTGGATATGCATGTACGTTGCAACGACAAGATTCAACACCAATGCTTGCATGCGAGCAATGCGGACACGAGAAGGATATATACTGACAATGCCCAATTAGATCCGCGACGCAATGGGCAACGACTACCACCGTCCCAAAGACGTCGTAGGCGAGAACCGCTACGCCTTCACCTCGCACGCCGACTCTGCCTTTGACGTCTGCTTCGAAAACATCTTCACCTCGTCCGGCTCCTCCAAGTCCATCACCCCGCGCCACGTCGAGCTCGACATTGACATTGGCGCCGATGCCAAGGACTGGAATGCCATTGGAGCCGCCGACAAGCTGAAGCCCGTTGAGGCGGAGCTCAGGAGGATCGAGGAGGTTGTTGGAGAGATTGTCACCGAGATGGATTACCTGAGGAGTCGCGAGCAGAAGCTTAGGGATACCAATGAGAGCACTAATGAGAGGGTCAAGTGGTTTGCGTTGGGTACCATGGGTATGCTTGTTGGGCTTGGGGCTTGGCAGGTTGTGTACCTTCGTGCCTACTTCAGGAGCAAGCATCTCATCTAGAGTATTGCGCAGTGACTTTGGGCGGTTTGGAGGGCTGAGAGCGTTTTGGTTAAAAGAGAGATCTTGGCGACCCGGTGTGTATGGATGGGTACGATACGAGCATGGAAGCTTTATGGACTGCATACTTCACACACGACTGGAGCGGCGTTGGTAGGACATATCCAGATTTCAAAACTTGTTCACAACAGCTCACGTGTTCTCTGCCTTTAATGGCCCCCGACTAACAGTGTTTCAACGTCTAGTCGTCGGCTTATACATTGCTATAGGTGCAGCCAGTCCGCATACATCAAGGATATACACATTGCGAAAGAAAAGACAGGCGCAAAATAGCCTATCTATCCCTGCTTGATAGCCTCGACCTCCAACTCAATGAGCATCTGCGGAAATGCCAAATGCGGCACCGCAACCGCCGTCCAACATGGCCGATGCCCCGGGATCCTCTCCTTGAGTGCCTTGACTAGCGGATCCCAACTTGATCGAATATCAGTGTGGTAGCTCCTCAAATGGTACACATCTTCCCAGCCACGTAGTCCCGCGGCTTTCAACACTAGGTCGACGTTCTTCATTGCGATGGCTATTTGCTCGTCGCTGTTGTTGGCATCGAGGGCGCCGGTGGTGGGGTCCCAGCCGCCCTGGCCCGAACATTTAATGATACCGTTCGGCAGGGCGACGGCCATGGAGAAGTGGCTTTCGTCTGAGAATTTTTGGGAGGCGCCGGGAGGGTTGGTGTAAGTCAGGGAGGACATGACGAGGTTGGAAAAGGTGGATGGTTGAACTGGAGTATGTCAGGAGATTCTTGCTACTTGCGAATTGGGAGCAAGGTACCTACTTGGGTTAATGAACGAGCAGACCGAGATATGTATGTAACGGTGTGATGTCGACGTTCAAAAAAAAAAGATCAAAGTGTTTGTCCAGGTGGTGTTGAGAACAGTTATCCTGCGATCGAGCAACCAGAGCGACACCTTCTTTTATATTGCTTAATTTGAGATCAAGGTCGACGTTATTTAGTCCCACTAGGTGGCCAATCCGTCCCTTAGTCTTCGTGCCATCAGATTATCTCTATCGGTGATGCAGAATGCTCGTCGTTGGAGAAGTCGGCCCGAGAAGTTGGAGATAGACACCGTGAGAGATGCTAGAATTCTGCAGTGCCGATCCAGTTTTATTCTGCATTTCCTGGTATCGCGTGACCATCTCTGGGAAGCTATGATGTCCACTTGGTCTACTCCATCATAGTATCTTCTTCGGTGCCTATAGACCGTGCGTATTGGCCGAGAGCCTGCCCAAGCGTACGTGCAAACGGCTTCTCACTCAAACTTACCAGCACACGGCTCCAGTATAGCAAGACAGACTTTGCGAGTACCTTCGTGTTCGTAAAATCCGGCTGGCCATCCGAAACATCCAAAGAGGACCACGCCATCGATAGAGCTCCCCTGAGATCCTCGATGATGACCTGACAGGCTTGATTGCCACTACTCTCGACTGCCGCTTTCTTGGTCCATGCACATAGAAACAGAGCAGATTCGAATATCAAGAGTACATTCCACAGTGTCCAAGTATTAGCGTGGTAGCGAAGGAAGAATGCGAAGCCGGTATTTGCAGGATCCTCGAAGAGATGGACCGAGGCGCCCACGTCACACAAGAGCACATCGTCGCTCAGTGATTCCGGGAAAACATATTGCTGATCATGAAGGTATAGTAGCATCTCTGCCGCCTCCTCAGTCTTGTACATAGCCGAATCTATCACCAACCAATGTCTGATACTTTCAAGATGCACAAGACTTTCCGTCTTTTGTCTTTGACGTTGGAATTTATTGGTTTCTGTCATCGAAGCGAATCTTACGCGAGCTCCGGTGAGCGCTATAGCATCTCTGATTGTTCGGATGAGTAATTGCAGCGCAAACAAACTGTATCTCAGGGAAGCCACTCACTTGTATCTTGCTTCTTCCTTCGATATGTCATCATGAGCCCTGAAAAGCGCTCTCGCTTCTCTGCTCACACAGAGGTGATGGGTGAGGAACGCGAGCATTACAAAAACTTGAAATATGTCTAGACTGCTGAGCATAGTAGCACGTCCGTCGTACGGTATCCCTAGTAGTTGGTTGATGAATTCCAAGATGTGTTCACCTTGCAAAGGTCGGGACGTGTTGTTGCGGTCAAGATCTGCGTGTCGCAACGTCTCCCAGCTATCCGCTAAACATGGAAATCGAAAACGAACGTTAGCAGGCCATGCCATGATAGAGGAATCAAAAACAAAACTGTGTATCGCTATGGCACAGGCACCGAAGGCTTGGCTCCTTCTCTCCAACTCCTCGATCAGCCATTGTGAATATGATGTCGACGGTGATGATTCGACATTCTTGGCACCGACTTCAAGACATAGCTGAAGTGCATAGTGAAATCGGCGAAGCTCGTCCATGGTGTTTGCAGGTAACTCGATCGTGATGAAATCAATAAGTAGCACAAACGCGCTTGTCAACTGCCAGGATAAACTGAGAATGGGTTAGCACGACTCTTCGATGCCGCTCTGGAAAATTGTAAACATGCCGTTCAGGTGATTCCGTTGTCCACGTATGTAGAGCTGCGCTTTTACTTGCTGAGAACAGTGCTCTTGCGCTTTTGTACTCGAGAAGATGTAACGCTCCCAATGCAAACATAGCAGTGCGCAAGGCGAATTCCATGCTTGTGAGTTCCATGGTGGGATGAATCAAGGCTGAATTGGTGTGGAAGTGGAAGGATTGTCGATATCGCTGGCAAGCTTGAGTAGACGGTGGTACAAACTTTGGCTCTCTCTCCTGGTACTCCTGCCACATACTGTCTGTCGTATTGGACGAGATGGCGGATGAGCCACTCGGATTAGTGTTAGAATGCGTTGACAGTGGTCCAGTCCTTGTCGGCGGGGTGAAGAAGTTGGAATCTTCGGGCGCATTGTCAAGACGTTCGTTGTTTGATTCATGCCGATCAGCCATATCTTGGAGACTACTTTGGGAAAGGAAAGTCTCGAATTGCTTCAAACCCCTTTCTTGTGCTGGTGGGGAGGGTAAGGACGTGCCTGAAGCGTCAGTTAAGCATTCGATGTTATAGCTTGAATACACTAACCAAGGTGGTGATACTCAGGAGGAAGCGGCAATGCTTCACTTGGAGGTATGGCAGCACCACTCTGGCCAGCTTCGTCCGATGCGGCATGAGCAAGTCGCCTATGACGTTTGAGCAGGTCTTTTCTAGCAAACGACAGCCCGCAATCACAGTGATACGGCTTTTCTTTGGTATCTACCAGGTTATATCAGCCATATATCAGCCTTTGCTCTGGATGATATTGTATCCTCTCAGCCAAGACATTGATACACCAAGACATTGATACACCAAGACATTTGAAAAATGTTCACATACGCGTTCGAGTATGTCGTTGTAAATGTTCGAGCTTGCGAAATTGCCGATCACACGTTGCGCATGAGAATGTTTTCGTGGTTGCATCTGCCATCATTGCCGAGTATGCTGTTGGAGAATTGGAGAAAAGTGACGGTTCGTCTCTGGCGCCCTTATTTAGTGCGAGAATAGCTGGCCCCACCTTTCAAGACACCGAGTTTCTCCAACAAGAAGCGGCAATCTTGATCACCGTTCCTGACGCGATATCCGATTTTCAACTACCATTTCCTTTGGATAGTGCTGGAATGATCGCGACATGTCGCACGCTCAGAGGAAGCCTACACCCGTCAAGCTAGCGTGCAGCTCGTGGTACGTCATGATCCTGACCGAGGAGTGTTAAAACTGGGACACAAGTCACGCTATGTCTACCTGCGATGAACACAATCTACAATTCATGTACTGCCTTTCCTGATCCTGTAGCAGCAGGGCGTCGCGATTGAAATGTAGTGGTACTAATCCTTGTAGTCGCGTAAGCTAAAATTCTGTCCGCCACCCTGCACAGTCCACTAACATAGCTATCGGCAGTGCCTACGTAAGAACACAACATGCGTGTATCTACCCAATCGACGGGGTCGGAAGACTACGTCGAGAGCTGTAAATTTTCCTGAGCCTAGGGATTCATCAATGAATGCTCTTGGCTCATGGGGCGCGTCTGATCCTAGTATGTTCGATTGTCAAATATCCGACAACATGGGCCCGGAGTATCCTCGAGAGACTTATTATGGCGGGTTACTTCCCCCATTGTTTAGTGGGGATCTAGACTCCTTCCAGTTCGAGGGAATGTTCGGCGGTAGTACGGACGCGGAACTGGATAGCTTCTTTGCTGAGATGTTTAGGATACCGTCATTTCCACGAGTTGGCTCCTTCGATCCTACTGATTTGGTACTGGGGGAGTCTCAGCCTGTCTACCAACAGCCGTATCACTCCGATGCCCAGATCCTTGGAGCTTATTACAAGCACATACATCCTGTATTCCCAATCCTGCCTCCACCGATAGAGGAACCGAGAATTGACTCTTCAGAAGAGGATGTCAGCAGTAGTGGCTCGTTTCTCTCAGAAACTTCGTCACCTCTGATCCTAGCTCTGTCTTCAGTTCTGTATCTAACAGATACATTGCAACCACCAAGTGCTGTCAACGATGGAAACTTCTTCCAAGTTTTATACCAGCGAGCAACAGACTTAGTTGAACGATTCTCCCTTTCTTCTCCCCTCTCTCAGGATACAGTCCTACCATCAGCAATCCATTCGCGTGTACCTCAGCAGTTAGAAGTACCACTGGCATGCTGTGTCCTTAGCTTGTATCAGTATCTTCGCTGGGGCAACATTGAAGAGATGACGCGTTTGGCACAGAAAGCTCATAGCATGATTAAGGCTATGTCTGTAGGTTGGGGACACGTTGGAGCATTTGCCGAATCTCAGCGGAGAGCGTGGTGGATGTGTGTGATGTGTGTATACAACGCCAATATCGTTAGCTGTACGGTACGGTATCTACCAAGACACCTTATACACCGATCTTGACCAAAGCTGACTATGTTGTAGTCGCCAGTAAACAAGATCGACATCCGTAACGTCAGTATACTGCATCCTACCAATTTGGGTAACTCGGAGATCTGGGCTCAATATATCTCCGCCGAAGAGACTCTCGTTGCTGCCACTCTCCTTCTAGTAGCATTGGTGAAAGGCAACGACGCCGAGTCCGAAGTGCCAGCTTTCAACCGAAACATTCGCCTACTAGACAAAGTCATCGCCCACCAGCTAGCTGCAATACCCGACACCCCATCATCAAGTCAAGACGTGCCATACCGCACAGAAGAAAGACTCGCCATATCCTTACGCGCCATGGCAAGAATACGACTACACAGGTAACTAAAGTTGATCGTATCCTCCTGTGATACAGCCGCTGATTCAAACACAGTGCACGCATCAAACTACATAGATATCGCGCCTTCATGCACCACCCCACCATCCTCCAGAAGTTTTCGCCAACTACAACGACTCGAGGCCATCACCATCGCGTCACTAACACCATCAGCGATAGCAACGATAACACACAGAACTTGCACTGTCAAGCGAATAACCACCATGGGCATCCAAACCACCCCGGTATCCGTCAAAGTCGTCGACAGTCGACCACAACTCCAATTTCTCATCATGAAACACTTCCAACCACCCAAATCTTCCCCTTCTCGACCCACCACGCACTAACCACCTGCCTCGACTCAGCCACCACGATCACAACCTCGCTATCCCACCTCGTCTCCCTGGGCACATGTGCAGCTCCACAGATTTGTTCAGCAGCCTTGGCGAGTTACACAATGATGATGATATTCCACTTTGAACACCAAGTACCACAATCCCAATCGCAGGCCCAGTTGCATCCGTCCTCGCAGTTAGGGCCACGGCCACAGCCACGGTCACAGCCACGATTGACGACACAGATGATGAGTCCTTCTGGCGTAATGCAGGGTTCTATACAATCACAATGCGAGGAAAGCGCCGGTACGGCTGTAAAGGTGCTGGATAGTTTTGCAGGGGGTTTCAAATTCATCGGCGGACTAAGAGATCAGATTAAGAAGGCTGCTCATGCGACATTTTGCTCCCGTCCAACATAGTGCTGAAAGGCTTGCAGAGTGAGCACGATAAAGTGACACCATAAAGAAGGGTAGTAACACAGTAGAGACAGATGATCAAAAGGGCGAAGACAAGACAAGGAAGATTTACCAACGTGAATAGAGCAAAAAAAAAGAAGACTACTCAACCTTTTTCCTAACCCTAACTAGACTCTCCGGGTAACTCCAAAAGTATATGAATGGAGATTGGTTTTCGTTACAACATGAGACTACTCTCTTTGAGCGGGATATGTGATAAGAGGTTGCTAAAAAACCCCCAATCTTACCGCTAAAACGCCGCCCAATGCAAATGACCATGTCCGTCATCCCTCATTCTTCCAAGCTCGTAGGGGGGGTATACAGGTATATAGTACAAGAAAGGGAAAAGAAAAAGGGCGGCTAGAAGACGTCAGACTCCCGTGAGAAAGGCTTAAAAGGGTGAGGCTGGCTCCCTCCTTGGTCGGTCACCACCAAAGCCGCCTCCTCCTCTCCTGTCACCGCCCCTGTCACCACCGAAGCCACCGCCGCCTCTCCGGTCACCCCCAAAACCACCACCTCCTCTCCTGTCGCCGCCAAAGCCGCCACTGTCACCACCTCGGTTGCCACCAAATCCTCCGCTTCGGCCACTACGTTCAGCACCGTACGAACTACGGTCGTATCCGCCGCCGCCGCCTCTCCTGTCACCACCCCTGTCACCACCGAAGCCACCTCCGCCTCCCCTGCCGCCTCCGAATCCGCCACGACCACCGCTACGGCCGCCGCCGCCACGTCCACGACCTCCCATGTAGAGGCTAGCAGGCGGTGGTGGTGGCGAAGGCATACCCCAACCGAACTCTGCTAAACGGTTCGCACCTTCCAGCAGACCCTGCTTGTCACCATACCACTGAAAGCTTCCAAAGAGGCCACGGAATGCGGCGTCAAGTTGGTCAGGGTAGACCTTCTTGTGTGCCTCGACAGTGTCAGATAGAATCTTCGCAACGTCCTCAGGCATCTCAGCTGTTTGTGTCATATCAACCGTCGCAGTCTCGAGCGTGTGGGTTCCATCTTGGAGGGGCAGATTGTTGAGACGGCGGCGGACCTCGTGCTTCTCGAAGGGCGTTAGGAAGAGCCAGCCCTCACCCTCCTTTCCGGCACGGCCTGTACGACCGAGACGGTGAATGTAGGAGTCGCGTTCACGGGGAAGACCAATTTGGATGACGTGAGTGACCTCGGGGAAGTCCATGCCACGAGCTGTTACGTCAGAGGAGAAGAGAATGCCGGACTTTGCGAAGCGGAAATCATCTGCTGCCCTTGTACGTTGCGCTTGGGTGAGCTTGGCGTGGATCTCATAGGCGCGGAGGCCAGACAGAGGGGTATTGCGCTTGAAACCGCCACCGAGCTTGTAGAAAACCGATGCTGCCAATGTGACTTCAGCGGTGCTGTTGAAGTAAATAATGGCCTTGAATGGACGGCTTTCGCCAGATTGAGCTTTCTGTTGCGATTGCAGAACGAGCTCGTACAGCGCAGGCATGATGTTCTCGAAACCGGCGAGATTGACGTATTTCTGCGGGATACGCTGGTGCGTTGGTTCTTCGTTTTCATCCACACACTTTGCGAAGTGGAAGCCGGGTCGCATAGTCGCGCGGACAAGGCCGACAACCTCGCGGGGAATAGTAGCGGAGAACATGAGGTTTTGGCGTTCGACTTCAGCTGGGTCGGGCAGGAAGTTCTTGATCTCGTCAATCTCCTTGGAGAACCCGTCGTCCATCAGGCGATCGGCCTCGTCCATGACCAATGCGCTCAATTTGGGGGCCTTGACGCCAGAGTATGGATCTGAAAGGATGTCGAAAAGTCGTCCGGGAGTCGCAATCATCAGGTGGCATCCTTCACGCTGTGTCTTCTGAAGCATAGCCCTCTTCTGAGTGCCACCGACTGCAACTTGTGTGACAATGCCGGTACCGGAAGTCACCTTCTTAGCCTCGACAGCGATTTGCTCTGCAAGTTCTCGGGTAGGTGAGATGATAATGGCCCGAATGTCATCGGGTCTCGCACGCTTGTATCCTCTGGGCTTCTCGCCGAGCTCGGGGGCGTTCGCAATGATTCGTTGGATGACGGGGACGAGGAAACCGAGCGTTTTACCGGTACCGGTCTTTGCTTGTGCGATACTATAATGTGTTAGTATATCGTAAGACGGGGGTCGGCGAAGAGTCTTACATGTCAACCCCGCTCAGGGCTTCGTTGATGGTCCTGGTCTGCACGTCCGTCATGGTCGTGAGCTTCATCTGGTTCGTGATAGTTCTGATGAGGTTGGGATGGACGAGTCCGCGTGTGGCCAAATCCTTGAACTCTGTGACGGGGCCATCTTCCTCGATGCTCTGTTGTGCCTCTTGAGCCTCTTGTTGCCACCTTGTGGCGCTGTTGTGGAAGCCGGCGAACGAGACATTCTGAAGGCGCGCTGATTGCAGTGGTATCCTCAGAACGCTCGAGTTGTGGGTGAGGGGTGTGCGGAGAGTTCTAGTAGAGACTGAGGCAAGATTCCTCGCGAGCGTCGCGGGACATCTTCTCACTGCGCCGAACATGATGTGCGGGCAATATTATACACTTGCTCGTGACAGAGGGTATCTGTAACGATTGGAATGAGCAAGAGAGATTATATCTTGAATACGCCTGAAAGAAGACGGCGGGTTGGAGAAAAAAAATGGCGTGTATTCGCCTGAGATGTTACCGCTAGAAACTTTGCCATGCAGCACTTTTCCAAGGGACGTGCACCCACAACGCGCGCTAGGAAGTCCGCCCGATAACGATAAGCGGCGTTCGTTATCACGTGACAGGGTCCAACCCCAAGTAGACATTGATGACGCAGAGTTCCTCAGAGCGCCCTCCGTACAGATAAAGTGTGGATTCGGGAAGTTGTGAGTAGCCTTCCATGCTCTCAGTGCCACATTGCAATACCAGTCCGGGCAGTATGGCATGAGAATTCAATGCGTATCATTAATTCGTAAACTATCGAATCATGCCAGTTCCAAACGCCTTGTCCAATGCATCCCGACCTTCCCAATGCTTCACGCAATGCAGTAGAAACTCTCAATTACCCCTCGCCTCCCTCTCTTCCACCCTCACAACCCTTAGCCCCTCAGCGATTCCCTCTTGCACACCCCCTGTGATCCCCCTGACCCACCAAACAGCCACCTCGTTAATCACCTGACCAACCATGCCGTCGTTCATTTGACACACAGTCTGGCTCAGCCTCAACGTCTTCCGTCCAATGTCATCGACGGTCGCAACGCTCGTATTGACCAGCCGTTTTGTGATCTGATGTTTCCGCTCAAACTGGTAGGTATGTGAGAGAAACAGCTTGATATATGGTAGCAGGAACTGCATAAGGATGAAGGATTGTAAGACGAGGGTCGCAGTCAGCCGGTGCAGAATCGTGGGGTCGCGAGGTGGTGCATGGTTGGTGGCTGCGGTATGTTGGGAGACGGCGATTAAGGCGTGCGTGTCTGCGGTATGCCTTGTCTCCACAAGGTCTTGTGGAAGGGCGGCCTGGATGCTCGATGTCTCTTCTGGTGTAAGCTTCGTTGGCAGCCCTCGCAGTAGATATGTTACGCCATGCACGTAGAGTTGGCGGGTGAGCGTCGCGGAGGTTTCGTCAGAGGTACTAATGAATTCGCTGGATTCTCGGGATGCTTGAGCCATGAGGCTAGTTCCTATGAACTGTGAGCATGCAACGCTAACATTAACGAGCCACATTCCGTACCTAAGGAAGCATAGCTCCACCTAATTCCAGTGCTCGTCTCTTGAGCGCGATATAGTTGTGGAAGTGCACTCCCTGAAGACCCAGGTCTATCCTCTGCGTCGTCCACGAAAGCAGCATCTGCTTCACCCAACGCAACAGAGAGTCTATGTGGTGTGATAGAGCCGCTCGGTGGTATCGACGAGTAGCCTGGCGGAGGCGTCTCGGGTTGTGGCAGTTCATCGATAGAGGCTGACTTGCTGTGTGAGCCGCGATTCCGTACATCATTGAGGGATTGTCGGAGCGAAGGTATCGTCGGAAGGTGGTTCGATACAACAGTAGGGAGCACGCTGTAAAGTATACTAGGCCGGTAGCTCGTCTCCTCCCCTTCCATTATCGCCGCTGTATCGAAAGTCGACGTGGGCATCTCAGCGCGTTCGACCCGCAGCATACTTTCGGCTTATCTCTCGGGCGTATCCTAGACAAGTTGTGATCCTTCGCAGCCTCATCCAGAGTTCCCCTCAAAAGAATGCGAAAAGCAATTGGCCAAATGGTAAGACGGCAAGAAAAGATGCAAAGCCGAAAAAAATGTCATGGGAGATAAGCTTGGGGCTCTGCATGTGACGCCCGCCGCACAGCGGCTATCCTCGTTTTGCTGAGACGGCATTATTCCGAATCCGTGCGGATTTTCGAGGGAGTCGTGAGGTTGCAAGCATGTGAAAGTGTTGAGTCGAGCACACCACACATGTGCAGCGCCGTTGCGCCAGGGTCGGAGAGATAGCCGAGCGCCGAACACCAATCAGCTGGGACGCGGAACAACGTGTGGGAACCTTCTGATATCCTTGCATTTCTCTTGAGACACGCCAACCTGCTATCGTGATCTAGTCTACTGATCGCTTCAAAATTCCTGCTGGAATCACATGTGACCGGGATGCTTTCGAAATGCACCACAGCTCACCAAGCGAACCGCGCTGAAGACTCACTTGCCCAGGTTGCCCACCGTGCATCAACCGGCTGATCGATCTCTTCGACCTTGTCCTCTAGGTCTGTATACATCTCGTCGTCCACGCTTTCCTCCGAGATCGTCCTTCCGCCGAGATCGTTGCGGCCTAGAGTCAAGGACAAAGTTAGTTTTTTAGTTACCACCTGCAGGCGAGACTTTCTTACCATCGTCAACACCATACTCGCTCTCCCTAGAACCTTCATCCATCTCCTCATCTTGGGTCATACGCTGCCTCAGCGGAAGCCTTTCAGTATCCCCAATCACATCCAGAACCCGCTCACAGTAGTTCTTCAACCTCTCCTCGTCGTCCCATATCCTCCTCGCAGTGCCCTCATCCATGTCACCCCCGTTTGTAACCAATTCTTTCCAGTATTTCAAATCAAGCACGTCGCGATGTAGATACTTCCCAACGTGCTTGATATCGTCGATATCCTCGTACGACCAGCGGGTACCGCCGTTGGAGTTGCGAGCGTAGTTGATGACGAGGTCATAGGCGCGCGTTGTGCGGTGGATAAGAGGGTGTAGGTGAGAGCCTTGTTGCTGAGGTTGTTGGGATGGGATTATATTTGCGGCGGTGTGACGGCGGGGGTTGATGGGAATGCGGTTCACCTCTGCGTTGTAGTTGGGCTGAAGAGCTGCTGGTGTCTGTGGCAGTACGTTACCGTACGATGGACGGTAGACCCTGGCACGAGGAACATAAGGATGGGTCATTGTTGCAACTTTGTTCGATTCTGAGGGTGGAAGAGAAACAGAGAGTTCAGGTTGCAGGTGGAAAAGGTTCGTTGTTTCATGTCTGCGTTTGTCTTTGATGAAAGTGAAAGGTGAGGCCATACTGTCTGCATGTATGGATCGTTGCCTGATTAGGAATTTGGGGAAGTCCCGTTTACGATGGTCATGTCGATCTTGAATGTCCAGTATCTACTCAGATCCCAGGTCGCGGGTTTATCGTATCGACCGGACAGCTACATGACTCTCTGGGAGGACAAATGATTGCTGGCGGTGCGGCGAGACATGCGACGGTCTCAGTCCACATTTCAAAATGTTCAGTTGTCACGAGACAGGAAACACATGCCTCCTCTCTGCACCAAACCGAGTAAGACAGAGTCCATGTATCCGCCACATAACCCGGCCTTAGTCTTAGTTCGACTGCCTTGCAGCCTCACCACGTACCCACACACATTATCAGCCTCTCGCCGTCTGTGTACCATCCATCTCCACCGGCGGCCCAGGAAACGCTCTTACAGCTCTCGATTCCTCATCCACCTCCACCGGCCCTGTAGTCCCATCCGTCTCAACGCGCCCCGTAGTCCCGTCCGCCTCAGCTCTCCAATCTTCACCCATAAAGCTCTTGAATGCTCCTGGACTACCTTCCATCTCCGGTTCGTTCCGATGCTCGAGGCGTTGTCTTTGCTGCTTGCGTCTCCTCCAAATGTACAGGAGGAAGACGATACCGATTATGACGAATGCGCCTACACCTACGGCTATACCAGCTATCGCGCCAGGACTCAAGGCGGATTTTTCTTTATCTGAATTCGTGTTCGAATGTGGGGATATTGGAGGAGTATCGTTCGACGAAATACTAGCTGTGGTTCCAAAGGAGATTTTGAGTAACGATGCGAGGCCCGACGCATACAAGCTAGGGAAGCTCGATAGGTCGGTCGATTCCCACCACACGGCAAATGGAGGCGCAATCATGGTACCAGATGTCAGTTCCGTCGTTCGTTTCAGAGTCGTGGAATTCGGGCAGACCGCACTGCCATCTGACTCTACACAGAATCTTTCCACGACATCAATGGCGGATATTGTAACGATCGTGTTGTTTTGGTTCAGCAAGGTAGTCGTAAAATTTGTGAGCGCTGTAACAGGGAGGGTAATACTCTGTTCACAGCGGTTCTTCCCGGAAACGAGTGTCATAGGACTATGGAGATACGTAAGTAGGAGCAGGGTTGAGAAGCGTTTCGTTGTGGGCACTAACTAATCACAACAAATTCCCATCCACAAACGTGAAGTCTGATAATGGAACTCTCTTATAGCGAGCATAGTTTGATCAGCTGTACACAACCCGGGACTATATGCTATTGGCTCTGCTTGGCGCAATGGATGGCAGCTGGCATAGTAGTTTGGTGACAGAAGGCTACCGTAATATTCGCGGCGATCTGTAGCTGTGGAATAGTATATGAAGCCACTGATGACTTCGTTGGAGGTAAGAGGGTTTTGTATCCATTTAGATGAACAAATAGATGATGGTTGGGTGAAGATTGTAGGTAGTGCAGGAGCGCCAACGGGATGCCATACGCTCCAAGTATCCGAGTCGCCAGCAGTCAATGTTTCGACTAGGACCATATTCGATGGTTTAGATTGAAGAGTCGCGAGGATACAGAAAAACAAATAGGAAGAGGTAAATGGCTGTCTTAGTGAGAGAGCTCGATCAATAGCTTTTGAAGCAGATACCAGCTTACCGGTTAAATTGAAATGCAAGAAAACACCCCGGTACAGCGTCATGCTCGACACCTGGGGGGCTACCGAGGCATTTTCGATAAAGCAGATCGAACCGATTGCGATGACGATTCTGATGGGGACCTCGCACGATGGGGTCGTTACTGCCTCGTGCCGTGCCGCGAGGCTGTTCCATACATGGCTTTACTGGATGTTATCTAGTGTGTAAGCGTACCTAGGTAGTGCTTACCTCGGAAATGCGATATGCCAACAGAGTTAGCTTCTCTGGTATGTATGAGTGTCGATTGGGCTTATGATGTCATAACAGGCGCGTAGCGTTGGGTTACTGCATAGCCGAAGTGGCAGCTAAAGTCAGGGCAAGACGGACTAGAGCAATCAGGCCAGGACGAAAGCGAAGAAATCGATAGAGATTAAGGAGGATGCACATCTAATTAAGCGTACTGAGCGACACAGCCCGATGCTTCTGTGGCTTTACCATGTACCTGTATCTTGTTACTATCGTTTATCTGGAGAAGGGGTATCAATACTCTGCCCCTTACTGATGCCGTTGTGGCTTTCACAAGCCCGGTGTCTCTTCGAAAAGCTTGCGAGGTTATCGAGCTGACCTTGATTCACCCCAACCGTTCACAGCTTTATCGCGCATCCACGCGAATCATTGAGTCCTCTCTGCCGGTGTAGTATCCAACTCCACAGGCGGTCCTGGAATGATCCTCACGCTTGTCGATCCAGCTTCAACCGGCTGCGATGTTCCGTCTTGCTCAGCCCTCCATCTCCCACCCAGGAAGTGCTTCAATCCCCTTGAACTCCCTTCCATCTCCCACATGGCCGAATGCTGAAGACGCTGTTGCTGCTTCTGTTTCATCCTTCGCCGGAGATACAGGAGCAGTACAATACTGATTATGAGGAACGCGCCAATACCGACGGCTATGCCAGCTATGACGCCGGGACTCATAGCAGTGTCGGGGTCTTCGTTGTTTGGGTTCGTGGAGGGGGGTGCGGAATTTGTATCAGTCATGCTTGATGAGGTAGTGGCTGGGTCATCGAAGGGAACATTGATCGCTGCTGCGAGAGACGATGCATACTCACTAGGAAATTTCGCAAAGTCGCTTGACTGCCAATAAACCACAAATGGTGCTGCGAATGCCGTGCCACTTGTCACTTCGGTCAATCGACGCAGAGTGATGTCCCCGCAAACGTTCTCATCCCCGATTCCTGCACATGCATACGTTGTGACGTCAACGGCAGAGGTCGTGACAATCGTGCTCCCGCTGGTCCATGTGGTTGTAAGATTGGCGAGAGCGCTCATAGGGGTTGAAAAGGCCTTTGTGCAGACGCCATTCACGAGTGATATTGTCATGTCCCTGGGGAATATGTAAGTAAGGGTGTAGATGAGGAGTGTGAATAGTGAGCAAAAACCTGTCACAACAAGTGCCCATCCAATATGTGGAGCCTGAGTATCGCCTCTCGACTACAGCGGCCATCGTCTGACCACTTGTACATATACCGGGGCTATACCCTAATGTCATCGGATGTTTGCTGGGACGGCAGCGGGAGAAGTAGTCTGTTGGCAAAAAGGTTTCATCGTAAAGAATGCTAGAGTCCGATGCCGCGCTCGATCCTGGGACATGGAAATCGTGGGCTCCGCTTCTAATCTCACTGGTAGCGAGTGGATTCTGTATCCATTCAGTTGAGCAGCCTGTCGGGGGCTCAAACAAGGTTGTGAGCGGAGGAAATAATGTGGAATCTGTCGGCAACCATTCGTTCCAAAGAGTCCCGTTCGTAATGTCCGTGGTATTGAAGATGACGTTCATGTTTTCAACTGGAAACAAAGCGTTGTGAGAACAAACAGGACAGAGTTCGAACAAACAAAAACAAGATATGAGACGGAAGGCTTATACGCAGTAAGAAAATGATATCCACAGCCTTGGGGGCGACTCCAGTGATCCTCCAAGCTGACCGATTGGTGAAATTCTTGGCAGCCTTTGCGGCACAGTGGTGTTGAAGGATCTACCCTCGCAGTTACATCCCCATAGTCTTTAGCCATGTTGTGAGGTCGGAGCCAGCCTTCCGGGAAGGTAGAGCCAAGATCGGTAATTGGCTATGGTTCACAGCCAACTTATTATAAGCAGAGTGAATACTAATCGCAAGGCAGGGCAACATACCGTTCAATGCAGGTATGTCTCGTGAACACCTTATCTACGCTGCATGTAAACGTGGATGTTATTACAACTTGCTCTTGGCAAGACTGTGGCGGTATGTCAATTATAGATGACTAGCGTATTGTTATGATGTCGTACGATTACTTTAGCTTTCACCCTGGGTATGGGTGTCGATTGGATCGTACGAGTCATGAGTGGTGCGTGGCTCTAGGTTCCTGACATACCAAAGTATGGCGATCAAAAGCATGACGAGATGAGCTGAGGCTGCCCAAGCAAAGAGAAAAAGAGATGGCGAGATATGTCTTGAAAGGAAGATCTAGAAGAATACCGACTCACAGTATACATAGAAAGTGAAGACGGAAAATGTGTTTTCAAGTCGGTCTCAGCCTTCTCTAGCCCACAACTCTCATTCATTTCACCTACGCCATGCACGACGTACGTCTAGTTAGGCGCACCAGTACCCCTCGGCCTGTGCGACACAGCACGGTGCTTCTGCGGCTCATCCTTGTACTTCTGAACGATTCTCGCAATAGAATCCAACCCCTTCTCCAACACATCCATCCTCGGTCCATAACTCAACCTGACAAAGTGATGGCAAGGCGAGTCAAACAGATCCCTACGCCTGCTCGGGTTCAAGTCGAAAAAGATGCCCGGCACAACAATAACCTTTTCCTCGAGACAAGCCTGGAAGAAGTTCAATCCATCGTTGATGCCCTCGGGTAGATTGCTCAAATCGAGCCACAGGTAAAACGTCGAGTTAGGCATGTAGGGAAACTTGAAGCCGATTTCCTGGAGACGGCCAATGACGTAGTCGCGCTTGGTCCGGAAATGCATTTGTAGCGCGCGCATCTCGTTGCGAACGCGGGGTGGAGATAGCATTTCTACGGCGGCTTCTTGGAAGGGCACGTTGCAGCCACCGTCGAGGTAGGAACCGCAGGAGCCGATGGCCTGGATGAATTCCTTGGGGCCAATGACCCATGCTACACGCCATCCGGGAAGACGGAAGCGCTTGGTTAGACCGTCGATGATGAGCACGTCGTCCTCGTCGACGTCTTCGACGTTGTCTGCGGCGGAAATGACGGTGCCGTCGCAGTTGGTGGTGTAGTTGTAGCCGCAGTAGAACTCGTCCATGATGAGGGTTGCGCGGTCGCGGCAGATGTTCTGAATCTGTGCGAGTTCGGGGTTGGTGACCTAATTGACGTACAAAGTCAGTACCTGTCTCACATGCAATCTGTACAGAATTGATTCTTACCATCTGACCTGTGGGATTACGCGGGTTCGATGTAAGAATAACAGATGTACCGCGGGCGATTTCCTCGGCAATCTTGTCGGGTGACATGTGGTATTGGTCTGCTTCGCCTAGCGGAACGGGAATGGCAGCGATGTTACGGAAAAGCGACAACATCTCGTTGTATGCAGTGTAATCTAGTTGATCAGCTTTTGCTCGAATCCATAGACTCAGAGCCCGGACATACCAGGAATGAAGAAGCCCAAGTAGCAGTTGCCCAGCACAGCAGCGATACGGATCAAACCCGCACGTCCACCAGGCACAATGCACACATTCTCCCATGTGTACTGGCTCTTGCGCCACTTGCGGTGGTGCTCGTTGTATAGTGTCGCGACCGCCTCTCTCAGCGGCCTGATACCAGCAGTCGGACCGTACTCTCTGCCATGAGCACTGATATCAACCTCCTTTGGCCTCTCAAAGCAGCCTTTGATGCTATCGTCGACCTCGGGCGCTCCCTGACCCAGGTTTGCCCATTCTTCCGGATGTTCGAGGAAACCGTGCTTGTATGCTTGTTCTGACGTCCATACGACACCTGTGGAAGCGCGCGTAGCGTCAAGACCGGCGTGGGGCTTGTGACCTTCGTGCGATTGACGGAACTGGCGATGGATGGACGAACCGAGTTCTGCGACACGTCAGTAACTGTCGTATCCACATGAAGCGTTCTGCCAGGTTGTAAAGACCTGATTCGTGTCTGGTGTGTGACATGGCTGCGGACATTGCGCGTTGGGCTGCAGATAACAACGACTTGAAAGAGAAACAGCGACTTCCAAGAAAGCAGGAAAGTTGGAGAAAGATTGGGGTAAAACCCTCAAAAGATAAGGATTGGATTGCCGCATGAATCGAAAAGCTCACAAAGCCATCTTCGAGGGCCCGATTTTTCTCTGATCCACACTTGCGTTGGGTTTGTACAGCTCAAAAAATGACGTAGGATACAGCATCAGAAAGTACACCAAGATAAACACGTACCACTCTCGCTCGGATCCTTGGAACTCGAAAATCGCCTCTGGGAGAAAGCTCCCTTGAGGTGGCTGACCTTGTCTGCCGAGAAAGACATTGTAGATAAGCAGCGAGGTTTGCTTGCGAAATCGGGTTGCGGAATCAAGCTTTCGCCTAGCGGTCGCAGATCTTAGTGGGGGAAGGAGCAGCAGCAGACGGGAAGCAGGATCGGGAGACCCTGAGGAAGTATAGATAAGAAGAAGCTCCAAGAAAACGAGGGGCACAAGAATATGGGGGGAACAGCTTTCAAGTTACTAGATGAAATGGTACCTAGGGTAAAGTAAGGTAGGTATGGCGCGTCGGGCCTTTATAACTCGGCGTAACCGCGTGTCGCGGACACCCACAAACGCATGCACGCATCCACACTTGCAAGCTGCGTTGGTGGCACCTAGCCTCAAGCGTTGGTCTTCGACCGCTTCAGCCACCGGGGATAATCAATCGCACATATGAGGGATCCTTGCGACGTGGCTCAGACAGCTCCCAATGAAATCGTCTCACAGGAACGACTGTGTCTCGGATCGGTGCGTGGTGTCTCGAGGGCACAAATCCTTTCTTGGTAAACCCCCCCGTCTCACCGCTTAGATCTTCGTAATACGTAGCGTACGGTAGTTATTCTGCCGAGTTTTTTGCTAAGAAGACGAGATTCGGGGTCGGTGTAAGAACTTTAGATCGGGCATATGCACGTCGGCATTGGAACCCACCTGGCATGCACAGCGTACACGCATTGGACAGCTTGGAAATGCGGCCAAACATGCCCCTGTCAGCTTACGCCTCAGGCACCGCCAGATGTCACAGACGCAGCCACAAATGTCATCAACATTTGCTGGGTTGTTACACGGGTGCTGATCGCTGGTCCAGCCGGCCCGTGGCGCCCAAGGGAATAATGCCTCAAATGCCTCATACGCACCCAACCCTATAATCGACGTCCTACTTATCTTTGTTTCAATCTCATGTTTCGTGTCCTCCGGCGAGACCGATGTCGTACAAAAGGGCTCGTATGGTACAAGTAACACTCAGACACCATAAAACACACTAGGGTTATTCGCTATCATCTATGTCGTGTAAGTGGGTAATGCAAACGACGGCGTAAACCTCTTTGGATGCAGTTTGCATAGAAGAAAAAGCTTAAAAGAAACAAGCTTCGTCGTAAAGCAAGGTTGTAAAAGCAATGGTGGGTTACGTATAGCTGGGGAATAATGGCTTATGTCCGGTTCCACTCGAAAGCTGGTGTTCAAAAGGAAAGACGACGCGTCAAGGGGTACGCATGTCGTCCTTGAAGGAAGCCATACAACGATGCGATGGCAAGTCATCTCATAGGTGACAGCTCGATCTCTTTCGTGCAAAAGGCTACCTACCATCACGGCGCATCTATCCAAGATATGGAAAGGAAGCGCCTACTCTCCTGATGTCAAAAGATTGGAGTCGAGGTAACAATGTACATTCTTATATACAGACTGATCAGTATTACTCGCAGTGAACTCTAGCAATCTCATATATCTTTACATCAGCCCCCATTTCTCAAAGCACACGCAGAAAAAACACAAGGAAATTGCTCTCTCTCTGTCCTCAAAGCAACCTACTCAACAGGTTCCTCCTCCAACAACGCCTTGAAACTAAATGGCTCAAACGCCACACCATCACCAATGAAATGCTTACTCATCGCCTCCACCCAGTGCAATCGCAGACTGTGCAACATGGCGCTCGTACCCTCCATAACACACAGCACCGCCACAGTCAACGCGAACCAAAAGTAAAAGACAAACACCATGATGAAAGCACCGGCTACGCCTTCAAAAGCGAACGCATTCTTCATAGTCATTTCCCACAAGACAATGGACAGACGCTGATGGGCGAGTGACAAGGCCCAGAGACGAAGGTAGGAGGCCGTGTGGGATACGCAGTTGAGGCAAAATTCTACACCCCATATGTTAGTCTCGTATCTTCAAAGATAGCGGTGTATGCGGAAGGGAGGTACGTACCAATAGTGTGAATAACCTGATGGATCATGACTTCACTGAACTCAAACTCCTCTTCTTCCTCTCCATGCCCAATATCTTGAGTAATCATCGCAATATCCTCGTCATCACCGTAGCTGTCGCGACCACCATTCGCATGACCGTTCTCGTCATCGTCGTCCAGCGCGCTGACTCTGGATGTCTCGCCGATACCACGGTACCCCATTGCGCGGGCCTTGTTGTGTTCGTAGCGGAGGTAGAATGGCTTGAGGAACAGAAGCACAGGCACACAGGCCAGTGCAAGCAGCAACAAGACAACTTGCACAAAGGCTTGACCGGGGTATAGAGGTTGGGTACCAGCTTCGAGTGTGCCAGGGCTCAAGAACATGTAAATCAACATGTTGAGCAGAGAAGGTGGGCTCTCGCCGCGCGCAGGCCAGTCAATGCACCACTTGTATACGATGGTGAAAGCGAGGTAACCGAAGATGGACTGGAAGAAGATCATGCCAGGGACAAAGTTACCCCAGATATCGATCTTGGTCTTGAAGTACCTTGCGTTGACGAGCGACCACATAAGCGAGAACGTCATATGAGACCAACCGAGCAAGATGGACAATTTCATCTTGTACGAGTTGGAGAATAGCAAATCGTTCTCGGTGTCGTGCCAGCGGTAGTCAAGACCAAAGGGGTAGGTGTAACCCTCGACACGGTGGGAAGTTGGACCTTTGCCATCGTTGTCCCAGACCCACATGGACTTGAACCAAGGGAGACCAAGAGAGAAAGCATCGCAGTAGAGGAGACCGGTGTAGATGGAGAAGATACCCATCATGAAAACAATGTAACGACCGTAGAACATCATGGAGAAGAGCTCGTCGAGCTTGCTGCGCTCGAGTCGCTTTTCAAAGTAGATCATGGCGCAAGCAGCGAGGAGGAGAAGAACACCGTGGCCGGCATCACCAAACATGACAGCGAACATGAAGGGGAAGGTGACGATGGCTGGCAGGGCGGGGTTAACTTCACGGTACTTGATCGTTCCGTACGCGTCGATGATAGTCTGGAAACCGAGAGTAAAGCGGTTAGACTTGAAGTATGTTGGCGGTGTCTTGGTAGTCTTGATCTGGTTGACGATGGTAGGTACAGACAGACCAGCACGCTCGTTGACATCCGACAGCGTTGATTTGATCAATCCAAGAGAATTGGTAGGTGCCCAAGCCTCGGCGATGAGCGTCTTGCGCTGGTGGTCGTAGGAGAACTTGTTCAAAGTCTCGTAGGTAGCCTTTTCCTTCTTGATGACGACCATCCATGCTGCCAGGTTGCGTCCTATCGCGGTCAACTCGGCATCCAGCGTGGACTTGGTGTTCTTCAAGACGCTGGCGAGATCGCTCAGACGGGTGTTGACTTCCCGGATCTGGTCGCGGCGGAGTTCACTGTTCTCATCGACGCTGTAGAGGTCGGCACCAAGTGATTCTGAAATCTTTCGGATCTTTGCGATGATTTCCTTGCCGTGAGCGAAGATGATGAAGACGTTCTTGTTGGTTTCCTCGTTGTTCTCTGGGTTGATGATGGCCTCGGGGATCTCCGACTGGTTCATGTACAAGTTACCGCGGAGGGTACGCCACAGGATGCGCTCGAAGGCGGCAATACGTTCCCGAGGAATGACACCAGCGACGAAGCCGATGTTCATGACGGTGAATGAGCGCTCCGCGCCCGAGTCGCCCTGTCCGTTCTGCTCAACATCCTGGAGCAGCGGCGCGTCGTCGTCGTCAACGGAATCCCTGATTTGCTCGGTCTGACCACGAGCCCGGTCGAAGAAGCCACCTGCCTCTCTCAGAACCCATCGCCACTCTGTGAGCTCCACCTCGCGCTTCTTCAACGTCTCGTAGCTCTCGTTCAACGAAGAGATTCTCTGTTCTAAGCTCTGGCTCTTGTCGGCGAGTTCGTCGATCTCGGAAGCGGATGGCGCAGTGAAGGGGTTGTTGAAGTCGTAGATGGAGCGCATCGCAATGTCCGATTTCTCCATCTGGGCGCGAAAGTAACGGAGCTGTCGTTCCACATTATCGAGGCGGCGAATCTCCTGTGTAAAGGTACGTTGGAAGGCGGTCGTGTCGGCATTAAGCTAGCACATGTTGTCAGCTTCCAATATCATCAAGCCCGTCCCAGAGCCTCTGCAGAAGCTCCAGAACACATCCGTCTGCGCTCACATCTCTGAAGTCCATGACACCAAGCTCTCCAAGGCCAGAAACGACCTCACGGCCAATCTCGTTGGCAATGTACAGCTGGGTCAAGGACATGTCCGCCGAGCGGAACATGGTGTCCTTGCTGGGCGCCATGGTGGCGGGTCGGGAGACAAGACTGGGGATACGGCGTGCTTGTCCCGGGATTCGATGGGGGGGGAGGTATGCGAGATGGTGGTTGATGGAGCGAGAGCTGCCTCGAACGTGAACGCCTGCGCGATGATGCGGCGAACTGATGCAGCTCCTTAGCGCCTTGACGCGCCAAGCCCGCTACTGATGTCACTGCATCCCAACCACATCACGTCCCTTGACCCATCACAACAAAGGAACGAGGTCATGTTTGTTCACTGTCGAGATTCCGCGGCAGTGAAACCAATATTTATTTTATCTAGGTAGCCGCGAGTCGCACACGGAATTTGCCTGGTTGACTTCTTTAACACCCAAATACGTCGCCGCTTGCCATAATGCAAGAGAGCCCAGAGAACAGGAGATCAGGGAAGTGAATAACGGGGAATCAAAGGATAGCTTTATTAGAACATAGTAAAAGTACCCAAGTCCTTGACCAAAAGCAACCGCAGAACGCAAGACGCAGAACACCGTGCATACGTGAGCAGATCGTCTCTTGTGTGTGTGTGAAAAGGGCCAAACCCAAAGCTTGCTCGAAAAGAAAAAAGGACCGATCCCGCCTTCCACCAAGTTTGACAATGATACTGTGAATGTTTTTGTGTCGCTCGCTGTCGTGACGAAGAGAGAGAGAGAGATGAGAAACCCGGATGCGCTGTCAAGTACGCATTCGCCTAAACACCAGGTATCGTAACCAAAAGCCAGATGCGCCATGCTCGACTGCAAGGAAGGAATTGTTTAGTCGG